ATGGTGCACGGGAAGGATGGTGTGTGCTTGTGTATTTGTGTTTATGTGTTAACCGGCATGCCTATGGTTGTGGGGGGAAAAAAAGGGGAAGGATAAGGGGGGGGGGGAGAGGTGCTGGTTGGAGGGACGGTTTGTATTTTAAGAGGAGAAGCATTCAGAAAAAGAGCGAAAAATATAACAGCGGATCCAAAATTGTGAGGCAACCCCTCAGATCTCGTTTTTAATGGGTGCCATTCACAGCTTACCCACAATAGCCACGAAACTAAGAGCCCCGACAAGCAGCGGCCTCTGGAGAGCGTTTAACCTCTCTTCCTCCCCCTTCCCCGCTTCCTCCAGCACCTCTCCATCTACCATCACAGCCCCCTGATCTCCGGCTGCTCTATTTCTCCGGGGAAACATTCTCTGGTTGCCTGATTGGCCTCTGCTTATGCGCATGTGATAATGTGTTAATGTGTGTGTGTGTGTGTGTGTGTGCGTGCGTGGATGTGAGTACATAAGCACGCTGTCCTCAATCAATTAGCGCAAGCTGGTGCAGCAATTACCATTAACCATTGTGTTTATGCTGTGTATGTCCGCGCACATCCGCACATGCACACCGGGGATAAATAGTGCATCACTGATCACCAGCTGTCTGCCACTGAAGACTCCCAAACGGTCAAGCCCACACAGACACACAGTTGCTATGACGGAATGCACATTTGTGTGTGTATGTGTGTGTGTGTGTCTTCAGTGGTTTACAAGATCCACCACCAACTCTCTTTTTCAGACCAGACGGCATCCTTGGAGACACCTATATGCATGTTAGTGTGTGTGAGTGCAGCCCAGATGGCCATCTTCGAGGGGTTTTCTGGAACATTTAGACACTTGTTGCTTCTTATCGTGTCTCTTTCTTTCTTCCACTCTCTCTCCCTTACACACACACACACACACACCACACACAAGCACACACGCAGTGCTTCTTTTGAAGTGTGAAACAGTTTGCGGTCAGCTCCTTTTCCTCTTCCATCGTTCCATCAAGCCACAGCCCCCTGCAGCCTTCAGATGCACGACCAAACACAAACAGGCTTGCGGTGTAAGCGGAGGATAAACAGAGCGGATACGCCTGCTCGATGGGCTGTAAGACGGTCTTCATCCAGCTCTGCAGTGATGGACGGACAGAGGGTCATGTAGTCGGGCGAGCTCAGGCCCTGGGGGAGGTCAAGCATGTGCTGTTGGCCTGGTCGCTCCTTGCTCTTGTATTTCTAGGCCGTTGCACCTGTTTTGTCACAGATTCTAGTACAGGGAGTTCTTGAAAAATTGAGTTGGTTATGTCAGTCAGTAGTAGTTTGTGTGTGGGTGTATGTGTGTTTGTGTGTGTGTGTGTGTGTGTGTGTGTGTGTGTGTGTGTGTGTGTGTGGCGTGTGTGTGCACGCACTGAGCTCCAACCTGCAGTTAGATAAGACAGAGATTTGAAATCATAGAGCTGCAAAGTCAGGAGCTATAAAACAGGAAATTGCTATACTTTTCCCCTTCTTCTTGAACTATAGTTTCATATTTGGATGAGAAAAAGTGAGGATGAAATCTACCTGGCCGCAAGTTATTTTTCTATTTTGCATTTCCAGTTTTACTTTTAACATGAGGAACAGACAGTTTATTATTTTCACATGCTTACTTACATTCTTTATACCGGTCTAAGGCTGTTAACGGGCATACTTCTCTGTGATTATGTATTGCACAAAACCTTTGTTTAGTTCCCTTAAATGTGCTATGTAATTTGAGCTGCTTTCCTCACCAATGCCATCAGATTTTTATTTTCCTCTGATTTGCAACTTCCAGCTCAATATTTAATTGGAAACGCTGGAAATGGACAGTTCATTTCTATTTCGGGATGGGACAAACAGGTATTCACAGGTCAATTGTATTGGTGATTTATAGATTTAACCACGGTAATACATGTAAATGAAACAATTACTGTAGTTCGTTCTGCTGAGCACAGGTTGGACATACATGCCACTACAGCTTTATCAAAAATCATCTCTTTCTTTGTGTTCGTTGATGTCACTGTCTAGGTGAAGAACATATCTTCAATTACTCATCAGCTCTGTGAATCGGCTTGTCTTCTGCATGCTAATGCTCTGAGTCACATCTAATGACATCTCAAAAGCTAGAATATGAATATTTTTGTCGTGGTTATGTGCTTGTGTTTGAAGCTCTGACTTGATGTCCCTGCTTAGATTTGATTTAGGTGTTATTTCTTATTTTGCAGTTTTCCCAACAGGTTTATAAACAATGATGGTAAATACAATTACCAGCCAATAGTGACAACATCCCATTTAAAGTCTTTTAAAACAACTGAAAACTTTATATACACTGAAACTTTTGTTGTATTTATTCTACAATCATTTACTCAGTACAGCACAAAGGGTTTCCCTAGGAAAGGAAAACAGAAAGTAGAATTAAGAAATTAAGTGGTATTTGTCGCCCCCATGTGTTAGTTAAGTTGAACTGCATGATGTTGTTAAAGTTTGTGGACTTTTAACACTGTACATATCCAAATGTGCTCTCCAAACCAAGAACAATATCCACTAGATTTGGTATAATACCAGAGTTAAAGGAAAGCAAATAAGATGGCAGATGATTATTTAATAGAGAGCATCTTATAATATGCTGTAGAGAAACTTTTGGGTCAAAACTGCCGAGCACAGACAGAATGTCGTCAAGGAAGTGACGAACACTGGAGCTTGTGATCTTTTTTTTTTTCCATCTTTAATTTCAGAATCATTATTGTACAAGAACATCCCCGTGGATTAGCAGTTCTTTTTTACAATATGTACCACATAACAGCACCTACATGTTATTTACACACATTAGACAAGATTGTATCACAAAGCAGTGTGAAATTAGCAAAAACAAAGGCTTTGCTTAACTACCACACCCAATAATCCATGAGCTGGCTAAACAAAATATAATCTCACAGCCATCGGCCCCCGCTAGTTCACAGGCAGTTACAGTGCCTGGAATTCTCTAGGTTTAAAGCTGAAATCACATGTGTGAAAGTGTTGTATTTCGTGAAAATCCAAAGACATGAAATAATTGTAACTCAAGGGTTTATGTTTCTGTTAATTTGCCCAATGTAAACATTAAGCAGGTCAAAGAAAGTAAGCTTTCAAACACTGTTACTGCTTGTAATGCCAGAATGGAAGAATCAAAACACAGTCCAGTGTGCTTGGATGCCGACATGGAGACTGTGCGTATTTGTATTTTGTAAACTTGACTACAGATACTAGTGCAGTAATAATATCACAAATCAAACTTCAGGACTAGCGCACTTTCTCAGAGAAAGCTTAGATGAAAAATGCACCCATCCCGATTTCTTAGTCGAATGGGTTGAGGTGCTTTGTGATAAAACCCTGGTTTGGGCTGTCAAATTAAAGTGAAGACAAAAAAAAAAAAGATGAATTTAAGTAAAAGATGAAACAAGTGGATGAAACATACATAGAAATACACTCACACTCACTGTTGCACCACAATCAGATATAGTGTAGCAGCTTTCTCAAAAGGCGAAGACATGTACAACACAGTAAGTGGCAGTTCTGCTGTCAGATACACAAACAAACAGAGGCCCCGCATAATGACACTTTTTTAAGTCAAGCCAAACAACAGAGTCAGTTCAGCCTCCTGAGGAGCCCGGATTTCAGTCCAGCCCGGTTTGGCCCGCACTCCACAGAAAAGGAAGTACGCTTGAACTAACAAAAAGAGGAAGAGGACTGTACACACAAACCAAAAGTCTGGGTTCATCCGATTGTAAAATGTGAAGCACAAATAAGCAATATCCGAAACATTCTGCCATTTCAAGCACTTGACATTAGGGTGTGCTTCTGTGTCGGACCTAATGAGGACATTAAACCAAAGCCAGACAAAAAATAAACTAGATATTTTTTTAAAGTAAGAGAACAAAATGAGAGAAAAGAAATTCTATTGAGAAACAATATTGGGACCAGGGCATAAAGAATGGGCTAGTAGCCAGGCTGACCATTATCAAGTTTCTCTTTATTTGTAACATTGCAGCTGAAGTCCCCTTCAGACACGCAGCACCCTCCCTCAATCCTGGGATCAATGAACATTTCAGTGTTAATATTTCCCTGGTGTTTTCTTTATAAATGTCTTAACGGAATTCTGCCGAGTTCAGAATGGGAAATGAGATCATTTTTCAACAGGGCACAAGAGTGAACTGTGGAGGGGACGTTGGCGAACATTAACGGTCTGTTCATTTAACTTCTGATTGGTTGTTCTGAGGAATTCTGCAGGTTGCATTACCACATAAATATCTGTGGTGCTTCAACTTTCCTATAACATGCTTTCACCCATGACAACCAGCTGCAGGGGCAGGTGGGTGTTCTTCAAATTGTCCAAGCCAAATTAAATGTAAGCAGCCTGTTTTAAGTGTTTGCTGCTCTCCATCTGATCGTCTTCCACCACATGGCATGTCCTATTTTCATTTTATGAAAAAACATCTTTATGTTGGTGTCAGATTGCAATGTGGCCTCAAACCTAAGAAACAGGTGTGAGGGTGGAGATGAAACACTCAGTTAAGGAGAGGGAATTTTTTTCCCCCTTGATAACTGCATTGTTACAATTAATGCCCCACAAGTATAACACTGCTAGGCAAGAAGACCAAACATTTAGGAAGGTTTTATTTTTAACTGCTTCCATCCACCATTGCTATATTTTATACAACCAATGCACACTTGGCACGCTAATTTGAATCAAATGGCGCTCTGTTTCTGTCTGTTACTTTTGCAGGCAGTCTGAAATGAGCCACGGGTTACATTTATGGAGAAGATGCTGTCTGGATGACATCTCTGTCACAGCTTGATGAAACCATTAATGCAACACATCTCATGTCTAAAAAGGGCTTATGAAGGAAGATTTCAATGGCTGGCCAAGGCATCATTCCCCATCGCCTGTCCAATCGGCCACCGAACAGAGGACAGAAGAGGAATCGATGGTGTAAGAAAAGTTCAGAGCATCCTGTTACGTTTATGAGTGGGTGAGTCTGTGATGACGTCACTACAGGGTGCAGAGCCGCGTTTACGACTGGCAGCAGAATCTAAATGAAGTGCCATCTCCTCAGCAATGAAGGTGTTGAGGTCCATGTCGTGAAGACCGTTCCTACGACGACTGAGAGACTGGGCAGGGTGAGTTGGGGAACCAGGAGGACCAGAGCGCACAGAAATGCTGGCCATGGCACCGCTGAGGCCTAAGAGAGAGAAATATGAAGTCCACATTCAGACATGTTTTCATAATGCCTCAGCTGTAAACTGATTGTGGAGAATTGGCTAACCATGGAGGGCTATGGCCTCTCTGAAGGGCTGCAGGTCGGTCTCGGCAGAGTTGTCCGTCTCTGGAGGAGATGATCGGCTTGCAGAGACCATGGCAACTTTGGGCGGGGTGCGAGCTGTCCGTGGAGGTGGAGTTTTGCCACAAAGGAAGCTAATGAGGTCTTCTCGTCTGATAGTTCTTCGTCTTTTCTTCACCCAAGCAATCACCTCCTTATTCCTGCGCTGGTAGCCTAAATGAATGCCTAAGTCATAGCTGCGCTGGTGGGCTTCCATACTTTCTGATAGCACAAAAGAATAGTTTGTTTTCATTAAACCTGAACACCATAATTAAACCTAACCTGACCAGTCACATTAACAAGAAAAAAAATTGTAATACATATCAAACGGCAAAAAAAGAATGACAACAAACTGGCAATGGTCAACAATACAAAAAACTTGCCTTTGTAGAGGTTAGTGACTGCTGTAGCTGCATTTTGGAAGGGCACCCAGAGGGAGAGGCCTTGTTGTTGACATACTCGATCTATGAAAGAGACCGTCAGATTCCAATGATACCGTAGCAATGAAACAATTGCACTATAAACACTAAAAACTGAAATTCAGGCCTGAATTCCTTTTTATTTTTCAAAGAAAAACAAAACTGTCAGAATGGGACAAAAGAACTGATTGATTGGTTGAGATTGTTTCTATTATTAAACAATTATTACGTAATTACAGAGTACATATCCCACAGTACAGAGCAGAAAACTCAACACTTCAACAATATTTTGAGTGTACCATGAAAATAACCAGAAACATGTGGGCTGAGCCCCTCTTCAGTTCTCTCCTTCAAAGTGGAAGGAGAGAGAATGGAGGAAAAAACTTTCAATCTGTAAAGTCCAATTAGAAAGTTAAGTGGAGGTACTACATGTATCACATGTAGTGGAAATCACTCAATTTGGACCTTTGGCAAGCAGAAGCATCTGGACAAACAGGCTAGAAAATGAAGGATGAAAGAGCCTGACAAGGAATATTTCGATATATTACTAACGCTATATGGTTAGATTAAGTACATTTCAAAGAAACGGGAGTAGGCACAGTTCTCGTTAAAAAAAAGTCGGTATTTGTGTTACATTTTAAAAGCAAACGGTGTGTAGAAGCACTGCAAAATCAAGTTGTTTCAAGTAAACGCAATTTCAATGTGTACACAAATAGCGTTTTCAGCTAAAATTACATTCTAACACGGAAACATTTACTTTAGTCCTTTCGCCATTTTGTTTTGGCTATGAGAAACAATGCAATCATCAGCAATAATCAACTAATGGTGTCCTGGGATAAAATATGTCCGCGTTGCGACTTATAAACATCTTCAACACAACTCCATCGATTACTACATAATTTTAACGTTAAAACTTCCGATTATCTAAATTTGCAATCACCTCCCGAAGTATCGCCATTTTGACAGGCTAGATAACTGTTAGACAAAATATTAACTGTGCCGTTTTATGCCCCAACTAGAAATAAAATGTGCTGACGAATGTAGTTGTCAATACCGAGATTTGTCCTTTTTGGAAGGGGTTGAAAGGGGCTTTTTAGGTCAGTATAAACTTGTTAGGCAATAGAAGGGCTTTGACAGGTCAGGCTTCTGCGAGACACATTTCAGACTTGTTGTCCGACACTGACACGGTGACCGGCTATTAGCAGCTGCTAGCGTTAGCAGAGGATATCACTAGCTTCCGAGGACTAGCGGCGGAACAGGGTCACAGTACTGGGGACAAAACCACAGAATAACTAACGTTATCATTGTGAAAAGACACAAACTATAACTTCACCCAAACCAGCTGTAAAACATAATGCGATACCCTGTAAAGAAACAAAAAAAAATGCTAGCGCTGTTAGCTTAAGAGTGCCCTTTGTGTCTCTCCGTCAAGCGACACCGTTAGTTGGTAAGACAGGCTTTTATTAGCATTAGCGCAGGCAGTTCGTGTAACTTCGGTATGTTGAAATCATACCTTTGTAGAGCTGAGCCACAGCCGTAGCGGAGTTCTGAAAGAGGTGCCACAGCTTTTGTTGACTTTGCTCTGTTTCCTCTTCGTTTGGATTATTTTGTTCAGCCTCTGCTAAACACTGCCGTTCCCATTTCGAGAACCAGTGCTCGGGGCCGTGCTCTTGGATTTCAGCTTCTCCCTCCTCCTTCCTCTCCTCCATAGCTAACGTTAGGCGTTAGCTAATAGTTTGTTAGCTAGCCTTCGTGTTAAATATATGATTTTTGTTTTTCGTACCTCTTATTTATCTCCCTTCGGTATGATATCACAAAAAATACGACCAAAACCCCCAACAGCCTACCGAAGAGAAGGAAAATAGTACAGCTGTTAGGACCGCATTGTCAACATCGGTGCCGCTAGCACGCCCAGCGCTAAACACAGCAAATTAAAGAATGCGGATGACAACACCTTAGAGTTTCTGGAATTTAGCCACTCCCACCGTCTCTTTGTGCTCTAAAGCGATTGGCGGTTGCATGTGTTCTAGGCAGTTCTTGTTGCCAAACACGAAGCCTGATTGGACAATGGTTGACTGGAGAAAAGGTCAGAGAAAAACAAAGTTAATCTGACATGGGAAGAGTCCTCACAGCCTGCAATACTGCATTTTGTGTGACAGGGGGCATCCTATACATTAAAAACCAATGATCCGAAGTTTAACGGAAATTCTAAATGTTCCAGAATTCTTCTTCATTTTACACAAAAAACGTTGTTTAATAACAGGGCTTCTTTATACATGATGAAAATCCCCGGACGTAGCACTCAAGGCCAGAGCTCAATTTTAAACTGAATTCTAAAGCTAGTGTGTGATAATGTGAATATTTCCAATATATTTCCAAAACCTCAGAATTTTTTTCCACAGCTGCTCACCTGAACCAAAGTGAACCATATATGTACACACACACACACACACATTTATATAAATAAACCTCAGTCATTTATTCAGTTACGTTTATCAACAGCACACACTGTTGAACACACCTTATTTTGTGACGATCTCTATTTGTTTTTTCAATTTGTCTTAACCCTTTTTATTTACCGATGTTGATGTTTGTGCTAAATAATATTTCTTTTTTATCATGAAATGTACCAGCATATCATGCAGACTAAGGACACTGGACTAATAAAGTTTTGTCCATGTGTGGTTCTCCTGCTTTTTAGGAAATTCAGATATTCATCGGGAAATTTATTTTAAAGCATGTCAGGTACCATCAGCTATTTAGATAACAGCTATTGTAACATAATCTAATTTAGATTTGAAGGTTCAATGTCTAACATCTGTAATCTCAAATCAGTAAAGTAAGGATGGTGGGAGTCCAAAGGTCAAATGACTTATTAGTTATCGCATTCTCTGTCAGCAGTATACCTGTGCAGGTCTCTATAATAGACAGTACCACTCTCTCACTTCAAACAGTATTCTACGGCTCCCCTTTGCTCTTCTTTTGTTGCTCACACCACCGTGTCTGAGGATGGCCAAGGGAGAGAAAATGGTTTCTGATGTGGAGAACAATTTCCAGGAAAAAGGGCCAACTGTTACATTCAGTAACTTGCATTACTGTGTTCAAGAGAAGAGTTTTTTACGCAAGACGGGACCTGAAAAACAAATTCTGAAAGATGTCAGGTAAGAAATGAATGTCAATACTGTGATAATGTGAATGTGCATAGTCATGTTCTTAGCTGCAGTGGCATCGTTCTTTGGTAACTCATCCCTTTATTTATATAATAATATAATTCTTTACTTGAAAGTTTGCAAAGGAATATATATTGCTTGAATATTTTATTGAGATATACGACTTATAAATTAGACTCCTGAGCAAGAGGAGGTAAATTTACTTTATAAATGTCTTTACTTACTCACTTATTGCCTGAGATATATTTCATAAATCTAATTCGAACATGCAAATTAACAAAGTGTCCAAGTCATGATATCCGACTTTCTAGATTTGATCCAGATACGATTTTATAATTCTGCTTTTATCATCTTAAAGTATTCTATAGTCCAGACAAAATCTATCAACATGTAAAAATGTTTTTTTCATTTTTCATTTCAATGGCGATAAAATTGTATCATGTTAAAGTATGAACATTTTTAGTGGATGTGTTCTTTCCAGTGGCATCATGAAACCAGGGATGAATGCAATCATGGGGGCCACAGGAAGCGGTAAAACATCGTAAGACACATTTGTTTACGTGTATACACACAGTGATATACAGTATGTCCTCTAAGGAACAGTTACACAAAAATTACATTCTCATACTTTTCACAGACTCCTGGATGTACTCGCAGGCAGAAAAGACCCTGCTGGACTGCGCCAAGGAAAGGTTTTAGTGAATGGCAAAGTAGTTACATCTGACCTCCGGCTCAGTTCTGCGTATGTGGTTCAGGTATACAAACAGACGCGCATTCATTAACCTGCTTTACTTGTACGGGATTTATCAACATAATCCTTACCTTTTTAGGATGACATCCTTATGGGGACTCTGAGTGTTCGTGAGAACCTTTTGTTCTCAGCCAATCTGCGCCTGGATCCGAAGCGTCACTCGCCCACTGATAAAGAAAGCAGAGTGGATACCATCATACAAGACCTGGGCCTTAAAGACTGTGCAAACACTAAGGTAAAGGGACATGCACAAGCTAATAATATGAGTTTCAACTGGCTGCATAGCGCTACTCAAACTATTACTGCAGGGTCTTACTCTGATTACAGTAGCAGAAGATCAATCAGTTACTCTCTGTGTAATGGAGAAAGCATTTTCGTCTAAATAGCATTAAAATTATTGTTTATTTAATAGTTTGTGTTAACCCAACTTTATTGTGTTTTTTGGGGAACGTCAGGATGCTAAATGTTTGTCTTTTATTGAGTAGTCTATCTATTCTTGCTCAAGGGTTTTTTGTTATGATTGATTGTCCCCTTCATAACATGCCATTTATTTTCAAAAGTAGATAGATATGGAGCAGAGGCTATATACCGATGAGACTATCAGGCTATCTGCACGTTACAAACTGAAATGTCCTGTGTTGAGTGGATGGTCTGAAAATGGATAGCAACAATCGTGACTGTGAGAGAGATGTCACATAAAATTACTCTGAAAGTGCAACAGCCAATGGGAAAACTCTAGAGCTCCGTTGACTGACCAAAGACAATAGATTTGTCTGTTAGTCATAAAAAACAAATAAACTGGATCATGAGACGTTTTGCCAAGATTCTGTTCATGGGTTAGTACGTATATTACACCCTCCTTGTACATGACAATTTTTACACATTTCTATATGTGTGTACATTCAGATAGGCACAGAGTTTCTGCGAGGGGTATCAGGAGGGGAGAGGAAGAGGTGCAGCATCGGCATGGAGCTCATCACTTCTCCCTCGCTGCTTTTTCTGGATGAACCAACCACTGGACTGGATTCAAACACTGCAAACTGCATCATCGGTCTACTGCACAAGTACAGCATAGTTAACTACTCATTAGCAGCACATACTCACACTTAATATATAGATGAGACCCTAAAGGACAAGGCATAATGTAGCTGAAGTTGGTGGTAAACAGCGAGAGGCATTCTTTGCTGTTCAATGTCAGCTTTAATTAGTATCTACGTTGGAGTGTCCCTACAGTGAACTTACCATCTCCTGCTGTCTCGGGATGAACATAAAAATGTTTGAAATTCGTTTCCAGGCTGTCCAGAAGAGGTAAAACTGTGATCTTCTCCATTCACCAACCACGCTACTCCATCTTCAGACAGTTCGACCATCTTACTCTAATGCACAAAGGCGAGATTGTGTATGCGGGAGCAGCAGGCTATGCGCTGGAGTACTTCACAGACCTTGGTATGTATGTTGTGAAAAACATGGAGGACAATGACAAAAGGACTGATTCGGAACATTTATTACCAAAAAAGTTTGACTTTTAACAATAAAATATCACATAGGCTGCAGTAGAATGGCTCTTTTACATTCATACATCCTTTTAATATGGGAATGAAATCCCAATGTCTGGATTATGTGTGTTTATTTGTTACTCTGCACAGTCCAGGGTGGCTCAGAGTGTATAAAATGTATATGTTTGTATGTGTTTGGACAGGATACCAAATTGAGACTTTCAACAGCCCTCCTGACTTCTTTATGGACATCACAAATGGAGAAGCAGCATCAACGCTTCAATCTCTCACTGACGGTATTTTGATTTTTGGGTCATTATGATTCTAACATCTTGACTACAACACAATCGCTACATCAACATAAAGCCTTGAAAAATATTTGACTTTTTTGTGTTTTTCTCATGTGATTGTACTCAAACAGCAAGAGCAACAAAAAAAATGTAATTATCATAAGAGTATTACCAAGAAATTGTCAGTATAATTATAGTATTCATATTGTGCTTTAAACAGAGCAGTTTCAAAACACTAGTTGATGTATGTTTTATCAAGGTTTATGGCTAAGGAAACTTAGAACAGTTGTGTCTGACAAAAGTGACAAAGACTTCCACTGTTCTGTCTTTGACGGCTTGAAGTCTTGTATTCGGCTAAAAAGGAGGTTCATATTTTAAAAAATATAAGTAAAAAAAGACTCTCTGACCTCAGTGAATGTGTCAACTGATTTCTTCGATTCGTATACTTTAGGTTTAAGATTTCATTTTTATTTTTCCATTTGTAGCCAGATTTCAGAGATGATTCTTATTGATGCTTTTCATTTCTAGTTAAAAGACACTGCTTACACTGAAGTGGCTGTTATGAAAACAGACCTTTTTATTGGACCCTCTGTCCTGTCCTGTCTGTTAAGTGAAGGGTGAAAGCAGTCTAGCAGTGAAGTATCGCCAGTCCCGCCTGTACCAGAATGTGATCGAGGAGCAGGACCAAATGAGCCAGAGCTATCCCGGAGCCCTCAAAAGTCAAGACGAAGCAAGCACATATGCAACATCTTTCTTATATCAAGTGAGCAAAGATTTCATGTTTAAATCAACACAAATCACTCTTCTGTTGATAACATTTGAAGCTCTGTTGTTTTTGACTTAATGATTAACAAATGCAGGTGAGTTTATGATGTTATGTCACATACTTTATTGATTGTGTAAGTCATCTGTTATATCACTGTGCTTGGCTGACTTCTTATTGAACCCAGCCATCATGACCATAAATTTCACTGACATTTTTCTCATGTCTCTGACACAGATGCGTGTGGTTTGTGGCAGGACAGTGAGAAACATACTAAGGAACCCACAGACCTCCTATGCTCAAATGGCTCTGAACATCTTTTTTGCCATCCTGGTGGGACTAATTTACTACCAGATGCCCTTAACGCTGCCTGAGGCTTTACAAAATAGGTACGCATAATCTGTCGCAAAGCAACAAACCTTTGATTTGTTTTCAACATGATTTAATGCCAACATGAAAGGACATCTGAGGTTTTCTTGTCCTCTGATATAATGCTACAGGAATTGGTTGCGATAATAACTGTAAATTAGAAATGAGAAAGATGCACTGTTTTGCATTGATCAGATGCCCCAGGATGCCTTTAAGTTGGTGAAAAGGGAAGGCCACAATAAACGGTTATACAAGAGAACCAAGACCCATCTGACTCAATATACTCCAACAATGTTTGTCTTTATCACCTAGGTGTCAGTTCATGTTGGTTTTGATTTGAGATAAATCAAAGTCATTCATAAGTTTTAAGAAGGCTTTAACTGTTTTACTATGACATAGCAGAAATAAAGTAAAAATCACACCATCTCACAATTTCTGAGACGTAGACTGGGCTGTCAAGGTATTGGAGCATATTGTCACGTTTATAGAGTCATTCGCAGGTCATCTGATAAACCGGTGGTCTGATAATCCAGCTGTTATCTTCTTTATCTCTATGACAGGAGTGGTGCCTTTTTCTTCCTCATCATCAACATGGTGTTTGGTAACCTTTCGGCTGTTGAACTCTTCATCAATGAAAGGGCAATCTTTATGTGAGTGCCCTTGTGTGTGTCGTCTTGTAGATTATCATTGAATCCCCGTCCTGTCCAATGGTTGTGTGTATTTATGCAGTTTCTCATGTCTTCTGCAGTCATGAGAACTCCAGTGGATATTACCGCACCTCTGTTTACTTCCTGTCCAAGATCTTTGCTGATCTCATTCCCAACCGCATGATCCCAATCCTGGTGTTTTCAGCCATTTCCTATTATATGATGGGTAATGCTAGCAAATACATTCAAAATATGAGCAACATAATGACTTGTCTCCACTTGACCTCAGTGGCATTGTTCAAATTACCAGCAGAAGTCTCCTTAATGCAGCACTGTGGCTCCCTAATGTTCACTTATGTTCATCATTCTTTCAGGGTTGAAACCTGCTTTTGAGGCCTTCCTGTGCTTTGCTCTGACCATGTCCCTGGTCAGTTTGGCAGGAGTTGGTCTTGCCTTCCTTGTGTCAGCGAGTGTGTCAACGTTTGCAATGGCTAATATCCTGATTGCTCTACCCTTCGTGTTTATGATGGTGGGAAGCTAAGACACATACACAAAACATGACAAGCACTCCATTCACATCACATGCTGGCACTTGGTTAAGAACACCCGATGTTGATCGCACGCTTAAAGTATTTTTCCATTATTTTTTGATACACACAGAGGCCATTTTAAGCCGTTTTTTTTTCTACCAACCTACGATTGGGCTTGTTATCTAGACCAGCCATGAGATTGTTGTTCTTCTCTTACTTTGTTCTGTTATTTTGGGCTTAATTTAGACTTTTTTTTCACCTCTACGTCCATTTGATACAGTGTTTAGTTTAGGTTTGTCATTAAAGGTAGTGACATACATTGTTGTGCAGAAGGCTTTACTGTTAAATTCTACAGCGCTGCGGCAACAACTTCCACTACTATTATGTTTTATCCTAGAAAACCCTGTACATTCGGAACTGATCCAGTAGTTTTCCCTGTAAAAACTGAAAAAACCTCAGTGTACGGTGACCTGGGAGTGAGAACAGTTTCTTTGAATAAATGCAGTAAAGATTTTCCCAAGAGTATCATTGCCTAACCCTATCCCGTCCTTCTCCTGTTACAGGTGTTTGGTGGCTTTCTTGTAAATCTCAATGCCATGCTGAACTGGCTCTCTTGGCTGAAATGGATCAGTATCTTCAGATATGGACTGAATGTAAGATATGGAAAAGAGAGAGAGCAAGACAGGACTGTGTGTCTGTGGAGTCATAAGTAACCTCCTTTTACCTGATTGTCCTATCCCCTTTATTTTTTAGGCTGTATACATTAATGAGATGAAAGGACAGGTTTTCTACGGCAACAACACATTGTGAGTGTGATTTCATTGACAGTTTAAAAACCCCAGTGACTCCTTATTGATATTAAGTGTATCCTCCATGTGCTGCAGCTTGCCAGGGGAAGTGTTTCTGCACAGCATGGACATCGACTACTCTGTGTGGGGTTTCTGGCAGAACCAGGTGGCTCTACTGGGAATGATTCTTGTCTGCATGATTCTGGCCTACGTGCAGCTTCGACGAATCAACCGCTGGAAGTGATCCCCGACCACCCATTGACTTTTTTATCAACCAGACGTCATGATTTAATTGTATTTATTTAAATAACAACAGCTTATATTTTATTATGTTTACAGTGGGTAAATCTTTAACATGTCATTATTGTCTTCATTAGTTAAAATTAGATGTGCTAAAAGGTACACGTGGAATCTTTTGCTCCATGACGTTTTCACGACAAACACGTGTTGTAACATTTGACTCCAAGCTTGATAAGCTGCTACTTAACGTACTTGGTTAAGAATCAAGCCTCCGTCTAAGACCTTACAAAGCCACTTACAGTGAGTGGGCGAGCATTAGCTGCATCAAAGAAATGAGTGGAACATGTTTGGAAATATGAAGATATGTATAGATCTGTCCTCAGATTTTAAGGAAATGTTGTTGTTTTTTTGGATAGATTTAAGTTTCACAAAAAATGGATGGAATTACCACAGCGGCATTAAATGTGAACCAGAGTGTTCTACAGATCACATAGGGATGAAACATTCAATTACTCACCAACTTCATCTAAAAAATGTTAAATTATTAAAAGGAAAATGTCATTATCATTGAGTTGTATTGTTTCATGAAATGAAAAAGATTTGTGCATAAAGTAATACATATTGCTCTAAGAGAAGCTGCTCTCTGTCTAAGGCATCACCATTTAGTCTTTTTTCCTACACAGATTCTTCCACACCATCACATTTGTATGCATACTTTCATCATTCATTTTTATTGATTGTATTAATAATACCCACTGAGATAAATAATTGTTAAAAAACATTTTTTCAAGTTTATTTTCACAACTTAACAGAGCACCAGTTAATTGCATATATCACATTCAGCACATACTTACTCATATAATAAGAACCATCTCTATACAATATTAATTCGACTAAAGGTCTGTTAAACAGGGATAGTGCACCACTTAATGAACAAATTCTGTTGTAACCAACTGCAATGGTACAGACTTTTCAGAGTTTGAGACCAACATCTACAAACTAAAACTGCTTAACTTTCCAAAACTCTCATGACAGGCATAAATCTCAAAAGAACAAATGCTTATAGGTTCAGTACATTTAGACGTTTATCTTGTCCTGTAGTATAACTAAATGTAATGGAAGAACAATAACGGAAGAACATCTCACCGAAATCAACTCATAGGAGCATTCATTTACAAACCAGAAGACCACTCCGTCAAATTCACCTCTAGAAAATCTTCACACCACCCGTACTGCTGTTCAGGTTGTTCCCCACTGTTACTGGAGCGTTCTCCAGCCCCCGGAGCCACTCTGTGCACTTCAGCACCACACGTTCATCCACACCAGAGTCCTCCTCATCCTCGTACTCCACATCATCATACTTGTGTTTCTCATTCAGAAGTGAGATTTTCACTATGGAGCTAATGTCTCCCAGATCAGCATCAGCATTGTTTTTAGCAGAGGCTCTGCTGTTTAAGGAGCGGTTTCTTTGGTTTGATGCCTGGTGCCTTTTAGAGACACTTTCCCTCCTGCGTCTTGAATCGGTGGCGTTTGCAGAACCACCAGCTCCGCCTCCAGCATTCCTGGCAGCCAGGCGTTGATGTCGCTCACTGTTCCTCCGTTGCAGCAGGAGAACGGCCTCTGGCGTTAGCGTCAGTGTGAAACGAACCTCCTCTTTGTCCCTCTTCTTCACCACTGGCTCACTCTTCACAGAGCTGTGGCTGGAGTGTTTATGCGGCTGTGTCTTAGACGAAGACTCTCCTGAGCTGGAGCTGGGGGAGCTGTCTGTTTGAGGCGAGGGCAACAAGCGATCTCTTTTCTTTCCATGCAGCTCTCGAGCTGGCGCTCCTTTGGCTGCAGGAAGATGACTCTTTCTCCCCAGTTGCTTCAGGTTTAAAGTCAGTCGCTCCTTGACAGAGCTGACTTTGTCTTCTCTTGGAACTTTAGTTTTGCCCACATCACTTGTGGGTGAATTGCTGTTGAGACTTCTCTCCCTCCCAGTCAATCCGGACATGGAGCGAGCAATCGTTACAGGTGGTATGAACGGCATTTTGGCAACACACAGTAGCAAGTAGGAGAGGAGCTCGGTTTTGCAGTTGAAGGGCTGGAAGAAAGAAGAAAAGGTTGCCAAGGAGGAATCGGATTCAGTACAGGAAGCGGGATACTCCAATGCATCCTCAGCCATGCAGGGGTCATTAGGGAGCTAGAACATTGCTGCCGGGATCCACCAGTGCTCATCTGCCATGGACAGCAGAGGATCTGATGTCTTATACCTGATCAGCAAGGAGGGGTGTGGTGTGGCATGCCTCAAAATGCTCATTACTCTGCGGCTCAAAGATCTAAAATAAACCTACACCTGTAATCCTCCAGACTGATCAACAAAGGCACGTTTACTACATGCAGTGCGAGAGCACATGCAGGCTTTAATCCTGAGGGTGTTAGCTTACCAAAATGAGTGGCAACCAACATTTTTTGTTTTAGTACACATTCTTCCTTACAGATTTTTTGTCAAGTTAGTTGAGCATTAATCTTCTGGCACATTTAATCTTCTTCAGTGGAGAGGAATTGCGAATAAAAGAATGCGGTTGTTTTCCCAATTTTTGTGCATTTGTATGTCTTCGTATTCATAGAAATGTCTTTGGAAACATTTATTGAAGAAGTTTTTTCAAAATATGATTAAAAGTGTTTTAATAAATACAACTTCACAAGAACAGAAATGACATCACCGCGCATGCCAACGTACACGTTGGTTTAAAGAAACAGACATTTTACCACCCCAGTGCATGTATGGCCCATATGTTCATTCGCAGCATCCCTTCTTTTGCACATGAAGAACCTGCTGACAGCGAGGACAAGTGTGGTGGGCATCTTTGAAGTGGTTTATAAAAAATGGAATCAGACAGCAGCCAAAGAGCAACCTGTGAGACAGAAATAAAACCAATTCAGCGTTGAAACTTTAGAGTTTTGAACCTGAGAGACCATCATAGGTGCTGATGGATTGGGTGAAACCAAGATTAAGACTTTTTAATGCATGTGTCTTACCCGCAAAACACAAAAACAAGGCACATGAGCCAAGCATAAGTTCCGACTTTGAAGGTAACCTGGGTGGTGACCTGAGTGTGACAGAAGCCACATGTTATCAGAGCTGGAGAGCGAAAGAGGTTGGTTTCATAGCTCACAAATCTTGGTCTGGAACTGTCTGAAGGGTCAGCAGATACTGTAGAGATAACAAGAGGAGATGGAAATGAATGCTTAAATTGTAATCTGTACTCTCGCACTTAAAAATCAGACCACAGCTCCAAACAATGACCTGGAAATTCATTTCTGGCACTTTGGCGGACCATAAAAATAATTCTAATAAAAAAACTAACACTTTCTTTTTAAAGAATACATGACACTAAGGCCCACTGTACATCTTCAAAATGGAGCCACTTTTAAAATGTACCTGGTAAAGGTGAAGAGAAGGAATATGGTGGCAGTGGAGGGCTGTACGAGTGAATTTGAGGGGTCCAAATGTCATGCCATATCCTGCTTTCTTCTGGGGAAAAATATACACACAACTATATATTTTCCATTTAGCATATATCCAGTGACTTCTGGCCTGGAAAACCAATTAATGGGAGAATATTTTAACAGTAAAAAAAATTTTACCTGATGACAGACATGGAGGAGGAGTTGGAAATGAGCCATCCACTTTTAATACCGACTCCATTTAAGGCACTTGGAGGATCCACCACTCAAAAGAAAAAGCCCAAACGTGTGTTGATGTTTGCACCCAGCGGCAGAACCACTAAAGCCATACCAGGTGCAGGTAATCACAGTCTGCTCTCATTGGTTAAAATGGATACTATTCCTGATCAGCATTTAGCTTATAATGACAATTTGTCAGATTGTTGAGCATGTCTTTGAATAGGCTACTTTTGCTTCCTGGATGTTAAAAACAAAACAAAAACTTCTTTAAAAGTGTCTAATTTCTAAATCACAATTTCTCTGAGAAAAACACAGTAAAATAAATACATATTTGAGAAGTTGTGTATGTTGTGTTTGATACTGTAAACATGCCAACTTAATAAGAAACATATTTATGCCCATACACATGCAGTTAATAGTCAACGCATCAAGCGGGCCTTTCAAATAAATTTGCAAAAGTAATTTTATATTTTCAACCTATACATTTTCAACCTAAACAGGACTCAAGTGCTCTCAGGTGCTCTTTAAAGAAACTGTAACAAGTTAAATGTGTTATCTTTCAGCAGGGAGGGAATACTTCATACAATTTCTGATAAATAAACGCTGCCCTGGAACGTGCTATGACCTGTAAATCCACTTTGGCTGTTTTAACTTGAACCGCTAGGGGAGCTCTTTCATGCTTGTAGTAGTTGGTATGAGAGACGTCGGCGTGAACGGGGTTATTCAGTTGAATGTAAGAGCTAGCGTGATGATGCTAAGCTAGCTGTCAGTCAGGTATCCACGGTTTCTGCTGCTGAGTTAGCTACCGGATACCCCCGGTCGTGTCCTGCTGGCCGTCTTGACATTCCCTGTGCATTCCTGGACGAATTCGTGTCGACTGACCAGAGTCCGCGAATTCAGGTCCACTCCTGATCCAACCTTACCCCGCTAGCTTTACTTAGCTCGCCGGCCAACGAGAGTGCACACCCAGAGAACCGGACTGGCGAGGTGAGTTAGCGTTGCGAGCTAACGATGAAGAAAAGGTTCTCCTGTAAGGAAACGCCGGGGTCTGATACCGAAAGCACAGGCCTTCTGGTGAACGTGTACATATCAGCATAACAGCATATCATTACCGAGCCTGTTCTGACGGTCAGACGCTTTTGGCACAAATTATTTACACATTTATCGTTAAAATGAAATGCTAGTTGGGCTAATAATATTTAGCTAGCCTTAACGATTCGCTGAGTTAGCCAACTAACCCTGCCGGGAAAATTGAACTAGTTTAACGAAACAAGTAAAACGTATCCAATTTAACACGATTCATTTTGAATGTGGTGCTGAAAAATCACATTTGCTGTCACGAAATAGAATTATCGCCATATTACTTAGTGATTTACAGAGGCCAGTGAAATAGCCTCTCTCATTTGGGTTTGGTTTATCAATACAAGCTAACTGCTATCAAGTATAATCCTAGAAACTCTGCGTTTAGGATATCAGTTATCAGCATGTCTTTTTGTAGATGCTTTAAAACATTTTGGGTAACCAGTCTGATAAATGTACGGCCTGGTGCTATCGGAGTCAAAGTTCAGCTCAGCTGTGCACTCGGGATTTGTTGTCGCTATTCCAAGTTTTGCTGTGTGGCTTTGCAGAGTTGCACTTAAGGACCACACCCAAGCAAGATGTCCCTTCATCAGTTTCTGTTGGAACCCATCACCTGCCATGCGTGGAACCGCGACAGGACACGTGAGTCTTGAATATTTATCATGTTTTGATTTTGAATACCAGCTTGAAAACCCTAGGTTGGTCTAATGTCGTGAATTACCATTGGAAATCCAAAGAACCATCATGTGAAGTGGCTATTGTCAAGACCAGTTTTTAAAATGTGCCACTTGAGTCACCCGTCTGGATTTTCGGCATATGCAGGAAAGCAGTCTAACTGGTCTGTTATCAGTATTTGCATCATGTTAACCCACTATTTTCCTTTGTTTTTCTCTTTAGAAATTGCCATCAGTCCTAATAACCATGAAGTTCATATTTACAAGAGGAGTGGGAACCAGTGGGTGAAGACTCATGAGCTGAAGGAGCACAATGGACACATTACAGGTTTTCTATCTGTTCCTCTACTGTGTCTTTACACTTTTTACGATTACACGGAAATGCAGGGAACTCTAAATATATATGTATAAAAGTGTAAGTGACTATACATTTATACCAATAATTTCCTTATGATTTGGAAATATTGCTGAGAATCATCCACAGACATTGCTGTTAAAGCAAGCCCTGCATGAAATCAGCAAAATATGCAAATAATTGTGTCACGTGATGACAATTTCACTTTTAATAATAAACAAATACCTTGGTGTATGGTATTGAGCTTAGGTCTGTTCCACCTCTGCACCTGGACTGTAAGTAGAATGCAGCTGCATCAGTGCTCTTTATGTTTCCAGCTAAAAGTGTTCATGCTTATTCTAAATGATGAAAAAGAAGTAACACAAAAATAATAATTAACCAGCAGAGCAAAATTGATGAAATAGGATTCCATTTGGTCACAATAAATTTTTTCCCCTTTTGGTTTCTGTTTTTATAAATCCATAATGTTCAGCTGTCCAATAAAAAAGGTTGATGTCAGTTTTTAATGCAAAAGGTGACATTTGATTGATTATGATTAATTCCAGGTGTGTGTTTTGTGAATGGGCTGTAGGTATTGACTGGGCTCCCAAAAGTGATCGTATAGTGACGTGTGGAGCAGACCGTAATGCGTACGTGTGGTCCCAGAAGGAGGGGGTATGGAAGCCCACACTGGTCATCCTCAGGATCAACCGAGCAGCCACCTTCGTTAAGTGGTCTCCACTGGAGAACAAGTTCGCAGTTGGCAGTGGTGCCCGACTCATCTCTGTCTGCTACTTTGAGTCAGAGAACGACTGGTGAGACCATTACAACATTTTGTAAATGTATTTTGATTCTTGTAATTGAACAGTTATGATTAATTTGAGAATTGATTTGAAAAAATCAATATTGTCACCTTTTTTCTTAGCACAATCAAAATGAGACTAGTTCTTTTTTCCCTCTCAAATATACTGAGTGCTTGTCGTGTCTTTCAGGTGGGTGAGTAAACACATCAAGAAGCCGATCCGCTCCACCATCCTCAGTCTGGACTGGCATCCCAACAACATTTTGCTGGCTGCTGGCTCCTGTGACTTCAAGTGCAGGTAAAATATATGGACAATGATGAGTCTTTCTGAAGTTTAAAATTGAGAAATATTTAAGGATTGAAAGCTGCCAACCTCCACGCTTTTGATTTCTCTTTTTCCTTCTGCTCACTCCCTCTGCCCCTCCTTCTGCCTGGGCCCTCCAGGGTGTTCTCAGCCTACATTAAGGAGGTGGAAGAGAAACCAGGCCCCACGCCCTGGGGGAGCAAAATGCCATTTGGGGCTGTGCTAGCAGAATTTGGAGGAGCAAGTCCGTATTTCTGTCCGAAAATCCTCTTCAATGTTACTTGTGACCCTATTTTAACCAGACCACTTCTGTCTCTTTTTTTTTGGTTTGTTTGTTTTTTAATGTAAAACATGTGTTAGGTGGAGGGGGTTGGGTCCACTCCGTTTCCTTCTCAGCTTCTGGTAACCGTCTGGCCTGGGTCAGCCATGACAGCACTGTCACTGTGGTAGACAGCTCTAAGACTGCCAGGTAATTTAATTTCTGCACATACAGGTTTAATGTCTGTCCCACAAATGATTTTATGTGCCCAAAGAGTATTGAGTATTATTATTTTGAGGGGTTGTTGCACAAAATGAAACACAAGTGTAAGATTGAACAGTTTGCCAACACATGTCTGATCAGGCTGAAGACTGGCACATACTTGTCATTTTCTGCAGAGATGGATAACAGGATTACTTGGGTTTAAAAACAGATTAAATAAATCTGATCCTAATACAACCAGCCCTTCTCATTAAATTAAAATGATATCCAGCATATTCACATCTTTGAAAATGTAATTTAGGAAATTTAAGGAAAGGACAGAGAAATCAATGTGCACTTTATTTGCTTTTTTAATGCACAATTCATGGTGTTGTGTTCTTGTTATTGACCTTTATACATAACAAAATCCATAAATCATGATCGGATCACTAAAGCTGCCAGTGATATCATGAAGCAAAGCCCAGATAAACCCCATTCAGGGCCAGACTCACAGCATAGCATGTCCTCAAAATGGGTGACATCAATATATGGAGGGAGAGTAACAGTAACCAATACAAATCTCTGATCAATAGCCTCCAGACCTTTAGTTTATGATCACAGTGGAATGATATTTCATGAATGTGTTTCCTTTCTGCAGCTTGTCGTTTTAAATCTGTCTAAAAATGGGATAATTATCACATTGGTCATAAATTTGTGTGTGCTCAGTCCCTCACAGCTGAAGACGGAGTTCCTTCCTCTCCTCAGTGTCATTTTTATTTCAGAGAACAGTCTAGTAGCTGCGGTGAGAAAAAAAATCCCACTCATTAAATGTTTGATCCACAGATTAACTGTAAATAATGACCGACTTCAAATCTGTTGTCCTGCTCCATCAGGGCCACGACTGTTGCCCCATGCTGTTCCGCTGTGACGATGGTGGAGCGCTGACATTTGTTTCCAAGCTTGACCTCCCCAAGCAGAGCATCCAGAGGAACATCTCTGCTATGGAGCGCTTCAGGAACATGGACAAGAGAGCCACCACAGAAGACCGCAACACAGCCCTGGACACGCTGCACCAGAACAGCATCACGTAGGTCGCACACCAACAAGGAGATTTTTCCCTGCTCTGTTTCAGCCTGTAGGTTAATTCTCCTTTTGAAAGTAGGTGTTTCTTAAATGTTGGATTTAGACCTTGTCTAATCTGCTAAAGAAAGACCACCTGCTACCAAGCACCATTTATTTTATACCAGTGTGTGACTGCTGTCAAGATATGTGACACCAGGGGACAGTAGATGCTAACTAATAGTAACTCTGTTGAGGAATTATTTTCTATATTGATTTTTAATCTTGGACTCGGAAACATTCAGGACTGTCCCCATTTTTAAGGATTGAAACCCATATAATATTTTTTTCATAAATATATTATTTATAATTAATTTGATAATATATTACCCATTAGATAAATATTAAATATTTCTATTGATTTCCACACATATTTTAATTTTTTTTTTTTAATTTAGTCTTTAGGCACTGACTTTGATGCATCTAGCATCAGTTAAATTGTGCACATTGCTGTCAAAAGCAATCTTCAGATCATAGGAGTTTTTATAACTCACATTTTCTGAGTTTTCTTATAAAAATTAATTTGTGAAGACATGATGGCACCTTCCTGACTCTTGTATGTTTGAGTGTTTCATTGTTGGAACCATCACTTCTAATTTGAGAGAAGAAGGCTTCATGGTAAAGATCTAAAAACAGTGAAAGTCACAACTGAGTTTGCATCGGCTGTTTTTCTTTCTTTTTGTTTATACTTATAAACACTGTTCCCGTTTAAACTATCTGTATCTACATGTTTGTTCCTTAGCCAAGTGTCTATCTATGAGGGAGACAAAAGGGATTGTCGCAAGTTCTGCACCACGGGCATCGATGGAGCGATGACCATTTGGGACTTTAAGGTAAAGATGCTCACATGAGCAGCTTCTTTCATTTCCTCCCGTTTCCCAGCATTAAGCTCCTTCTGCGTCTCCCTCCTCAGAGTCTAGAAGCTTCTATCCAGGGACTGCGCATCATGTGAAGAAACCGGATGAATGAACGAAGAGACGCTGCAGCCTCACTTCTCCCTCTCACCTCCTCATTCCTCCCCTGTTCTATCTCACCCTCCACTCCTGCAACGCAGCCAGTAACACACATGACTGACCACCTCATCGAGTGTCTGCGGAAGCACTGATCAGACCATAGCACACTCTTACAGACCTGTACTTACATGCTCACACACTAAACACACGCGCACACTAAACACACTGAGCTGACGTGTGACATCACTGTTGATTATTTTTTTCTTTTCTTTTTTTTTTTCTCTTTTTGGTTTGTTTTTAAATGAAGGTGAACTTGGTGTCAAAGTGGGGAAACTCTTCTGACACATATTAAACTTGATGTGAAATGTGTGTTTTTATGTTCTAAAACCTCCTGTACCAAAAGTTGAACTCTAAATGGTGCGTTTTATCCAAAAGTCAGAATGTTCAGTTCAGACCAACCTTAGCATGGTCTCCAAATATCAGCGTTGAGAAGGTTCGAGAATGTGATGTTTTCCTCACTGGGGGATAGCAAACATTCTTTAGCAAGTGAAGTCGTCCAGACAAGAACCAGGGGAATTTGATATTCTGAGTACATGTTGCTGGTTGTCTGTGTGAAATCTGTTTAGGATCTGATGGTGAAGAGAGAAAGCAGCTGGATGAAGTCAGCGAAGAGTCACAGCTGATCATCACTGGGCTCTGTAGCTACTACACTAAAACCACACAAGATGGAGGATTTCTATGTGACTGGTCATGAGGTAGACATGAAATAAAGATGAAATACATTTACACTACACATAAGGCTTGATTACTCTTTCTTTGCGTGTTTTTCCTTTTTGTCAACAGTATCTGAAAATAACTGGCACCTCAAAAAAGATGCAAAAATGAAAATGAGCAGTTTCATTTTTATAACTTGAAAATTGTGTTTTGTTAAATTGTTTGGGTTACATTGTCTTTGTATTACAAATATGCAAACAGAACCTAAAGCATGGTCAGATGTCTTACCAAGGGCTGAAACATTAGTGACAGAGAATAGGTAAGAAATAAGAAGAACAAATCCAGCATAAGAACCTTATTCTGTCGGTAAAATGTGGTGGCAACCCTTCATGAATATTTGCTTCTCAAAAAAAGGATTTCATTTTGCTGTCTGTTACTGTTTCTGAACAGTGGAAGCTGAGCCTTTTAAGCAGGATCACTCTACATGATGCGCTATAGAGGCAGACCTGCAGCCGTTTTCACCACAGGTTAGGAAGGATAATTAAATGCATTACAGTTTTTGTGTGACAGAGCTTCTTAATGGATACTTTTTGTGGGTTTGGCTTAAAAAAATACACAACATTCACGGTATTTTACCCTTGATAGATCAACTAAGGTCAGGACCAATTTAGTCTGCTGGATAAGAGAAAACAGCCATAAGAATTTTTCATTTGTAGCACATAAAATAAGAATACATCACTCAGTGGCATGTGGGATTTTTTTCCTAAGCTCTTTAAAGCTGTCTTTGTTCATTCGCCGTTTAAAGTCTTTACAGGAGCTTCAATCTATGGCTGACCACCATCAAAACACACTACATTACTAATCAACAAAAACCTGTAATTTCTACACCTGCAAAGAAAAGCTGCAAATGATGAGGTTCGAAGTTAAAGTCAACTGCAATTTGTAAAAAATAATGAGGTTCTAACTCTGGAGTAGGTACCCTGTCATTGCCACCCCTGTCTATATAGCAGCTCATTCCACTGTGAAGTTTTAGGCAGAATCCATGAAATAGGTTTAAAAGTAACTATTAAAAAAAAACTTCCCCATTGTAACCCAAGATAAGGTGGAGAAAAGGATTATTAAAATATTCTAGCGCCGCTGCAGAGATTCATGTCTGAGAGAGCACGAGCTGCATATTTCATCGCTTCAAAGAAAAATGAGTTTGATAAGAAACTTATCAAATAGATAAAAGTTAGACGTCTTTAAATGAAAGAAAAGCAGAAGCAAATGTGAATAATCGGCCCTCTTTGTTCTCATGACAACGCCCTTTCCTCCCCCTCAACATTTCAGATTTCCTCCCTCCTCTTTAACTTGTTTCTCTCTTTATGCAGAAGTAGCGATTGGTCCCTCCCCTTTCTTCTTCAGTCTTTGTAGCCTTTCCCCCCCTCTGTCTCAGCCACCTCCTCCTCTCAGCGTAACATTGTACTGTGTTTGTGCTCCTCCTTCCCTTCCAACTTTAGCCAGTGCACGTTCTTTTTAATCTCTAATCCATTTTAGAGACTATTTGTCCCTGTTCTCTAACATTTGAACTAATGTGAGACTGTAGTTTGTTTCCACCCTGAGCCCAACACTGCAAACTTCCTGTATATTTGAGTGTCTCTGTACCCTCCTCCACTTCCCCCTCAGTCCTCTCCTCCCTCTCTTCAGCTCAGTTCCTCTCTTCCTGAGTTTACTCTGTCGTTGGCGTTCGCGTTGACTGGCCAGAGTCCGCGAGCTGAACTCTCTCCCTTGTTCTACCACCTTTCTCTACCTCTTGTTTTCTTTTCACTTCTCCCATTTATACCGCTACTCACCCATTCATCTCTGTCCTGCCTCAGGGTAAGTAGCCTTGAACAATTTTCCCACTTGACTGAGTATGTTTAGAACATGTCATACTCACATACCCGCATGCACACTTTGAAAGGATGGTGTCTTTTCAGTAAAAGGAAAAAACACCCCAAGAGTAAGGTAGTGTGGGTATTATGTAACATCTGGGCCTGCTTTTAAAGTTACTGGTTGTTTTGGAGATGTTTGATTTTTGATTTTTTTTATCATGCTTGTGTGTTCAAACTTTTTTGGGCTGTTTGATTTGGAGATGCGTGTTACCTTTGACCTGAATAGTTCTTGACATACCTCAGAATGTCTGGATTTCATTAAGACAACCTGAGTTCACATTAGCTTGATGTGAACTCTGGGCTGTACTAGATGTTCCACTTTGGATCATCTAATACAGTTAGGCTGAGGAAATATCTGTTAATCATTAACATTTTCACCTTTTACTTCCTCATTCTAAAAAACCTATTTCAACTTCCTTTTTCACAGATCTGATTGTAAATCTACCAGACCCTGGTTCCTCTCGGCCCACTTCCTGATCTGATTCTGATACCCGATTGGCCATGGCGTACCACAGCTTTCTACTGGAACCAATTAGCTGTCATGCCTGGAACAAAGATCGGTCCCGTAAGTTTGTCCATCGACTCTGGTTGGTCACTTGTGAGAAGATGTCTCATCTTTGTGAGGTTGGAATCGCAGACATTAGGGCACCGCTCACTCAGACCACAGTCTGAAGAACAAATTGTGAGGTATGCTCAAAGGTGGGAGAAGGCATTTCCTGTTTCCTGTAACAGTCTGTGGTGGCGTCAAACGGTCACATCTCATGTTCTGTTAGCTTAAGGAAACCACTACCTTATTTGGCTATTTTGATCAGCACTTTGGGTTCTGGGCAAAGTGGATGTACATGAAATCACCCGCAGTGCTGTTCTTACACAAGCACTTAATCTGACTCATCTGTGGACTAAAACTTGCAGAGTTTGCTACAGACCACGGAAAGAGATGTCTCTGTAGTTGCTCACTGTCTATTTAAAGATGCCATGTGTCTGTGTGCTACCCTCAGGCAGAGACATACTGTATTTCTGTAGTTTTCTCTGTTTGCATGCATCCAGTCAGCTGCTCCATGTTCCACTCCACTGATCACAAACATCTCCTGCCACTCACTCTGCACTCTGTCCTCTCACTTATTCATTTGCTTTCCATGCTGACTATTTTCCCTCTTGGGGTCAGTGCTTTGTGCTACAGTGGAGTACTTTATTGTTTGTTTTTTTTTGTGCTCCAGAAATCGCCCTGTGCCCCAACAACCACGAGGTTCACATCTACAAGAAGGATGGGACCAAGTGGACCAAAATCCATGAGCTGAAGGAGCACAACGGGCAGGTGACAGGTGAGACACACTTATAGATACATAAATACATGCAATTTCAAGTTCTAATGAAATTCAATCCTCTCTCACATTTCTCTACGTCTGTCTCATTTAAAGCATGACATGGTGATGGCTTTAGTAAACTTAGCATTTTTTCCAAATCTTTTATTCCTCAGGGACACCAGGTCCATTCTTGGTGTACAAAGATAAGAGTTTAAAGGAAAACATTTCAGTTTTGGTTACAGTGCTTCTCCCATAAACTGTGGGTTTATTCCCTTCTGCTGAATGTGGGATGAACACGAGCAGACTTATCAATGCGTGTTAGGTTTACCCAGCAGAAAGATACAGAGTGAAAGACGTGCTTCTAAAGCTCTCCTATAAGCTTCTTAATTTGTGCTGTGACCTTTCCATGGAGACTCAGGCTACTGTTTTCCACATTTCCTATCTTACAGTTTAGTTACTAAGCAATAGATGCTGACTCTTTAAGCAAGTCTCTCATATAGTTTTGACACTCAAAGTGGACAAAATGGAATTTCTCTATTAGGTACTGAATATTATGAGGGTGGACCATCCTTTCCTGTGCAGGTATTGACTGGGCTCCAGACAGTAACCGTATCGTAACCTGTGGAGCGGACCGCAACGCCTATGTGTGGACCCTGAAAGAGGGAACATGGAAGCCCACCCTGGTTATCCTCAGGATCAACCGCGCCGCCCGCTGTGTGAAGTGGTCACCAAAAGAGAACAAGTTTGCTGTTGGCAGCGGCTCGAGACTCATCTCCATCTGCTACTTTGAGCAGGAAAACGACTGGTGAGGCTCCAGGGAACTCCTGTCCCTAATTTACAATGAAGGCTCCATTAGAGTTTTATGAACCACTGGTTTGGAGATTGTGAAACAAAGTGTTACCATATGCAGGTGGGTGTGCAAGCACATCAAGAAGCCGATCCGCTCCACCATCTTGAGCTTGGACTGGCATCCCAATAATGTCCTGCTGGCTGCTGGATCCTGTGACTTTAAATGCAGGTATGTCTCCCCAAAAGTCATTCCTGTGAATCTGCAAGGCCATAAGCAACTGCCATGAAGATGACTTCACAGATCTTAGAAATATTTAACAGCACTTGTTCAACTCTTTTGCTGCACAGAATGTTCTCAGCCTACATAAAGGAGGTGGAGGAGAAGCCCGGGCCTACTCCTTGGGGCAGCAAGATGCCATTTGGGGAGATGCTGTTTGAGTCTGGAGGGGCCGCAGCTGGAGCTCCGACTTCAGGAGGAGGTGGCGGTTGGGTGCACAGTGTGTGTTTTTCACATTCCGGCAACCGCCTGGCCTGGACCTCCCACGACTCAACGCTGTCCGTTGCAGAGGGAGGAAAGACAAGCACGTAAGAGAGACGGGAGAAGTGTACCTGTGTATGTTGGTTATGATCTCAGTGTCAGTCTGTGACCTTTTATCGTGGTCTCCACAGCGTGAACAGTCTGAGTTCAGCAACGCTTCCCCTCCTGTGTGTTACCTTCATTACAGAGAACAGCCTAGTCGCAGCTGTAAGTATTCAACACATATTCAGCACTGGGAGCCTTCAACAGTCACATCTCTATTATTTCATTAGGTGTAGTTATATAGTTATTATTAGATATAATTATAGTCTCACTTGATTTTACTCTCTATATATTTACCTTTCTACATTTGAGGACAAATAAGTGATCGATACATCACAATGTTGAACTATACCAACTCACAAAATGACAAAAAAATACGGCTACTTCTAATGAGGGTAAAAAGTTCAATTTCTTCCCAGTTTGCTGTGTCCTCATTTTCTTGTTTTATGGGTGTAAAGTCTCACACATTTAAAAGCTGCCATACATCCTTGAAAAATATGATTTTTTAGATCATTTTCCTGTCTCCACTTTTTGTAGCATCTTTGGGCTTTACCAACCTACATATACGTTTCTTTTCTTCAGGGCCACGACTGTTACCCCGTGCTGTTTGTGTATGATGAAGCCAAGGGAAGCTTGACATTCGGGGGAAAGCTTGACATTCCCAAGCAGGCTGCCCAGAAGGGCATCAGTGCCAGGGAACGCTTCCAGAACCTGGACCGTCGAGCCTCAGAGACCCAGAGCACTGACAAGGAGCTGAACACTCTCCATAAGAACAGCATCAGGTCAGGAGAAAATTATTTGAGCCTAACACAGGCCGTTGGTATTAAAAAAAAGTTCTGATTAGTTCTGATGATGAACAGCAGATAAGCACATAGGTAGTTGGAAAAAAAAGTGTCTGCTAAATTCATAAACATAAACATAAAGGTAATTTTGCAATACAAAATCAGTGAGATTATGCTACATATAAACGGCTGGATTATAAACTAGCCTTTATTTATTTCTAAACTTTGCACTCTGATATTTATCATCACAATTGTCAACAATATTACAGCCAAATCTCAGTGCTGGAAGGGGGGAGGAACAAGTGTACCAAGTTCTGCACCACCGGTATGGATGGAGGAATGGGCATCTGGGATGTCAAGGTAACCTTAAAAGACACAGACAGACTGTCATATTTTTGGGCATATCATTGAGATTTTACATGTTGACCTCTGTGTTTTCAGACTCTGGAGTCGGCTATGAAGGACCTAAAGATAGTGTGATCTGAAGTTTGCATTTCCCTGACAGAAATGTAACTGGAGACACAAAGAAAACTGTTGCCTTATTACACAAAGCTTCTTTGCTATATCTTAAACATGTATATTTTTTAATTAAAAATGTAAAATGAATGATCAGACCACCGATCAAACAGTGTTTGAAATCCTTATGAAGCTCTTTACTGGTCCTATTAAATTCAATACAGAGGGGCTGACCTTAGCTCTGCAAATGGTACTTAATGATTCAGATTAGTACATTCACAAAGAGCTAAATCTGTGCTAAATGCTTGAAGCAGCAATTTTATATTAATCTCAGTAAAAGGCTGAAGTACTTTTAAAAGCTTATGCTGGTCATAATATGCATTAAATAAAGGAATACTGTTACAACTCTCAGCAGAGGTTGGTTCATTGTGTCAATAATTTTATTTTAAACCTGAACAAAGTCAATCTCAATAATTTAAGAGAGCAGTCATAGAACAAGCTCAAGGTTTATGAGGATCCTGGGGAATAAAACAAGACTATAACAAGACTATCTGAGCAGTCCTGAGCTCCTGTCAGGCTCAATATGTGAGCGGGACTGCAAGTTACCGGATGGCAATGAAGAAAAATGAATAAGTCCAGCACCCTTAGCCCCAAGATCACAATGGGATTTATGTGGGATCTTTAGATGCAGACATCTAGAACCTGGAGAGAACCCACGCAGACACAGCGAGAACATGCAAACTCCACAAAGAGAGGTCCTGGTTCTGGTAGCAAAGATGCTCAAAGAACTCTGTTTGACATATTTCAACTTCTATTTTTGATCTATTCAGCATGGTGTGCAGTGTGTCCTTGAAATATGAAAGGAATGAAGAAAAATCAGTCCTGCAAAACTATGCACAGTGGATTAACAGTATCTGAAGAAATATTCTTAAGTAATGGAGAAATAATGTCTTGGAAGAAGTTTGGAGAGTCTGCTTGAATACATTTTTAAAACATATCTAAGCGAGTTGAGGCTGTGTTGAAGTTTAAAGGTTCTCAGACCAATTACTGATTTTCAGTATGTAGTCCATTTTCACAGGTCTTTGTAGGTTACCGTGCATGACCCTGAAGAGGAGAAAATGTGAGGGCCGCCTCATGCTTTTGCATGTTCACTATGAAAACCTCGATATAACACCCCATTTTACAGAGTGGAAACCCTTAGCAAAAAGTAACTAATGTAACAGAATAAATTAGAAGTATCTTAAACAAGTCTATTGTAGTAAGTATTGCAGCAATACATGAGTGTATATATAGAAATAAAATAAATAAAGCGTCTTGAATCTTACATGTGAAGGGGAAAGACCCCTTTGGTTGTTCTATTTGAGTGTGCGCCTGCAGCACCATCTAGTGGCCGAAGCCGGAAGTGCAGAGACGGGCGGCACGATCTCCCTCCTCTACGGACGAGTCCCCTCAGAAAATGATGTGGCAGCCTTCAGCGATGAAGAACAGCTTTCCTCGTCGAGTCGTGATGAGGAGATGAACCGGTGGTAGTGGAGAGAGGCGGGGAGAGAATCCCACGTGCACACGCACACGCGGACACGCACACATCAGCTGGACTGACCGTTTCCCAGAGAGAGAGAGAGAGAGAGAGAGAGAGACTCATCCTCCGACGCCCACACTTCCGGACCGGACCCTCTGAGAGGCAGCTGCCGGTCGGGATGCGTCGGTCTCTCGGTTCTGCATGAGACGAGCTTTTAGGACGACGACGGGACTCGATGGTGCCTGTTGGGTTTCGGTGAAATCTGAGCCGAAGTGACACATCGCAGCGGTTCCATCGCCCAACGCTCAGCGGGGATTCAGGCTTTGAGCTGAACTGTCTGTCTGCCGTCAACTGTTGCTTATTTCCATTGTAAATGAATCTTGTAAGGTAAGCGGAATTGTTGCCTGTCACTTCACCCATTAGAAGCCACGGATGGGAGCCCCGGTGTGGGAGCAGCCCATGTGTCCCTGCTGCCTGGTGCTGATGATGATGAGGATGCTGAGGATGCTGCCTGGCTTTGATGAGCAGTTACAACATAATATTTGCATTCTGTCTCATAACCAGTGGTCTATTTTTTAATGTGTAATGCATGTTATATTTTCTTGACAAATATTCTAACAGTATACACACATGACACCTCCTCCAGCCCCGATCTTCCTCCTCATCATCATTATTATTGGTGTTCCAGGGTGTTTTGTTTTTTTCCTAGTGGGCCATTGACCACTGGAAATCATCTTGGCATTTACTTTTAGTGCCACATCAGCTTCTGAATACTTTCTCCATTGAAGGATCTATTTCCTTGGCCTACAGATATATTGACATTTGACATTTTCTGACCTAGCCCCAAATGTGCTAACGTGCATGTTGTGTTATGCTCACGGCAGCTGTTTTCAGCTGGTAATTTGAGGGTATAAGTGACATCTTAGTTCTGTTACGTAACATCTCCCTGTTTGTTTTCCGGTGGCTGTCCTGCCCGGTGTGTTCCTCCTTACATGCACTGGTTGTCATTAAATGGTACACAATTTTGGTTTGACAAAGTTGCAAGAGTTTTGATGGCCAGTGCTGTTCATTGTCAGTGAGAGGGGGAAAAAACTGTCAGCTCTGGGAGTTTATCCTCTCAGCTGTAATGATTTCAGCTTTAATGTTTTACACCATTTCAACCCAGACTTGAAGTAGTGAAATAATGTTTTCTTTAAGCCTCGCGTGATCTGGAGTTATCAAAATCATCAAAAATGGCAAGACTCAATATCATGAGAAATTGTTAAGCAAAGATGTTGACCATTTCGAAAAATAATTTTGGTTTAAACCAATCAAATGATTTGTATGTATATTTGATATATTATTTGATTAATTTCTCCAGGCTCTTAGAAAGAGCAGTTTCATTGGAGAATGTTCTTATATTCCATAAAACTCCATGTATTAAGTTTGTTTTTTTTAAAGGGAATTTTTTCAATGGCAAAGAAGGAAAGTTTATGCTTTTGGTTTTTTTTTATCTCCCAAATGAGATTTTCCAAAAAGTCATCGTGACTATTACCACCTGCAAGTTGTTTGTGATAGTTTAAGTCAGACTGAACAAAAAATGAGTGAGTTTGTGATTCAATGCCTAAAGTTTGAATGACATGTGCTCAAGTTGACTTGACCAATTTAAACTTCCATCATGTTAACTTACAGTGCTAAATATAGGAAAGAAAAGCTCAACAGAAACCCGTCCTGCTGATGTATGATTAATTCTCTATTTGTCCTGCTGTTGTGTGAAGACACTTATCACGATGTTCCCACTGCTCTCCTCCTCTCTGTCCACTCACTGTGTCTCGGCCTGGCCCGCGGCCCGCTAATTATCAGCCAGCTTGACAAAGTCATTAATGACCCAGCCAGGCCTGCTGGGCCTGGCACTGACATAAACACACAAACTCACACCAAACAGGGAGCCACTCAGACAGAGTGAGGCCACCGTTGGACTTTGGAAGTCTTTTATTTGGGACAGGACGACGAGTTTCTGGGTTGGGTCAGCCCGTATTAATAGCTCTGAATAAGTGTCGCTCCATAAACAGGAGACGGAAAAAAAAATCACAATGAAGGAGAAAGAGCAGAAAATAGATGAGACACCTTTTTTTCATTACTAGTGTGTATGTGGGAGGTGGATTTCTCACCCTAGTTTTTCTTCTTCACCTGTCTATCATGGCCCACATGGCAACAAAAAGGTTTAAAACACCTTTTGTAGGAGGAGAGCACTTTCAACTGTCTATCACACTGCTTTGCACTAACACACACACACATTAAGGGCTAATGTAGGAGCAAGACTCTTTTCAAACAACTGTTTTAAGAAGACAATATGAAACCTTGCATGGTTTTCCCTCCTGTCGTGTCGGTTGACGTATGCCCTAACAGCGATGCATATTTTAACAATATGGATAAATTATGTTATGTCCCCCACATCGTTAGTATCAACATGAATTATAAAAACAATTGGATGCTTAAAATGCTTCTTCCATGTAAGTCCCACCAGTCTTAGAACAATGTGTGTGTGTGTGTGTTTGTGTGTGACTGTCTTGTATGTGAGAAACAGATAGAGACAGGGAAAGATCTAGGTCTCTTATGAAATCTAGCACTGCAAGATAGAGCTATTAGTAGGGAGGAGCTGTGGTTTAGTGTGTGCGTGGATCTGTTTGTCCATTTGGCGTCCTGCATGTTAATTCAATCATGGACAAAAACAGAGAGGAGGCACAGCAGAGGACCTGCAAAGGGAGACGGAAGAAACGAGGAGTTTTCTGTTGTTAAAAAAAAAACACAAAAAAAAACAATCCCTTCTCAGTGGTTTCCATGACAACAGTGACATCACTGATGGAGGGCTACCTCGTGAGCCATTCTGGCTTTTTTTTTTTTGTTGAGGTGCTCGTTTTCAGAGGAACTGATCTGAGTCAACCCGCTGGTCTGTTTGCGTGTGTGTGTGTGCGACCGTGCAGGCACAGTTGTACATGTGAACTATTTATGAAAGAAAATACCAGGACAAACCCCTGCTTCAGTCATTTCGGGGTTACCCATGGTTGCCAGGCAACAGCAGCCATGGCAACAAGTTGAAGCATGATCTAGTGTTGCTAAGCGAAAGGAGAGGGTGGAGGTGAGATTTTATTAGCAGGTCTGAAATGTAGGAGGATCTAAAATACACATGTTCCACATCACTTTTAGGAAATTATGTCTTTATGCAGCCAGATAGTAAAAACCAGAACCCTGGGTTAAGATTTTAAACCAAGCACCTTTTTTCTATAAAAAATAGAAAGTTAGAAGTGTTATTAAAAAGATGTATTTTTTTCAATTGAAGAAGAATTACTTTGTTTTTGAGTACACGTAATGCTCATGTGACTGTAATAACTAAAGAAAGTTGTAGGAAACTACTATAGATTAAAAAACAAAAATGGTACTCATGCATGTCATGAATATGAACGTGCACCTGCTTAGTTTTTCCATGTAAACAGACTGATGGTCCATTTATCCATGCCCTACAGAAAAGGGTCCAAGACAGTAACACAAAAGAAGTCATTTGAGACTATTCTTCTCTGGTGCTCCTACTTTTGAGACTAGAAATAGGTTATACAAGCAGGGTGTTAATTTGTTTTTGTTTTTTACATTTTCATTATCAGCTTTGCAGGTAAATGAAGATTGTTGCATTGTTTTATATATATATTGATATTATATGTGTTTACGGTACAGCCATTTTGTTAGTAGTACGATCAGATGTCTTAGGTTTTAGCTCAGACTATCATTTTCAAATCATCAAATGTCTGATCATTTTCAGGTATATGAACAACCGTGTTCCATCCAACAAGAGATACCAGCCCACAGAATATGAGCATGCTGCCAACTGTGCCACACATGCGGTGAGCTCACATCCACATGCACACACACTCCGCAGAAGGTTATTAGCCATCTCATGCAGATGAGGCGACGCTCCCTGTGAAAGTCAAGCAGGGGAATGACGCCATCAAACCGCCGCAGCACCGTGAACCTGTGCTGCGGGACTGCCGGTTCACCCGTCTCCTCTCATTTTTTCCCTCGGGTTGTGACTTCTTCTAGTTGTGGATAATCCCCAGCCTGCTGGGCAGCTCCGTGTTGCACTTTGAGTCGGAGGACCAATGGGAGCGGCTGTCGGCCTGGGTGTACGGGGCGGGGCTCACCTCGCTCTTCATCATCTCCACCCTGTTCCACACCGTGGCCTGGAAGAAAAGCCACCTGAGGTACGCATACCACGCATGCTTGGGAATGAATTTCTAACAATATGTGGACTTCAGAATGACACAAACCCGACTCTTTCTCCAGGTCTGTGGAGCAATGTTTCCACATGTGTGACAGGATGGTGATTTACTTCTTCATTGCTGCCTCCTACGCGCCTTGGTAATCAAAGCAGCCTGCAAAGTGTGTGGGTGTGTGCAGATACATATGCCAATCTGCCTTCATTTTGCCTCCTCTACAGGCTGAACCTGCGGGAGCTGGGCCCCTGGGCATGTCACATGCGCTGGCTGGTGTGGGTCATGGCATCTTTTGGAACCACCTATGTCTTCTTCTTCCATGAGAGGTCAGTAGCCTCGCTCTCCGCACACATAATCAATCAGTTATGTGACAAAGAAGTCTTCACTAGAATGGCCACTCTTTGGCTTTTTGATGCTGCAAACCTTTTATTCCGATGGTTAAAGCACAAGGCGGACGCAGACCATTTGTCATTGCTGCGTTTTATATTAGAATAGAAGGAAACTGAGATTGTTTAAGCTCCTTTCTCCTTTAGCTTAACAATTTTTTTTCAGTACTTCATTGCCAAATTGATTTCTTGAGCCCCAGATATAAAATACGTGACGCCTGTGCTAAAGTACTCCTCTCTCCCTCAGATATAAACTCATGGAGTTGCTCTGCTACACAGTGATGGGAGTGTTTCCTGCCCTGGTCATCGTCTCAATGGTGAGGTCACTCGGTTTAAGTGCTGTGGTGTATAAATACTTACAAAGTCATAACCCTCCTACCTCTCCCCAGCCGGAGCAGTCGGGGTTGTATGAGCTGCTGATCGGCGGAGCCTGCTACTGTCTGGGTATAGTCTTCTTCAAAAGTGATGGCATCGTCCCATTCGCTCATGCCATTTGGCACTTGTTTGTAGCAATGGGAGCAGCCATACATTACTACGCCATCTGGAAGTACCTCTATGCCCAGGCTCCCAGTCAGGTCCAGACCTCCAGATGACATCAGTGATGACTTCACAGGAAGTAGCCCCTGTCAGAGTGACGTGAGCTGTGTCCAAATTCAGGGGATGCCCCGTATTTATGCCGATAGGCTGACCGTGGTCTCTGAACAAACTAAAGCTGTTGGTGCTCTCGGGTGATGCTGCCTAACTCATAAATTCAAACATTTTCTGGTTCCGCTCCACACAGCTACCTTCAATTGTCATACAAACCTTTGAAATCAACTGGAGACAGTTTTCAGAAAACATTTCCTGTAAATTGTTATTGATCATTTTCATTTCTTGCTAACATTCAAAATGGAGTAAATGGAAGCTATACACTCATTCATAGGCATGTTTTTGTTTTTTCTGTGAATTGCTTTATTTAAAGTTTGGTTACTGGTGGTAAAACGCCTTAGTTGATGTCAAATAATTCCATTTTTTACTTTGTTATGAGGACATCCATAAGACAGATGCCAGCATGAACTGATGATGGCATATAAATATCTGAGGGGAGCATTCTGAAGCAGCTAAGGCACCATTTTGTGATGAATTTGTACTTTATGAGTGGCAGCTCGTGAACTTGGACACAACTCTTGTTTCCACCTAGATTCTTTTTGATGTAATTTCACAGTGTTTTTGCAGGAATTTGGCTTCATATCAATGATCAGGGGTCAATAATTACTCTTTGAGAATCTTTCTCTTTGTGGTCCAGAGAAAGACAATGTTTACAATTAGCTGCTTTGACTATCATCATTAGTTTAAACAAATGTTATAGTTTGATGGTATGATTTTATTTAACAAGTTGCAACATGAATAGTTCACCATTGCAATTCAGAGTTCTAGAAATTGTATTATTGTCATTAGTATTCCAATCTAGTACTCTGTATGGTTTCAACAAAGGTTTCTACAGTCAGTGGTGTACTGTAATTTCCAAATGAAGCACGATTAGAGTTCTATTTTTATGTTGGACATGCTGATACTCATGATTTTGTTATTGGAGACTATATATGTATGTGTCTGCATCTGCTATGCTCTATACACTAGATTGTCAAGCATATTTACTGAATTTAATCGAGTTAGTTCAGTGAGTCAGGGGTACACTTTATACATCCCTTGAAAGATATACAGTGTATGTTGATTCACTTATATTTTCCTATGATTATCTCATGGTGTCCTAATTAGATAGAAAACAGTGGATAGTTCCTCAAAACAATGGGGTTGATCCTCAGTGGAACAAAAACACAACATGACTCAGCACTGCCAGAAGACTGACTTACTGCCGAAACTGACAGCACACTACTACCGTAATGCAGCGTGTCTCCCATCGAAAAGGAAACTCAAGCTATAGCATTGTTTAACAATCTGGCTCAATATTAAGGCATCTCAGGAGTGTATGCCTGGTTTATGTGTGCAAGTGTTTGATTGTGTGTCTGTTTGTATGTAGCCGTCACTATCTTACTCCCATGTATACAAAGCCTCTGACTGGCTTGGCCAATGTTTACACATGGACAATGTACCTTGAACATACAGAAATATATATTTGTTACTAGTGTTTATGTGGTGGGATGCTGTATCCCAGACAAACTTGTACAGTACGATGAATGTGGCTATAGGGCCAGAAGGTCAAAACATCTGTAATTCAAAGATGTGGGGGAAAAAAAAGGTTTAGTCTCCCGTTCATCATCTTTTCACTGCCACGTGTTTCTCAGGATTTGGAATATTTTGGCGTAAAGTACGAAAAGCCAAATACAAGGACCACCAAAACTACTCCAGTTTTACAGGTACTGTCTGCAGCAGTGACCTGGAGATTTATTTAATGTGTCATTCACATCCCCATGCGCAGACAATAGTCCCAGGAGTTTTACATTTATATTTGCAGGATTACTAAACAGAATGAGCTCCAGGAAAGGAGAAGTTTCAGTGAAAATCTTTTTCCTAAAAATTCCACAAATCAAGACAACAAACGACACTTTTGAAGAAAACTCTTCATTTCCAGTATCATCCGATAATTAGAATTGTAATCTGTTAAAAAAAAACACTTCGATTCACAGATTTTGAGTAATTACTCCCTTATTATTCAGTTTAGTCATTCCTCGGGAAAAAAAGATGAAAAAATAACCTAACCCTAATTCTTTTAGAAAAACTGAGAACATTTTGTGATATTCAGTTGCTGAAGAAATAATAATCTACTATCCAGACTAAAAACTAGTCTGCAGAGACAGCTTCCTGCCCAAAAGTAACACATTATATAGAAAAAGTATACAAAACTAAAAAAGAGTACCTCTTTTAGCAGATCTTGTACCCACTGTTGCCTTGCTAAACTTACCTGTTTTTTTCATTCATTTGATTATTTATTGCTGACAATAGTTAAGGTGCAACAAAAAAATAACATGACTGAATCTTAAATAATCCGTTAACAACACCTAAACAAACCAAACCTAAATCAAAATATGAATATGTTATTAATAAATATATTTATCTCACAATAACTATAAATAAACTCAAATGTCATAACTACAATTAATTGAGGATCAAGCGGTTACGATAATGGATTGATGGATGGATCATGGCCAAGTGGGAATTAGTTAGGATATGTAGATATGTCTACTGGAAATGATTCTCCTCACATGTATTCCTAAATGCAGATCTGCTTATAAATATTTTGATCTCTGATCCTCTGGGATGTTGCGAACATTTGAGATTTTATCGTCTGTGCTGCATCATAGTCAGTATTTAAATCACACTCACATGTGGCCATGAGGTGAAGTTTAGGATTTTCCATGTCTGCCTCTATCTTAGTTGCTGTTTCTGTGTCATTCAGAGACACACCAGACTTTCTATATATCTCTGTAGTTTTATAAACTCTACGTACAGCCTTTGTGGACCCTCTGAACAGTATTTATAGATGCTCTTTAACTGTGGTTCACTATTTTCATTCCTGCCAGTGTTTTTCTCTCTTTGCTCCAAAAAGACTGATAACACTTACCCACATTTATTATCTCTATAGTTTTCTATAATGGTTATTGTGTCTGTGGTGCTTTTTGTGCTGTGATAAGCCAATATGATGCCAACAATGCTATTATCTTTTCTATATATATTGTAATAGAAATGCTTTTTCATGCAATATTGTCCTGATCTCATTTCCTTTCGGTCTCCAGTTGTTTTCCTTCCTGTTTTCCTACATTTTTTCAGCTACATTATAGCGCAAAAAGAGGGATAGCAACAACATGAACAGCAGCAGTTTTGAACACTGAGCTCACTGTTCTTAGATGTATGGTTATTAAAAAAAGAAGAGGATATATTTGAATGGCTTTAAGGCCATTTTCTTATGCAAAGGATTAAAAAAGTTTCTTGGAACATTTTCTCAGATGAGAATGTCATATTTGGGAGTAAGTAAGTGGTATTGAAACATTGACAAATATTATATAAAAATGCCTACTTTCTATTTAGTAACTGAAAGGTTGTATTTTATAATACAGAATATAACTTATAATAAGTAAAGGCAAATTAGAATTATGTATAAAAGAACTCCCATATTATCGCTTAAATTGTTACATTTCTATTTAACAGGTACAATCTTTCAGGGAGAAATTATTATGAAACAATAACTTCGCTATATTTTGATATGTGTGACAGAAGAGATATTAGGAAGCAAAAAGCGTAGTTTTTCCAATCTCACCCAGAGAAAAATCTTTTACCATTAAATCCTATTTAGAGTACATTTATATAAGTTTGTACGTCATGAATGTTTACCATATTTAGAATTATTTTTAACTAGGCTTTTTGAGGATCAACTCTTAACGTCTTAAATAAGAAACAAAGAATGAAACATTTTCCTCCATCAGCACACACATAACAACTGCATTCAGACGATGTACTTATTCACATTTCTGTCTTTTTCTTAATCAAACTTTGAATAGAAAACTATGGATTTAAAATTAACTAAATATAGTGGCATAGAATACCTCATTGTGTCATTTAGGTGAATGTTTTAACACCAAATCAGTTTTCTAATGTAGTCCTGAAATTTGAGACAGAGTTTAACGTGAATATATAAACAGCATGAAAGTTCAATAAAGTACCCTAGATCTTCGTTATAAAATACATTAAAAGTATTAGTTTGGGAGTACTCTCCCTCTGTCCTCGTGTTGTGCTATTATCACCGTTGTCCGCCAGGGGGAGCAGTTTCAGAACATTTTCTGAGCCAGAACAGGTGAATTCCAGTTGAAGCGGCGTAGAGAGCTCGGGTATTTTCGTCGTGACTCGGCAGTTATCCGCTGTGGATGTGGGAATGCGGTTGCCGGAGGCTGTGAGCATTGCTGGACACTCGGTGGAGATGTACGCTCGGCATCGGGTGCTCACAGCGGCTGGCTGTGTTCCAAGTTATCGCGCTGTCTTGGGGATGTGGGTGGGAGCTCCAGACGGCAAGGAGTCAGCAGGAGCAGGACCCTAGGGGGTTTATTCCCCCCATTTTGCCGGGGATTCTCTACCTTTGTGGCGGGGGGGGGGGGGGGTACGAAATGAGAGAGAAGCCAAGGATTCCCCAGCAGCACTATGGAGCCACGCATTGCAGACAGCGTGAGTACAAACGCAACAGACACCAGGAGAGCCCCCAGGGAGTGGGCTTGTCACTGTTTAAATTCTCATCAACTTTTCTACGACCTATTTTTTTTTTCTAATCCGCGCGGTTAAACCAAGGCAGTGACAGACATTGTTGAACGTCATTGAGTGTTGCCCAGGTGTTCAAACAACATTGAGGCTAATTGGCGGTTAATTGTGTGTGATGAGCTTGAGGGGAATATTGAGACGCACCTGCTGACCGTTAGTGACCGGGCTGTGAGCCGCCGGTGTCGCGCGTGACGACTCAGCAGCGGATCAATTTCGGGAGGATCTTTTTTTTTTGCCTTTTGTTGCTACGACGGTTGCCACTGACGACCAGCGAGTCCAGAGCCGTAAACAGCCGGGCTGACTGAATAACGGCCAGACCGTAGCTAGTCTCAAGTTATGTCCGATAGTTTTAACATGGGTGTCTGCCCCCCCCCCCCCCCCCGGGGGTGGATTTAAATTGTGACCTTCTCGTAGTGAGCACAAGGACAATGAAACGCGTGCGTGAAATGCTTAACAGATGTAAAACGACCCCCTCGGTCACGGAACACAGTTTTCACAGTGCAAAATTTAGGCCTCCCTTGTTTTTGTTTTTTTTCTTTGTGTTTGTAGACGCAAGAGGGGTTTCCTAGGATTGAGTTAACTACAGCCAAGTAGCCAGATTACTGTGGATTAGCAGGCATTTAAAATAGTCACGTTATCCCGCCAGCCCTTGGTTGTAGAGTCAGGCCACAAAAACACATTTTGACACAACTTAAAAAAATAAATAAATAAATTATGCCACGTCAGCGAGGACTTACTGCAATGGAAGCAGGCTCCAGCTGGCAAAGCTTTCCATTGCTGCTACACGTTGTTGGATATGTTCAGGGGGCTCCTCATTCAGCCTAAATGAAAGGTCAAATAGTTCGTGGCAAGCCAAAATGAGGCCTGATTTGGCTCCTGCTGGGGCTGTGGGGGGGAATGCGGGGGTACTTTTGTTGAGTTAAGAAATGCCAGATATGGATGCAGATTCCTCTTAAGTGTCTCTGATTTAGGATAACATTACTGAGTGACTGGCAAAGGAAAGCAGGGTTGCTATTGGGTGGGAAAATGCAAAAATGGATTGATTGATTTTGAATAATGTGAGAAAAAGTCTGATATTGGCATGGCTATTTTCCTCATCTTTAATTTTATTGATGAACAATGTATATTATTATATTGAGAATGTCACAAATAATCTTTGCTTTGCTGAGTAAATGAGCAAGAGGCTGAATTGTTGAAGGCTTATATCTGTAGACCCAGATTGCTTCATCTGATGCTGATTGAAAAGTGTCATTAAAAATCACCAAAACGCTTGAAACAAGTCAGTCATATGCGACTCAGAAAAGAGCTGAGAAAGTTATGTCCCGTTGTGAAACTTGTCTGGGCCTCTTTTGTCTGTAAAGATTTGACCGTGATCTTTTTTACTTCCTCAGTGTGAAAGGTGACAGTGAAATGCCATGCAAAGCATCTGACCCTCAACTGTTAGCCTTTTCCTGGTGCAGCTGAACAAAGAAGTTAATACAGAACAGCATCAGGTACTCAACTCGCCACTTGAATATTTTTCATTCTTTTATCATACTGTTTTCATAGTATATACCTTTTGGTAAATAGTAGAATCAGTAGACCTGACTACCTGAAAATTTCCATCCATTGTTAACAGATGAGAATTTGCATCCATTGTTTCGCTTGCTATTCTTGTGTGTCGACTTTGGATTCAATCAAAGCATTTAAGCTCATGTCCTTCTTTTCAAGTGGTGGGCTTTGGAAAGCAAACACAAGCATCATGTTTTACGGTTCTTCCTCTGGGGCCAGTATGTCCCTGCCATCCAAGAGCCGTCTGAAACGCCAGAGCAGGACCTTCACACAGGTATTTGGCTTTTTTCTACAATTCTTTTTTGTGTTGCCCTCAAAGTATAGTTTCATTGTCACATCAAGGGTTTGACAGCATGTTTTAATCCTGACTAAGATATTTAAAAAGCAATTGGCGGAGTTTTGTTGACATGTTGACATTCCTGATGACAAAAAGATTAACCCTGATCATCTACAGCTGAATTGTTCACACTATTTTATGACAAATACCTGCTATCACCAGGTTTTGCATGACATTTATGGTTGTTGAACGACCTGAACCACTGTTCAGGTCTTTTGTACTGTGTAATGTACTTAGTGTCTGTAAAATGCAATGACTCAGCTGTACATTCATTATTGCTTTGTCCATCAGGTTTTGTACCGCACCCTGAGCTACAGAGACCGTGTCCCAGCAGAAACTGGCACAAACACCCACGGGGGCCGACGTTCAACGACTGAGCCCCCAGAGCGGCCGGCAGACGACCCAGCTGAACTCTCCACGCAGAGCTCGGCCCCCGGGGTGCTGAAGATCTTTGGAGACGAAATCTGTGCTGGTGCCAACTACAAGAGCGTCCTGGCCACGCCGCACTCCAGTGCTCAGGAACTTGTGAAAGAGGCACTTGAGCGTTACTCACTCAACAAGGATGCGGCCCGCTGTTACGTCCTGTGCGATGTGATCGGACGTTTGGAGGGGGGAGGAGGGATTGGTGGGGTAGGGTGGAGGACTGAGTGTTTGCGAGCGCTAGGGGACAACGAGAAGCCGCTGTTGCTCCAGGAGCTGTGGAAACCACGAGAAGGACACGCTCGGAGGTTTGAGCTGCGCAGGAGAGCGGAGGTTGAAGAGCTAAACGCCAAGGAGAAGGATACCATCACTGCTGGTGAGGAAAACCGTGACTTATCCAACACCCGAACACACTCTGAGATGGAGAGGTACACGCAGCCACAGACACACAGCAGCTGGTCTTTCTTAACTTGTCAAACTCAGCAGAAAAGCACAGCTTGTTAGCTCCTCTGCAGTGTGTGTTTGTGTGAGAAAGTGTGGAGATGCAGAATAAGAGCTTTTGTCACAGTTATTATCCTGTAGAGAGGATATTGTTCCTGTGTGGTTAGCGTTTTTTTCTTTCCCTATCAATGTGGAGGTGTTGTACTGTGAAGAAGCTGCATTTCATTTGGATTTCTGTGAGACACACTCACACATACAAAAAGTAACATAAAATAACACAAACATGCACACACACACATGCAAATTGACACATGCCAGCAGTGCTCTTGAAATGCATGGGCAGCGGGTCGATCGACTGAGCGAAAGCTGACGCTTGATGCTTGAGTTTGGATTGGTGTAGGCATGCTGCTGTTTTTATGAATGACACATTTCTACTACAGTAACATGAACCTATTTCTGCTCAGGGCTGCCCGGGGCTGACCTCTGAACAATTCACACTTTTCTTATTTAGGAAACTCAGAAAAATATCTTTTGGGATTAGATCTGCAATGCAGCAATGTCATCTCACATCCACAACGTGTCTGTAAATATCTGTCTGTCCTTAGGAACCTTAATGTGACCCTTATGAGTACCTACCTGATTGATAAGAATACTTTTACACATGTGCACACTATTACTCAAGTGAATCCAACTCAAAGTAAAGCCACAGACTAAATACAGTCGCAGTGAATGTTCCAGAAACACCAACATTTCTCATGAAGCATATCAGAGGGGCTTTGGTTGCTATGTCAACTTCTGTGCTAGCCAGAGACTCACACTTGTGCTGCTTTTTCCTGGTTTTCTTTTGTTGTCCGTTTCAGATAGAGCTCTTATAAAAAGCAGACATTCTTAAAACAGTCAAGATTTGGAACAAGGAATTACATGAAAAGTACTTTATTTGATGATGGTGTTGGCAATGCCTTAATCTATGCAAATATGTTTTGTGGAAAAAAGGAAAATACTGAAAACTCATTCTGACTTGCCAGTACCATCCATATTTCCAGTGCCATGCTGTATCATAGAGGGAAATGTGACTAAGAAAAAGATGAATGGGATTTTTTTTTTTAATCCCATTTTGTGGGGGAAAAAGTGCATGCGCTTGCTTGAGTGGCTTTGAGCTAAGTGGCAAAAAATACACGATACACACTCAGTTCTCACCTGGGAAAGATTAAAACAGCGTGACTTGTCTGCTTTTTCCAGCTTTAAAAAGCAAACAAGACATCTAACCAGTGTTTTTACAGATAGGATTTGATATCCCAGATTTTCACAGAGATTCAAGTAATTCCTGAAGAAGAGGTTTCTCCATTTTCCTCTTTTAGATGTCCACTGCAGTTGTTTTTGTCTTCATCCTCAAGGTATGTTTATGGATAGGATAACTACTTGCACTGACATCTAATTTAGTTTATACTGCCACCCTGAGTGAATGTTACACAACTTAGTTCATTTACAAAACCAAACAATAAAGATGTCTCTTTAAAACAAGATTTAAAAAACACCCCTTTAGAGTTACTTCAGTAGTATATGGAGGAAAACAAGCTGTCATAATTAACAAAATTGTTTTTGATTAATACCCATAAAATATTTAATGTATTTATTAATTTAATCCATAATTATAAAGACACACTTCACTGTTATTTTGTGAACAAATAAAAAATGAACACATTCAGAGATGCTGTTACATCTTTATAGGCTTCCCTAAAGTCCCTAAATATCCTGTTGAAGTTGTCAAATGATAGTTCAACCAGTCTTTATTGAAAAAGAGCAAACTCCATCAGGAACTACACTGTTTTATAAGGGTCCCTCTGCATACTCTGAACATGGCGATCAATGTCTGAATGTGTTGATTGATGACCTGATCCAACTTTGGGCAGACAGTGTGTGTCTATAATTGTGATTCAAATGAGAGTCCAATCCCAATTTAAGTGCTAACAGAGATTGTCCTAGATCTGTTGTTAAAGTTTATCTATAAAATCAATTTCTTTATGCTATTTGGTGGTTCTATTTCTCCAAAAGGTTGGCATATTAAACATTGGACTGCAGGTTCTGCATACTTAGAGCCACCAAGTGATAAAATGGCAGACAGTTAAAATAGCTGGGAAAAAGAGAAAAAAAAAGGTGGCTGTAGCATGTTCAAAGTCGGAGTTTCCTTTTACAACATCTTTGAAACAAGTGGCAAAAATATTACAGTCAATCATCAGTGCAATAATGAATTAATATTTACGATCTTGTTGGTTTTGGTATTTCATAAGGTTACACAAGGCTTTAGTAGAGCACAGGATATGTTGGTCAAACCACTTCACATCTGCGTCTTCTCTGCCACAGTGAACACATTCCAATCTTGTCTGCGACCAAATTAATTAAATACTCTGAAACATATTATTATGAAAGTAATTAAATGACACAGTAATAGTATTAGTCAGGACAGCCAATGTGCTGTACACAGCTCCACAATGATGTATATATAATATATTTTCATAATGACAAAAATGCTTAAACAAACTACAGCATTGATTTTTAAACCATCTGTTAATATTTTTTATTAGAGGTTGGGAAAATTGAAAAGTTAAGATGCAGCCGAGCTTAAGTATTAGTAATTGAAACTTACCTGGGCTGAATGTATCCCAACTGGTTGCAAAATCCAGCATTTTCGTCCACAGTTAATGGTCTCTCCATTAGAATAATGTGACACAGAAAGATTTCTGTAATCCATGTAGCCTTTTGATGGCTAGCTAAGGGTCAGTTTTTTTTCTTCAGAGAATGTCTGCTGTGCAGAGATCTCCTGTTGTTAGTTCACAATGGTCGACCTTTAGGATATGTGCCTTATGAACAACGAGATGTGTTGTTTCTGCATGGAAACATGCCCAGACGATGGAGAAGTTGGTTTTGTAGACTGCTCCGTTGGTAAATGGTGTCTCTCTGAGACAGCAGGTTAAAAGTAGCAGGTGCCACTCCATCTGCACTTTGAACTCTGACAAAACCATGCATGTCTGGAAACAAATAATATAAATGAAGAGGATTGTTGGATAAATTGCTAGATTTAATGGATAGATGCCTAATTATTAACAAATTGTTAACAGCAATTTGGTCCTGATCCACATGTGTTTCAGACCAGGATCAGACATCAGCATCAGAATCTAATACAGAGAATGGGTTGGATTGGACCCAAACAGCAGAAATCTGACCACAGCAAAGAGCACTTTCTGTTGCATATTAACACATGTTTTCATTTCCACACTAACCTTTTTCTGTTGTGATAATTACAAAGCCCACACACCCTGGAGTGTCTCTTTCACTTCTTTCCTGGTGTATGTGTGAGCGTGCATGCTCATGCGGGAACTGTGTGTATTCTCAGACAGTTTTCTAAAGTGAGATCACATCTTAACGGTTCGGAAGGATTTTCATTGTGGAATGAAGCATCAGTTAAATAATTGTCACCCTTCAGTTATGTGGTATAAAAAGTTTATTTTGTGCCAAAATGTTTGACCCACAAACCTTGTCATTGACATATAGTTGCCGGTGTCAGACAAATTTGTCTGTTTTAATATATGTGTTGTCAGCCTTGTCCTGTAAACTTTGTGATATTATAAAGTGTGTTTCACTTTCATGGCAAAAGGTTTACATGAAACATTAATTTTTGAAGTGCATGACACTTAACATGGTGAAACAGGAATAAAATATCGAACAGTTAATCCTATTATAGCCAAAATAAGTACTTTTTGCACCATGAGGCCTGCTGCATTGCTGCCCATGCCTGTTTCCATCATAATATATTATGTATAATGATAATGAACATAATATTAAAATAAGATTTTGGCACAAATAAAACATCTTTATATGCTACATTGTGATTTTTGTTGTTTTGCTTGGTGACAACAAATTGGGTGCATTTACTAATCTAAATGTCATTACAAATTAAGTAGAAAAAAAATGCCTCTAATTTGACAGTGAAATGTTAAAGAAGAAAATCCGGTGCCTCCCACCTCCTAACTGTGCATCTCCTCCTACTAACCGGTGATGTGTCTCACTCCACAGTGCATGTATGTCTGGTGGTGTGCGACTGGATTGTGTGTTTGGGGATGATTCTGTGTTTGGGTACGGGGTTGTTTTCCCGGAACCCCTTCCCTCCTAACCCCTCCCACCCTGCTGTAGGGCCCAGAACTTCCCAATTCCTGGCGGCTCTAATGGGTCGGTCTGGGCTGGGCAAACACAGGAGTTCTCCCCTGCGGTCTGGTCGCGTGGTACAGTCCAGCTCTAAAGGTGGGGACTGGCCTCAGGTAGGGTGGCTATCTGTCATTACCATGAAGACCACCTCTACCTGCGTTGTCACCCCCATGTACCAGTGGTTTAGAGTGTGAGTAAATCTGTGTGAGCCATCGCATGGCCTCAAGTCCTCAAATTCAAGTCACGAGCAGCTGCTCAGCTCACATTCATCGTGCTGCACCATTCATCTGACTTTCATCTGACTCTTATTCACTTCAGCCTGTATTTGTGTTGATAGTTCCCAGTCAAATCAAACATGCTGATGCATCTGTGTCACTACAGCCTCAGAAATTGTGTCAGACTTATGCGGCTCGCTAGCATCAAACATTCATGTTCAGAAAGCAGTCGAAAAGATGAAACACACTTAGCTTTTACTTATTCTATTCCTCTCTCTCTCTTTGCTATGCTCCTCTTGTCTCCCTTCTCGCCATTCTTTGTCCATCATAGATATTAATGCCCAGGCTCGTAAGCTCCAGAGGAACAGGGCAAAGGGGACGCTGACCCTGCCCCGCTCCAGTAACTCATCCTTCTGCCGCAGCCTCAGCGAAACCAGCCTCAACCAGGTGCGGCATCCTGCTGACGCCCAGCCAACACGATTGGCTGTTTTTATCCGCTGAACTGTTTTCACTCTTCTATAAAATATCACATGTGCGTTTATATGCGCGTGCAGCTTGGAGTGGGAGACGAGCCCAAGCGTTATTACTCCACCTTACCGGGACCATTAAGGTGCAGAGAACGTGATGGGGCCTCCAGTGGCAGGAGGAAGGAGGAGGGGAATCAGGGAGGTGGAGTGAGGCACTCTTTGTACCAGTCCCCTCACCTCTTGCTTCTGCAGGGCTACAATCGGCAGGTGAGGAAAGCTAAGAGGTGCATGTGTTGAATTTGAGACCTCTGCCGAGTGTGATTTTCGGTCGTGATTGTTGCAGGACTGTCTGGTGTACCTGCTGAACAGAGAGCAGCACACAGTCGGTCAGGAGACTCCCTCAGCTCGCCCCAACATCTGCCTTTTTTCTCCCGACATCCTGCCCCTCCACTGCCATTTGCGTCGAGTCCCCGCACCCCGTCGCCATGCCAACAACAACAACAAGGGTGAAGACCACGCAGAGAGTCAGCGGTTCTGTGTGGCTGTAGAGCCTGTGCTCAATGCCACAGTTCTGGTGAACTTTTCCCGCTGCGAGAGATCCACCACGCTGAGACATGGTGACCTTCTCTCCTTTGGAGCTCATTACATTTTTCTCTACAAGGACCCCACAGGTGCCAAGCCCCTGCCTGCTCAGACCTTGGCGCGCCTACGCTCATTAGGGCAGCTTTATGACACAGGTTTGGAGGACGGAGAGGGTGGAGCTCAGACTTGTAAGATGTGCGGCTCTGTGCTGAAGGACAGGGCAGCACAGGTGTCCAGTGTCCCAGCAGTTAGACGCAGCCTCAAACCTCACATGGTGAAAGCCCGCAGTGTTGGGACATCGTCAGGAGGGCCACCACACTTGCCAGGAGGTGAAGGAGGAGGAATGGGAGGTGGGAGTCAAAAAAGAAGGCTACAGCTGGAGTTTGACCAGACTCATGAGGACCAGCTGTTGAATAGAATTGTCTCTCTCATTGAACCTGGAGGTCAGTGCTGTGATTTACAAAATAGTCCTGTAGAAATGTAGGACCTCGACAATATATAGAAGATATTTTATTTAAGTTCTGTTTTCGTTCAAGCTTGGGTTTCAACTGTACACAATTTATAGTGATTCACTATTCCTATGATGTACCTGGAACTGCACAGATGGTCTTTTTTTGCTGTTGTTGTTTTTGTTCTGTGTCACATTGGTTTTCCAAATTCATGCAGTCTGTGTTATGGCAGCGTCTTCCTCTGTGCGCATTTGAGAAAGTGAACTTTCTCTGAATAGAATAACAAAACATGGTTTGTGACAGATTCCCACACAGATATAAGATCAAAGTCAAAATTGCTCTTTTCTCTTCACAGAAAACACTTTTGGTTTGTATGATTTAAGACTCTTGAAAATTCTCTGGCTGGCTCCACATAGGGACAGTTCTGTCTTAATTTTCATTTCAGCTTTGCTTCAGTATTGGAGCATCCACACTAGCTTTGTCAGACAGAAATGCTGCAGCCTGAAATTTATAAGGATCTTTTCACAAGTGTTGCATACATTGGGGAAGAGGTTCTCAACATGTTATTCAACATCTTCTCCTAATATTATAACGTAGCAGTCCTCACTGTAATTTTGGTTAGTAGTCACAGAAATGAGAAAAACAGCTTTCCTTTTGTCATGATTATGATTGTAATTTTGGGAACTGAATGTGACTGGTCACAGTTCAAGTTGACAGCCCATCCTAATTCAGGATGGATAACAAATTATTGCATAGACCAGTTTTTGAGGCTTTAATATAACTCTAATATAACATTTACATTTTAAAGGCTGTAAGCACCATGCAAAGGTTAAAATAAGAAAATGCTTTCTCATAAACCAGTTCTTGAAAATTCCTTTGTCTTTTGCTCAGGAGACGATCATAAGCTAACACCAGCCTATCTGCTGTGTCTCTGCATTCAACACTCGGCCTCAACCTTCCCTCCTGGGAGCTTTGGAAAACTGCTGCTCAAGATTGTTCGACGAATCCAAACCATCGCATGGGTGAGTGTCTGACTACGTAGCTGTCTGTGATAGATTGGTCTCTGCTTAAGATGACCTCGTGTGGAGGGAAATCGGTCAGTCATGTCAGGTCAGAAAGATAGTAGACTGGGGTGGCAAATAACATGTTTTTTAAATGAATTGCACTAACACACATGTCACCATATTTTGTCCTGTGATACTTTATCAACTCCTGCTAATAGTGAAGTAATGAGATGATGCTCTTATGTATTCAGATTTGTTTAAATCCATGATGACCCTTTGTTAGGTTTCAGAAATGGATGTTTATTGAAAAATCTGTATCATGTTATTTCTGTGAAAACTATGAGCGACACTGACTATTGCTCAGTTTGACATGGCTGTGAATAATTTTGGCCAATCTCTAACAGCTGATGGCAGCAAATTTGGTGTATGTTTTCACTGAATTATACTGAATAAAGATGTGTAGTGTATGATGTAGAGCGATGCAGAGCAACACAATACAAAGACCTGTGCAGCTTCTCTGCACAGAAATTTATACATTCTAAAATGTTTCTACATAGATGTCCAACGGGTCCAAAACACCTACAAAAACATTCTTACAAGATAAACTGCATTATGATTAGCTAGCAGAGCTAGATTTGTATACTTATTTGATCCAGTGTTGCTTAAAAAGAGGGTGCAGAGAGCATCATGAAAGGTCTTATGCACATTTTTAAAGTTTAATGGGAACTTAATTGCTCTTTGTGTGCATGTACACCACGTAGGAGAAGACAAAGGAGCTGGCTCAAAAGCAAGCTCAGCAGTGAGTATCACTTTCTGGTCTTTGGACAGAATAAAAGCACATGCTCAACCTATTTGACTGTGCATAGTGAGTTTGTATCATAATGTCTCTGTAACTGTTTAACATCTCATCTTTATGTCTCACTTTAGTCAGGATCCAGCCTCGCTTTCTCTGCTTAGCATCTCAGACTTGATCCCAGACCTGCAGACCATCTTCTTCTGGATGTCCAACTCCATCGAGATCCTTTACTTTATTCAGCAAAGAGCACCAGCCTATACACACAGCATAGAGACGCTGCAAGGTACAAACACACAAAGTCTGAATGATGACTAGGGAAATGTCTTGGCTTCAGAGATACTTCTTACACTGACACACCTTAAACCCCTCACTTTTCCTCTCAGTGTAAACCTCTTAAGTGTGCATGTGTGTCTCTGTCACCTGTTTCTAGGTTCAAAGGAATCGTTGCTATCAGCAACCATATCAGCCAATGAGGAAGCTATGACTATCTTAGAAGAAGTGATCATGTACACTTTCCAGCAGTGTGTCTACTATGTCACCAAGGTAATCTGTCACTGTGGCAATGATGCCATCTTCTTAATAAGGAGGACAATTAACTCAGTGTTTTCAAGAGCAAGTTGGATAAATGATAACTCACGTGAATGCCCGATGATTTTATTACACACACATGCAATGACTGGACAAGGTTAGGATATTGAAAGGTTTAACTGATTCTTCAGTAGAAGACTGGTATGTAGATGAACAGCACTTTTGTCAATAGCAGTTGTTTTGATGAGGTTTTTAGCTTGTAAAGCACTTTGAGGTACACCTGTTTAAAAAGGTGCTATTTAAATGTTTAAAAAGTTTAAATGTGCTCTCTAAAGAAAGTCAAATATATGTAATTTCAGATTGCCTTCATCACTTTGCTTTATGTCTCTATGTTTCTGTGTCCAGGCTCTTTATGTGGTGTTGCCAGGTTTGTTAGACTGTAATCCATTCCCAGCAGACAACTCAGAGCCCTGCTGGAAAGGGGTTGGGTTTCCTGAACCTGTGCGCAGGGTCCTGCAGGTAAGCATTTGTACTGTGCCCACCATAATGTCGAGGTCACCTTTTTTTTTTTTTCAAAATTCTGTTCCTTGGTGTAAAGTTTTTAATCAAACAATTCAGATGTGATTAAACATAACAAAAATAAAGATGCTACATGTAAACTGCTCATCAACAGGACGCCAGAAAGCAAATTGTGTACAACTTAAAAATGGTTTAATTGTATGCCAGATTAATTTGATTTTCCACATCAAACATGCACACTGCCAATGTGTAACTTTCCACTTAAATCTAATATTTGTCACCTTTAAAAAAACAAACAACAAAATTAGAACAGTGTAAGAAATTAGATATGCATTGTCATTGTAACTTACTATATCTTGAAAGTGAGGATGCAACACTTCCTTTGCATCAGGCCTGAGAGGTAAAAGCAGGCATGTGTTGCATCAGGTCTCGTTGGGTTTAGATGAGATTTTCGGCATGCTCAGAGAAATGTTCTGCTTCCAGCAGATGAATATGAAAACAATTCCCTGAATGCCTTCTTGTGCTCAAATATCAGCCTACGCAGTGATGGTAAAACATCTAAGAGATCAAAGCATAAAATATATTCGCCAACCAAATCTGTCAAGATTGTGAAGTAAAGACGCAAAAATGTGTTTCAGTCATTCTTTTCAACTGTACATGGACTGAGCAACAAGATTACAAGGTTAGTGGCACTTCCCCCATTAGGATGTGATTGTCCTGGCTCTCACTGTGGTAATACATTTACCCATTAGAATGGCCTGAACTGAGTTGAAGACAGGGATGTACCCTGTGGCAGCAGCAATACACTCAGGAAAACTCCCACAAATTGCATCTGTCTGTTAGGAATAGCAAAGCACAGCATTCTGTGGCTGCAGGCAAATGAAGCTTTGTCTATTCCAATAGTGAGAAGTAGACCCTTTTTTAGGGGGAATCTGCTGTCAGTTATCTTATGCCACAGGACACTCCGAGAGGTCATGTTTGAGGCTGTAAATGGGTATAACTATTTTAAAGAATGAAGGGGACCTAAACAATAGGAGATTTTTTTTTGTAATATTGTAAATGATCAGTTTTTGAGGAGACACAAGAGACACTTGTGCCATGTCAAAACAGATTTCTGTCTGCAAATTATACACAAATGTGGCGACACCGATTGGTGTGTCTGATTAACGTGGACCTTTTATGCTCCCAGGTGTTTCAGAGTGCGCAGGAGCTTTTGCAAGGCTATCAAGTTCATCCGGAGATCCAGGCTCAGATGTTTGCTTACCTCTTCTTCTTTTCCAATGTGTCACTGTTTAACCAGCTAATGGACAAAGGTAGGGCAAAAAACATGCACAGCACACCTCTTCATCCATTAGACCTCCCTGTTGGTTTGTACTGTTGCTGGAGTACGTGAGAGACAGTCTGTGTGAGTGCCCTTGTGTCCTTGTCAGCATTTTGACGGAGGCTAACCCAGATTTGTCCTCAGTGCCCTTCTCCCATCTGCATTCCATCTCTCCCCCTCCTCTTCTTACCTTCCTTCTTCCCATCTGGCCATCAGAGGGTGAGACAAAGAAGAGCAGAAGTAGAACTGGAAAGAGGCAAAGGGAGAAGAGACAGCAGGAAGGGGTGGAAAAAAGCGCAAAGTGATGGGCTATTCAGTTGCTTTGACGGCCATGCTAATTGTGTGTTACCTTTTCTAAATGCATAAAATAGTAATTTCCTGCCAGCAATATCGACATGTTCAGCTAGCTCCCCTTACTTTCTTCACACACATATACACACTCACAAACATGCCATATGTCTTCATTAGTTGGTGGAGACAAGAGACCCCAGGTCTGGCGCAGAGGTAGGAGAAATACCTTTTATGTTCAGGTAGGAGCTATGCTGTCCTCCATCTCATCCCCCACTCTGTCTGTCTGGCTTCCTCCCTTCCTCCTTTGCTCCCCTTTTCATTGCTCATTGATATTTCTCTGCTGATGGTGGTGTCCATGGAAACAGGGAAGTGAGTTTGTGGCAGGTATTGCTGACGTTTGCGTTGGGTGCTCTGTGAGGCACAGACACACACACAGACAGGCAGACCCTAAATGCACCACACACATGGTTACGTTGAAGCTCAGTAAGGACAAAAAAACAAGTTGCAGGTTGGTGTTTGTCAAATGTAACATTTTGCGCATCAAAAATAGATCATAATCAATAGCTCCATGTAGTTTGGACTGTTTTATTGAGGGTGTATGATGCCTCTTCTGTATTTAAATGTCTAAACATGTGTTTGTAAACAGCTGACAGAATCATTATCACACCTTTGTCAAGAGGTTAAGTGATGTCTCGTCTGTTTGAAATGCCTCAAACATAGATTACCGTATGCCTAGACATAAGCCTATTACAGAATAAAGGGTGTGTGTATGTGCGCACGCATCCAAAACATATGGCAGAATGAAGGGTAACGTGTGTACACAGTCAGCAGATAATGATAGCAGTTTATTGTCTGCCTGACGCTTCTTACATGTAACATGTAGAAATGTTTTGTATAAAGCTCAGTTTGAGGTTTGAAGAAAATCCTTATCTTTTTGTTATCTACAAAAAACTGATTCTTTTTTGTATCAAACTGAACTATTGATTTAGCCTTTAAGAATCTGGTGTTTACTTATTTAAAAAACTCATTTTTTTCATTAAAATATATCTACAGCTGTTTATTCTTTATTGTAAATTCAACAAAGTTTATAGCTTCCCTTTATGCTGTTAAGGACTGGAGATAAATGTACTGAAAAGGTTATTAAGTTGCTAAGCCGCTGTTGGCTCTGACAGATCTTAAATTATGTGAGTCCACTTATGTTGAATTTAGGGACTGATTTAAGTAAGCATTAGAAGCATTAATGGCTGTAGTGAGTGGATGGACCAACAGACTGATAAACTATGGGATACACACGCCTTACAAATTCTGGATTTAATGTGATTGCTTGACAAGACTTTATTTTAGCTCTTTGATGCATTAAAGTGAAATAAAGGATTACAGAAGCAGAGGCTGGAGCTCCTTTTCTGTACTATTAAATGGAAACAGACAGCTGAGCCCTCCTGCAGCACTGCATTGTATTCTGCAGGCAATCAGTGGGTGTTGCTACTGTTTTCCAGACTTCAATCACTACTTGATTAAAAATTAATGTCTGCATTGACATAGAGAACAACACAGTTCTATATTCGCAGACGCACACAGTTTGCATTTTACTCTGCCTGTCACTCAGAAGCACACCAATCCTGAAATGATACTGCAGTATTTTAGACCACATGCTCTAAAGCACAACCCTCTGTGTGTGTTTGAAGGTCCCTCTCGCGGTTGGTTCCAGCGTTCCAAGGCGCTGCAGATTCAGGCCTGTTTGCGGATGCTCATGGAATGGGCAAGCAGGTCTGGTCTGGGTCATCTGTCTGAAAAATTCTTCACCAAACTCAACAGCACTGTGTCCATAGTGGCCACTCCTCCACAGCAGCTCACACAGGTGACACAAGCAAACACATCGGCAGTAGTTAGGATTGTCCTCCTTTGCTTTCATACTTAAATAAGGAACTTTTCTAAAAGAAGCAAATGGGCTGAAATACTGTAGTTATTCAAAAGACCTGACAGCACCAGTGCTTTGGTCTTGTCCCTGTTTTTCTTTAACATTTTTTCTCTTTATCAACATTATTGAAAGCAACTTGAGCCTTCTGTTAAAGCACCACTGCCAACAACAACCCCTGACTACCCCCTTTTGCTGCCTGACTGGTGATCAGTGTCTCTTCTCATTCTGCAGCTGAGTTGGCGGGCATTGTCCAGTGAGCACCCAACTCTGAAACCAGTCCAGCTCCACAGGATTCTCACTCAGTACCAGCTCACAGCAGAGATAGGCCCTGTCCCAACATGGCAGCCCAGCAGTGAGGACGAGGCCTATATATACAGAACAGGTATATACAGGAATAAATCAAAGTGAATATATGAGTGGTTTTGAAATTGCAAATAGTTGCTATTAAAAACATCAGCCAAAAGTATTTCCCAGATAGTCTTTATTCATCACAGGTACTCCGGTGAATTGAAATGGGGAGGGTGCAACCTGGTGGATTTAGATTGAGAGTATAAGGGGTGAAAGTTGCCAAACAGAAGGGTGGATACGTATGCATTTGTAATAGCATCAGTTTGTTTATGTTTAGTTGACCTCCTGGAGAGCTTTGAGAACCACCCTCCAATTGTGCTGCCCAGCTCTGGCTTCAGGGTGGATTTGGACCGTGAGAGTGTCGAGGACAGCATCTACAGACAGCTTCTGTACATCCGGCACTACCTGTGGGGCCTACGCACCAAGACGCAAACTCACACCAACACTTCTGGTGTGCTAACTCAATCAAATGGAACCAACACAGCGGAGTGGCCGGACATTCAGGTCAGAAAGATTCGCACACGTATACTGTCTAATCTAGGCCATGTACTTCAGCAGATGCGACTGTTGGGGAGTTCTTCATAATCCCATAACTCAAAGACAAAACCTTTTACTCCAGCCAACCATAGCCCCCTTCCCCACACACACACACATACACACATAAATCTAGACATGGTTAAATCATGGTTAATCTGATTAGTCTTTAGGCAGTCTAATTAGTGGGAACGGCTGACTAGACCATAATCCCCTATGTTACAGCATCCTCCTAAAGACACATGCGCACAAGAAAACACAAATTTTCACAGAAATTCCAAGAGTAATGTTTTCTTTAATTGCAACTCCTATTCATATAATCACACATTTGTACCACAAGCAATTTTGTCCCCCTTGTTGGCAAAAGAATGTGCTGCACCTTTCTTTACGCCTTTGGTTTGTTTCTTATCATCACACAGAGGGAGCTTTTAGCTCCAGCTCACAACAGTCCTCGTTCTGGGGGTGCCGGGGACGAGATGAAGTCAGAGGAGAAAGGACGGGACAGACCCTCGGGCCAATCACACACACACAGTCTCAGAAGGAATGGCACCACTCACCATCCTCGAAGTGCAAATACAGACCCATCCTGCCTCTTGACCCCACCCAACACTCCACTGTACCCAGACGGCGGAGGAAGTGGAGGAATAGGGCCTGGGCCAGCCATCGGTACCAGTGTTCAGACCAACGGCTGCTCCAGCAGAACCGTGGCAGAATGTAAAAAGACCAATGGACTCATCACCAATGGACTTGAGGGTAGGCTGCAGTACAAACATGAATCAAGCTCAAAAAGCCACATTTAGCTCGATGAGTCCCATTTATCAATTAACTACCATAGAACAGCAGAAACAGTGATGAAACCGAACTGATCAAGTATGTTGTGGTCATAAACCAGTCCATGTTTATGTCTCTGTTAAGTGTTATGCACATGCATGTTTCAGACCTGCACATACTGTCACAAAGCGTTCTGTGTGTCAGGGAGAGCTAGCATAGAGCAGGTCATACGTTCCCCTGATGGCGTTATAATTCTGGAGTTCAAAACAACCTAGTGCCTTTTAAACCGTGCGCACAAACAATCTTTCTCCAGTCCAAATCAGAGGTCAAAGATGAAATAATGTGCATCTTCGTTTCTTGTTGTGATGCAGTCTCTGGGAAAAGAGCTAATGTATAAATTGTGACCTCTACCGACTTGTTTTTAGCATGCTCATATTCGTTATACTAGCTCAGAAGCTGCATCCTTGCATGTGTTCCAATACCTGTGTGTGCACATGTTTGTCCAACCCCATAGCAAGACCCTCTGTGTGTTTGTCTGTGTGTTTTGTGTCTTTGGGTGTCTGTGTCCTCTGCAGGGTGTATTAGTGGATGTGAGTTTCCTTTTCCTGTCTCCTCCCCTGGCGCCCCTTCCCTTCCTGATGACTTGTGTGTGGTGTTTGTAGTGGAACTGGACAAAGGACCCTTTGGACTGGGCATGGGACTCATAGATGGCCTGGTGAGTAAATATTTTTACATTTACGCTGATGTCTCCATGTCCCAGTTGCTTATTACCCTCTTATGCAAGTAAAATTAGTTCAGGAAGTGAAAAATAAAAATGTCAAGTAGCTGCTTCTGGAGCCATTTATACTAATGACTATTCCATTATTGGGTAATTATGACAAACTATTGTCGGTTTTTAATTTGTCTGCATACCATTATTCTACACCTTCAATGCCAATATATTGGCTGCTTGTTCATGGCTGCCAAATGCAAATTCCTACTTCAGAAGGAAGAATCTATTTTAAAGAATGGTTATTCCTAGATCATTCTTTAAATGTGGATACCCTCAAATTTAAGCTGAGGGCTCTTTAGGGACATATAAATCATCTAAATGTTTCGATAAAAAAAAAAAGATAAATGGATAAATACCCTTTAAAAATATCCACATATTTCTGGGCCTAAACGTATGTGGTATTGTTCCAGTAAAAAATGATTTGTACCACCTGAACACAATCTCATGCACGCTGTTCAAATACAACACCTCTCCCTCTGCCAGCACACACCTCTCAATGCCCCAGGCATTTACATCCGGACTCTGATCCCTGATGGGCCGGCTGCATCCGATGGCAGACTGAGGATCGGGGACCGTATCCTGGCTGTGAATGGGACCAGTCTGATTGGAGCAGACTACCAGAGGTAAGATGGTGTTACAGCAGGGGCATGCTGGGGGAGATGAATGGCAGCTGTGACAATATTGAGAGGAGACTGCCCCTTAAAACGAACCATACCCTCCGCTGTCAGCCTTTTGAGGCAATTGATTACTCTTGATTGATTAGTCCCAGCTCAGAAAGTGATGTCTCATTATCATTACTCTGTCTCTGCTGAGCTTTGTGTAACTGGACTCCCTTTATCTCCTCCCACTTCCTCCTGTGCTCTCCAAACAGTGCAGTGGATCTGATTCGTCTTGGAGGGGGTCGTCTGCGTTTTCTGGTAGCCAAGTCAGACCCTGAGGTCTCGGAGAAGATCAGTGCCTCCTCCTGCTGAGAACACCTTTATTCCCCAGTTAAGACTTGCACAAAAGACCACAGAACTGAGGAGGGAGGATGACGAGGGACAAAAATGCGAACCCTGATAAACAGGTTACGTAAGCGTGTATGTATGTACCTGATTCAGATGAAATACAGAATAGCACAAAGACCTGCTCTGAAACCGGAGAGAACGCTTTATGACTCCACGGCACCCAGATCCCTCGTGCTGACTCCAACCCAGTTCAGACAAGATCTCAAATCATCGACGACATCCAAGGAATCTACACAGAGGAAAGTTGCCCAACTATCCAGTATGTATGCAGTCTGATGTCGCCTGAAGCACAGTAGATTCTCCTCTACCTGTGGAGTATGCTTGACTTTTTTCCCAGCCGTTTTAGAATAATAACTAGTTATTCTCAGTGTAAATAGCAGTGAATCAAGTTTTCTCTCACTTTGAAAAGCTTTTGCTTGGAAACTGGATTTTTCCATTTAAAAAAAAAAATCTGTTCAGCTCTCCATCAGCATCTATTGCTCAAATCAAACTTTTGTGAAATACTGACTTTTGTAGAATTTAGTGGATGAGAAATGTAAGGGAGCAAGTTTGAGAATTGTTCCCATCTAACATTATCCTGGACTTTACTTACACCTACAACGATAAGAACATACAGCTGTTGGAATTTCTTAGGTCTTCATGTCATGTTTCAGATGCTCAGTGTGGAAACTGCAGTTTAAAAAGCTGTAAATACTTGACTCACAGTATTTGGACAGAAAAGAGGGACTTTTTTGTTTCTCCTGAAATGTATTTGGGTACAGAATACTGAAAGACTTTCTGTAACTAATACTTCGTCCCTCAAGTTATGTATTTATTTCTCTACAAACAGTTTGTGCAGTAAGGACATACATTTGTCTTTTATACAGGGAATTTTCATTTCACACCATGCTTTAAGGTTTCATCCAAATTTCAAAAAGCTTTTACATCCAGCCATTCTGATTGTACAGCAGTTTAACACAATTTTCAGATATTTCTACCTCCAACCAAGTGCCGAGGTTGTAAACTGAATTTTGTCTTTCGTAATTGTGCAGTTAAAGACTATTTAACAAGTCCTATCAAAGCTGCATTTAGCTGCAGACAGCCTCTAAATTTCTCTGTGGTGTATCGGCCTCACATGTTCCAACACAGTTTGATATAAAGAGACATCTAACAAACTGTCTTTGGAAATGGCTGTGGGTCGTTTGTGATAAATGAAGATTTCAGTCACCTACCGTTCTTCAGGGGAGCCAGTTTGTAAAATTCAAACTTGTTGGTTGAAGAGAAGTCCTATTTTCTCCTCTTTCACCCATGAAATGCTTTAAGGTTCTGGTGATAACCAGTTTAGGAGCCATCATAGATTGGCTGATTGACAAATCATCCATAGCGACAAATACAGGTCCAACTCGCTCGGTCATAGTCTGGTGAGACAATCCTTTTAAAAGATAGCTCTAACGTTTCAATGCTGGAAGCACAAAGCAAAACAATATTTTTCTTGCCTTTTCAGAGGTTTCAAACCATGAAATGAAGCTACATGTGCATGGCTCTATAGCAGACAGGGCTTTTTAGCTTTACTGTGAGCATACAGGCAGTCTACCCTGAAAAGTGGGTCACCTTTTGAAAAGTCCTTTAAACAGAGCCACACAAAAAACCATCAGTTAAATTGGCTGTCAGGGGTGGAAGCATAACAGGCTTTTATTTGGCTACTTTGAATTCTTTTGTTGTGTTGATCTGCCACCTATTCCTCTCAGTAAATGCTAAATTGATTGAGAAATGTCCTAATACTCAATACGAGTATAAGTCTTACACTTTTGTCGAAAAAATATGAAAGAAATTCCAAGGTGGAACCAGCAAATATTTCTAAACCTTTTCCCCTTTTTGTTTTAGTCTCAACTTATAACTATTTATTTCTTTGCAAAAACATTTCACTTTTGTGTGGTTTGTATATCAGATTTTGTGCATGTCTACACTTCTCATTATTTATACTGTTAAATGATGGTACTTAACAATAAAGATTGTTGGACACTGATTCCTGATTGTATGAGATAAGGGCAAATGTAATGATGGCTGATTATAGCTGACAGCCTCTCACATATGAAAGATGATGTAATATCAATGAAGAATTTTAATTTGTGCTACACATTTTAACAAATCACAAAACAGAAACATTTAAAAATACATATACTCTATTTCCAGAATGTTTTATGTATTGTTGACAGTTTTTTTTACATTTAGCAAAATAGTTTAAACTTTTTCCAAAACAAGGGAAAAAATACCTTCTAGATAGCTTTGTCATTTAGCAAATAGAGCAGCATACAATCATTATGCATTTTTTTTTCTTTCTAATAATGTGCAACAACAGTCACAGAAATCTTTTGCCTGATTACCAGCTAAAAATGAAGCCTGTGTGAGGACACTCAGAAATGATAGAGGCAAAGTGAGAAAGAGAGAAAAGAGCGGGGGAGGAAGTGCTAAAGAATATCTAATTAAGGCAAGATCTGTGACAGGATCTGCCGACAGCATTATGCCTTTGGAGATCACAAAGACTAGTCACCAAAGAGAAGGAGAGAGGTAGACTGGGAGATAAAAACAAATGGTTAAAGGGGGGGAGGGGGGGGTGATGAAAGCAAAAGAGGGCAGAGATAAAAATGAGTGAATATGTGAAAAGTACCATACAGAAAGAAAACGTTCTGAGCAGTTGAAATGTGTGGTCGTGAGTTGGTCCCGCCCTTCCCTTGATGAAACTGACACAATTCCACTGATGCAACATCGTTGTAGTATTGTAGTGTTGCTGATTTTGTGTTGTTAAAGCGCTATGTTAATCTAAAGCTGTAAAGCCGTCTAAAGGTTAAAATAAAACAACAAAAAAGTAGAAATTTTTAAGGCTTTAGGGATTATTATGATAATGCTTTTCTGTGCCAAAATGAAACTAGCACAGGCTGTTTCACTTCTCCTCATACCACTACTGAAACCAAAAGAAAAAAAAAACATAAAAACAATCACTTTGTCTACATTAGGTTAGCTCCGCTTCAGTCTCCTCTAAATAGTTGCCTCTTTTTGCCCTCTCGTTGCACATCGCTGCTGTGCTCTCTCTGGTCACGCTGAACCTGAGGAGCTTCACGCTGAAGTTTCTCATTCCTGGGTTTCCTAATATCAGTTCTTCAAAAACAAGAAGCTTGTGCTTTATAGAGAAGGCAAGAAATGTCTTTCACTCTGATTTTGGCCTGTCAATTCTAGGAAAGCATTTTTTGTTTCTTCTATACCTTAAAATTCAAGAATATGTATTTTCAAAAACTACAATCATATTTTTAACAGTCTTCAAGGCCTCATAAGCCTGCTCTGGATATGTGCTACTAACGTCTCAATACCTTTTTATCTATGACTTATGTATCAGCTAATTGTCACAGCTTCCACAGGCCTTTCACATCAGATAGCAACTCTGATCAAAGTATAAAAGGTGTAAATGTGAAGTCTTTGGCCTGAGAGCGATGGTGTGCGATACATCTTATTTGTTACAAGGAAAGGTATCTGAGATTTATCCAACATTCACTTGGTAAAAGTAGTGCTGAAATCACTTCTATGTGTATAAATAATTACATTTTTTGTCTTTCACTTTCAATCAAGAAATTTCTTTTGACAAAAATGTAGGTTTTGAAAATTGAATTCCCTTCTGACAAGACTACTGTTTTTTTGGCCAAGTTGGCTACAATCTTTTCAAATTGGTATAAAAGGCAAAGCACAGAGAGGGATGACTGAGAAGTCCTCCAATGGATACCTGGTAGGAGGCCCTGGATTTTATTGCCTAAGGTCATGGGTTTGTGATGTCATGGCAACAATGACAGGCTGCTGAGCAGGTGTGACTTGATGCGGGGCAGATTCAGTCCCTCCCTCGTCCTCCATCTTGGGCCGCTTGGCCTGGGGCTCAGCCGACTGCTCAGCTGAAGGGTCAGCGCTGGGCTGTCTGCTCACCAACACCGGAGGGGAGCTGGAGGCCTGAGCAGCCAGGATCTGCAAAGGACTGTTCAGACCTTGGGAGGACATTAAAAAAAGAAAAGAAGGGATATCTTAGAGGGCAGGTTTTCTTATGAGCTTCTTATCTTTAAAAAAAAACACATCCTTGTTAGAAATTAAATGTAAAACGTTGGTCAATCCTTTCAGTGTGACGGGACAGTTTATTTCAACCTGTTTCCGACTTAAACCAGCTGGAAATAAGGCAAAACTGAAGTATCGCCACAGAGAGCAAACTTTGATGGGGTAGATCACTGAAGCAGCCTGTGCAGAGCCGGACGGTGAAAAAGTGGTTTAAACATTGTGATTAACTGCTGTCAAACCAAATCTGTCTGTAACTGCCACTATTGCACTGAGCTGGGGTTAAAGGGGAGCATTTTCTGTCTCTAATGTTTCAATGGGATTTTAACAGTCAAGCTTTCCTACTAAATAAACCTGTGAATGTCTGACTCTTATTTTGGTGTTTCTACTGAAGAAGGGAAGAGGAGAGGATGAGCGAGTTGTAGCTGACCGAAAGCTGCACTGCCCCGAGGTTAAGCTTTTAAGTGGAAGCCTGGGGACAGGCGCCCTGCCCTTAGCCGCCGTGCCTATCCTGACATCAAGCCTGTGACAGGCTCACAGCGTGGATGTCCAGTGGATGCAAATGAACGGTAGAGTGTGGTTTGTCTGATGGAGGTCCTCCTGGGTGAGTGACACCAAGAAACCAAAGACTTTCACTCCAAGGAAAAACAGCAAGGAGGAATCCAGCCGGACCTCATTTTGCCTGACATCGAGCTATTCATACAAATAGTTTTCTGGAGCTTTCTTTACCATTAAGAATTCTCACATGAAGTCATTCAAAAAGAAAGTGGCTTGGTTTCACCTGTGATCGGCCATGCTTTACTAAGCTGATGTTGCTGATACAAGAGCTAAAAACACATCTTACCAGAAGCATTAGCAGGGCTTGTTGCTGTGGAAACAGCAGCACTTGTATGTTTGCCATTCTGCGTAATGGGGCGAACAGGAAGTTGGTGTAATCCAGGGGTCAGGTGGCGTCCTTCACTGCCCTGCACTGCACTGTCCACAGTCTGGATCACACGCTCTCTGCCAAGCTGGGCATCTGAGGAGAAAATGCAAAACTCATATATACAAAATGAAAAATATATACTTTCTTGAAGACCTCTCAAATTTTTGGTGTACAGAGTTTAAAAATCACAGCAGGAGAAAAAAACCAAAGGGGACTTAAGATTTTTTTTCGCAGCCACAGCTAACAGACACAAACGTAAATTCATCTTTTTACTTTGGTTTAAAATCTGCTTAATAGCAGGTTTCAAACAATGAGCATGGAGGCCTCTCTTAGATATCTTTGCATATGTGTATCTATTGTCTAATATGTAAAAAAACAACTTTTCAAAAAAGGTTAGTGCAGGAAACAAAGAATGGAGTCATTTTAAACAAGTAGTTAGGAGTGCAACCAGCAGAGGGAGTCCAAACAGAGCCCAAAACATCTTCGGTTCGATTATGTCGATTATGATGCGGACTGCAATCATCTTGGCTTATTCTGCATTAAAACACACACTTACACACCATCTACAAAAGTGGGCCAGCCTGAAAAACTACAGCCGATGCCAGAGATGTTATGTACCAGATCAAAAAGCGTTTTCTTCTAAAAGAAACAACAGAAAAAAACATAATTGAAGTATTTTTATTATTTTACTTCAAATTCTTGCTGAAATCCTTAAAAAAAAATATGCTGGCTCTGGCTATCTGTGCTCAGATCTCTCAAATAACAATTACTGGCCACCAAATACCAACTGGTGGCTGCCCGAAAATGAGCCAGCGAGGCGACCCACACCTCTGCCGGCTGACAAAAAAAAGAAAACCCTTTAATTAAATCAGTGTATTGAATTAAAGGCACTAATAAAATTAGTGCAAACTTGTGTTCTAATCTGGGTTCATAATGCAGAGAACGTGTAACAGCAATGGGATGAAAGGCCACCACAGAAATAAACTGATGTAACTAAAGGCGAGCAAACTTATCAAGTTACAAAGGGTTTGCATCAGAGAGAAAAATAACATTTCTGAAATAGAGTCCCCAAACTGTACCTCTGATGTCACTGTTGCCCTCTAATCCTCCAACAGGGGGGGCACTGTACCCATTTGGAGGGTTAGAGGATGGAGGGGCGCTGGTGACCACACGCACCATGGTAACAGAGGGCTGAGGGGTGCCCTGGAGCACATGGATGGGCTGGACTTGGCCGCCGCCACCTGGAACTAAAGCAAGGGCTTTCCCCAGGCCTGAGTTCAGGACTGTTGGGTGAGGAGGGGCGGCCATGATGACAGGCTGAGCGCTGACTGGAGAGCCTATTGGGAGACAGACCCAAACAAGCTCGCCCGTTTAATGCGGGAACAAATTCTACGTACCACTTGTAAATGTTTGTATACCTGCGTGCACGCTCACCTGGGGCGCTCTGGGAATATCTGTACTCGGGCACAGATGCTAGTTTGCTTGCCAGCTGTTCGTGGTGGTCATGGGGGATAGGGGAGCCCTCCCTGCTGAGACATTCAGGAGTCTGCAGCCCGCTGGATGGAGGAGAGAGAAGTCCCTGGTGGGTCGGGGAAGCAGGAGCACTCCTGAATAACACAGAGAAAAATGGAACAAAATGAACTACAACAGAGTAATGTGCACAATTTCTCATGGGTGGAACTTTAAGCTGAATCACCCAGCCTGTAAGACTGACTTACTTTGTCCTGGCCAATCAAATGTAAGCAAAGAACAGTAGCAGAAAGAGGAGAGAAAGCGTTAACCAGGTCACTGTGTGGCGTGTGTGCGTGCTGCTGGCCGTCACTGCTGACCACGGGCCGTCGTACCTCGAAGACAGCGGCCCAAACGGAGTCCTAAAGCAAGCCACTCCTCTTTGCCGTCTTTTCCTGAAAGCCTGCTCCACCAGCTTGTTTTCAGAGGCAGAATCGAGGCGCCAAAAACTTCCTTTCCCCGGCTCATCCTGAGAGCGGGCAACTTTCAGAAAGTAGCGGTTGAGTGACAGATTGTGTCTGATTGAGTTCTGGTGGGAAGAAAAAAAAATAAAAAAATTCTTGAATACGATACTTTAAAGGAGAGCATGCATCTCTGAGCAGCACCTGTACTGAATCAGCTTTACGCCTGCATTACCTGCCAGCCTTTGTCTGCAGTGCGGTAGTAGGGGTAGTGTTTGGTGATGTGGGCATAAATGCCACTGAGGGTCAGCTGTTTGTCCGGGGCTGAAGAGATAGCTTGGACAATCAGCTGTGCATAGGAATAAGGTGGCTTGGACTCGTCCTGGCAACAAAAAAAAAAAAAAACAACAACTCAGAAATAAGCCTCCCCGTTGTTGCAATCCCCAAAAAGGAGCTATTCACTTTTGTCTTGATTGGGAGCTGTGTTACTTCTGCTCTACCTTGGGGCTGTCTCCTCCCATTGGCTCCCCTCGCTGGTCATTTCCTCCCCCTCTCTGCTCGGCGAGATTTCTCCTCTGTTCAGAAACAGCCTGTGCAGCATATTCAGCTGCTAACTGGAGGTCAGAGGTCACATTGCGTCCATAGCGATACCCTGAGGACCCTGCCCCACGCGGACTGGCTGGACAGGAGCTAGGAACACTGGAGAGGAGAGGACAGGCTTTCAGTGAAAGGGGAAAGTTTGGATTCAAGGATCATTCTGGAGTAAAGACACATGAAACAACATTCACATGAGCTCCTGCTTTTCCGTCCAGTCTGGGTTTGGTTAAATTTCCATCATACAAACTCATACAAAAATACTTGATTATGCAAGAAGTGTGGAGTATGCACACTTGTGTTTTAATGTTTTTTTAACCAATTTTTTGCTGGGTTGAAGATATTTTATGCGGCAATCTTGGGGCAGAGTGTGTGTTAATTTCGGCCAGGAAAAAAGAACGATCAGTTGAAATCATAGCTTTCTCTCTCTGCGTGTTCACTTCGGAACAACATGCAAGTATGGCTTGACGTCTTAGACGTGCTAATTAACTGTGTAACTAGCCTCACGTTGCCTTTTAATTCCACCGCTTCACTGCCCGAGTTATTTTCAAACAAGAAGGGCAGAGAAGCTTGAACACCTCCCCCAACCCCCATTTGCGAGCAGCGACTTAAAATAGTGGCTTAGCTTTCCTTTAATATTGCTGTGAAATGATGACCTACCTGCTGCGTGATGCTGGTTGTTACAGGCTGTTCAATTTGACCAGCAAGGTCAGTTTATTGAGCCCTGGGGACAATAAAACCCCAAACAGATAGAAATGAATATGTCCTGGGAGAACTAACAAACAAGGAGGCCAATAAAGATTAAATTATATATTTGACAGCAGAATTTGAGATTGTGTGTTATGATCTGTGCGACTCCAAGTGATTATTGATGAAAATATCTGATGTTTACAGTAAATAAACCCTGCGCCACTTCAATAGGATATCAATTTTCCCGTTTACGGTTTATAGAATGCAACTTGAAGACAGACATTAAATTTGAACACATTTAAATCATTCATATGTTGACAGAATTAGCAAAAATATACAAAATGATATCTATAGTGATTTGCTCTGTTATTTCCAGCACATTGTTCTTTTTTTTATGCTTCTGAAATATAAAGCGAAGCGTACTGCGGATCCAGACATAAATACAGAAGAGCAGGTTAAAAATTAACTCGATTTCAGCAGCTGTTGAGATGGAGCAGAGGGGAAGCCCGGTAACTTATTATCCAACACACACCTGCTCCTGTTAGTAAAGCAAACACTGCTTTTCTGAGAGAGACAGTAAACTTTGATTTGCCTCAGGCAACAGACTGCATCAGATACAGGGAGAGAGGAGGAAGGCTCCATTTTCATAATGGCTCAGTAAGCTTTGAGTTTAAAAATGACAAAGATCACGAGTTGAAATAAAACATAATAAAAACAGTTTGCTACACCCTGATAACAACCACTTCACTTCTGCTGCATGTCTCATGCTTCCACAGTCACAGTGTGCACTTTTTCTGTTTTATTTAAGCTGCCAGACAGGCAATGTGACTCTTACCGCCCAGGGAGGACTCATTGTTTGTGTTCTAAATGGTGGTGCATGCTTTTAGACGATGCTCTTCCGCTGTACACACCGCATGTGGGTGCTGATGAGGGTGGCACAACTGTGTGCCCGAAAAAGGCCACGGTGAAAGCGGCAGGGATGCACGGGCAAGTGCTTTAACTCTGTGTCTGTTATGTATCCACATGCAGGAGAACAGGAGCTGAGAGCTGAGCGGGAGGGTGCTGTGGGGGCTTCGAAAAGGAAGCCACGAATGGACGGAAAAAGGGCCTGCGAGCAAAAACAATCTGCCCCGGAGCCAATCACACACCCAGGAGCTGCAGCCATCCCTTATAAGGCATGCACACACAAGCTGGTGGGGAAGTGCACTTTGAGGACAGACGCACACACCACCAGAGGGCGCACACCTCCACGCACAGCTCTGACGCCACATGCTGCAGACATTTATAGAGCTGGGACTTTCAAACAAGAGGAGCCGTCGTGGTACGCTGCAAGTTTCCTCCGCGAGCAAAATACTGCAGCGTCTGGTGAACACACCCTCATTCAGGAAGGATACTGTCCGAACAACAAGCTTATGCAGAAATCAGGCCTCATTTCACAGGCCCAGTAAAGGCCAAGTAGATTATTTATTCTCCTAGCACATTTTCAGTAAGAAGACATTTATTGTTAGGGGTCCACTCTCTCCTAACTTTACAAAGTTCAATGTATGACTTTCTTTTTGACACTTTAACCTTAATGAATGTTTTTCATTCATTCACTTTCGACCTAAATTGAAGAGGGCTCCTTGTTAAACCTGTTGTTCACGTCTCCTGTCACAATCCAGTTCATCTTTACAAAAGAATAATATGAGCCGCAGCAAACAATGAATTCCAATCAAGATTTATCCGGAAACTTGTTTTTTTCTTTAAAAGTTGCCAGATAAATAATAAAGCTTCTTCTTTTTTACTGACAACCCAGATGTAATTTGACTTTAAATTTCTAGTTATTACTGATGAAGATTCAAAACAAAAACATCCATTAATGCTTAGAAAGCTCATCAATGTGGTGATGAAAGGAAGTGGAGCTTTGTTAGCTGATATTACAGAGCTGTGGGTTACCTGATGGTGCCCGTGGGTGAAGGAAGGGGAGATCCAAACGCCCGGATGTGTTCTTCGTGTTGCTGTGCAGTGGGAATGCTGATTTTAAGAGGTGAAATGTGGGGGAAAAGCGGGCGAGGGGGGGGAGAGGGCTGCTCTTTCTCCCTGTACTCCTCAGCATCCAGAAGCGACATAAAGTGGATCTTGATTGCAGTGCTGGGAAAACGAAACACACACCTACACAGGAAGGACAGAGCCAAGTTAGTTCAAAGTCTCCTGCACAATAACTGTCAGCGAAGTGTGAACAGAGGTGCAAAGGAGCTGTTCAGCAGCTTTTCCCCAGTTAACAGTTCTCATTTGAAAGTTTCTCAGAGAAAAAAGAAAATAAACATTGACCTCCACATTCTCTGACAGCAATGCAAACTCACTGTGACACAGAGAGCACAGCTTAGATTTGTTTTGTCAGCTCAAATCTCCACAAGAATGAGCATCCAGTCAACATCCGAAAATATGTTTTTGGTAACCCAAAAAGGGAAACAAAGGTTGGTTTAGACATGAACTCTTTCCTGGCAACCACAAGTTTTGTTAGAAAATAAACAACATTTTGTGTTCAAATACATGAGGAAAAAACCAAGAACAGAGTCGACAGGTTTGAACCTAAGATAAAACCTACTGGCTTCTGTTACCCTTTTCAGCTTTTTGCAGGTCTGGACAAATACTTCAGCACAAGCTAGGATCAGTCAGATGGCCAAGTCGGTTCAGGCCCAAACAAATCCCTTCATAACAATGTGTATGGGGGATTTGGTAAATGTCTTACAATAAACCCATAATATCTACGGTAAATAGCTTTTCCCAGCAGCCACCGACAATATACACTGTCTATGTATGATGATCCAACGATCCTCCTGAGTCTAACTGGTGTCTCTTAGAGAGAAAGCGTTTTGACCTCTCTGTGAGAACTTTCCAAAAAGTGCTGTTGGGTTAATCTAAACTGATGAGAACTGTTGGGTTTGTGTACTAAATACATCAGCTGTCAAACAAAGTCCATGAAAACACTGCCCACAGCCACCTCTGCCTGAAGCAGGACATCCTGAACGGCCGAGTCTCAACGCAAGGAAAACACTGCGGGGCGAGCAAAATGCAGGATTCCACAGCTGAGGAGGGACAGTCTGAGCATAGGAAAAAAAAAAACGTATTTTCTTTATCAGCCTGTGTTAGCTGTAACACAAGAGCAGCCGAGAAAAAGCCGTCAAACTGTTGAAATGGGTCGTGCAGCGACCCAACAAGTCACAGATGAAACAAACATGGTGCTGTGCGACACCTGGACAAAGGCTCGGTGGTCAAATCTGAGCGGAGGTAAGGGTGTTCCCAATCACTGCATCAAGTGAAGAGTTTGAACTTTAAGTTTGCTTAGCCTTCTGAAAACGAATTTAAAAAAAATCTGGAATCTTACGGGATAAAATAAACAGTAAGCAGCATGAATATGTGAGAGTCCCAGAATACACACATTGTTGTATTGTTAATTGATCTGATTCATCATTTTGGTTGTATAAAGCATGTATACAGGATCAGCATATAGGCTAATACCTGAAGACAATATGAAAAAAAGTTACCCGAGGAAATTTCAATATAGCTACAATGTTGTTTTTGATAATTCTAAACAACAACATTCTGACAAATCTTCTCAAGATGGACCCATCTCTCATGACATTGCTTCTGTCTTTATGACAGGATGCTGAGGGATGTGCAGAGGAACTACAGATTCCTCAGTCTGCTGATCCCCAACAGAAAATGTGCCGCCAGCTGCACACTCCTCAGAGGAACACATGCGAACATGGCTGTAGTGGATCTGGTTTTGTTTTCACTCCATGTGCTTCTGCAGTGAGGACGCCGTCGCAGCCAAGGCTTCCTGTTCAAAGGCCGACACACCCCCAAAACATGTCAAACAGCCAATTAGAGAGAATAACAACCCCTCTCCCTTCCCCACGCTCACAAGACCCTCCTCCACTCCACCTTGTGAATTATTAACGCACACACTCTGCTAAAAAAAAAGTGTTGTTAGAGGTTATTTTATGTGGCAGAAAACGGCGAAAGCAAAGAGTTTAAAGCAGGATAGACAGACCCTATAGCTAGCGCTTTATTCAAGTACCACGTGATTTCTGACAGACACGCTAAAAAGGCACTTAAATGACTGTATTTACAACACAAACACAATTGTACCCGCAATACACGTGAGCTGTTATTGAGTGTAGGTTTGTTTACATGAATATTTTCGTGACGTTGACATGTTGACTGAGAGCCACGCAGCTAACCTGTTGCTAACTGAAAGCCGTCGACATGAGAGACGACTTTGACCAGCAGCTACATGACTTTAATGAAAAACAAACTAGGCTAGGGTAAATCATTTTTAACACATCAATTCAGCAACAATTTCCCCACTGCACCGATGTGAACAAATAACGACAGGGCAAAGCCCCTCTCTTTAAAAACCTTTGCTAGCCACCTTGGACAGGGCTTGTCTGTCTGCCAGGCCAAACGACACTGAAGCTAAGTTTGCTAAGAGCTAAAACTAGCTACGCTGATTCACTGGATTTGTGGGGTGAAAATGCCCAATAAAGAGTTATTCAGAGCCTCGAACAACATTAAAAAGACATTTTATTATATACACATATTTATTTTACATATTGGTTATTTCGGAAGACATGGAGTCTTATTAAATTATAATACAAGGTTCAAAACACTTAAATTGGTCGGTACCACCTCAACTCGATATTACAAGGGTATAGTAAACTTAATATCTTCGCGACAATCTACGTTATGTTTGGCCGTTTAAAGGGGATAGCAACTAAAAACGTGTTTCAGCTTTTTTTTCGTAGTTGAAACTCTGTACAAAGCTTCTGCAGAATGACAACAACTTAAACTAGTCATTTTCACAGTGAAAAACAAGTCGTTTGTGACTTTATGAAGCTGTGACAGCGTATACAACGAACCAGCTAGAACGAGCATACGTATTTTAAAAAACCTTTCCCATGCTGCGTCCCCATGTGCAAGTCTACGCCTACAATTTGAGCTAAGGTTTGGGCAGCCACGCAGAGCCGAGCCCCGGCGAATCCATGTAGCGGCCATGCTAAGTGTGTACTCACTCTCTGGGCAACAGCAGCGGTGGCGCTCCTCTCCGCTGGAACACCCCGTCAACGAACACGCCGTTCTTCCCCAGGCACCGCAGGGAGAAACCGCCTTTGTCATCGTAGGTGATTTGCAGGTGTCTTCGTGAAATGAAGCTCGAGTGACCCATGTTGATATCCACAGAGCCGTGAGACGAGTTCCGGCCTATGGTGACCGTCCTCTGGCGCATGACAAACTCAAAGTCCCGGCCCTCGAGCCTGGCCACGGCCTGCGGGGGAGTAGAGGTTAGCCGCGATGGAAAAATGCCGGCATCAGTGCGGGCTTCCATCACCGGGGGACCCAAGAGGGTAAGCGAGGGCTGGTGGTAGGCATGGGAGGTCACTGCAACGCGCACGGGGCTGCACGGCGCCGACTGTAAAGCAAGCAGAGCTCGAGCTCCTGTATCGTCCCGGTAGTCTGCCATCTTCTTTCGGAGGATCAACACACTCACACGCACACAAACACACTTTACTTCTCAGACACACACACAGGGTTGCAACGTGAGAGTTTTCGGCCGGGGAACTTGTTCGCTCCGTGGCTGACGGAACAACATGGAGTCCTGTGGTTGGAAAGAACAGGAACGGAGCACCGAGGACCGGACTGACGGTGCCTTTAAGGGCCCCTCGTAAAAAACAGATCTTAGTACAGGTTAATAGAAAAAAAAATCTTGCAGGTTAAAACACTTTAATTCTCACCGCCATCTTCATGTGTTTGCAATTATTCAGTCGAACTGTGTCTTAGGTGTTACCTTAAACATACTACCTTAAATTTGCCAACATAGTAGATTGCTGCCTCTTAGTTAAGGTAAATGTTCAATATATTTATTAGGCTACATTTATACAAGTCTCTAGGACTTAAATACATAGCTGAATACAGAGTTTCATATACTGAGTTGTGCTGCCAGGCCGTAGCAGCAGATGCACTTTGTTTCTGTTTGTTTGTGAATCCCTGTGCTTCAGTCTTTGTCTTCAGTAAGACAAGAGCATGGTCAGCTGGGTAAAGGTCAGCTGACTGACTGCAGTGAAAGAAAGACTTTTCATTTCCTTTTGGATGTGATGCTTAGCTTCATTGTCTGTGCTCTTCTTGGAAGCCTCTTTCCTATCAGAGTTGTTTAATCTAACCCATGTGAGCAGATCACTTATCTCTATAAATTTCAGAATTCTTCCCATTACTTCTATCGGCAGTGCCACCATCATCAATACTGAACACTTAAAGACAACAGCAAAGACTAATATCAGTAGCAGCTCTGCACCAGCACGTCATCATACTGTACAATATTGGAGGACAGCAGATTTACAATGCTTTCGATCTTTTTCGTTTCATTTGAATAATTTTGGTTTTAAAAAAAATCCGTTCTTTTCATGGATTTTTTTCTTGCAAAAGCTACATGTATTTTATCACTGGCCTCTTACAGTTTGAGGCTCACCCTGTGTGTTGACATTCATTTGGGATTCTCATTGAATTATTTTTTATTTGGCACAATGCACTAAAGGGTTTTTTTTCCAAAGAAAGTGTTGTGTAATCATGCATATTTTATTCTGTGGTTTGTTCAGAGTAAAGAGAATTAAAATATTGTCCATTTTTCTCATTTATTCAAATATTTGTGATGATACAGCACCCGAGACTCCCCAAACGGCTAACAAAAGTAAAAACAGCACTTGGAATAAATTCACTTATATTTGTCAATAAAGCATGAGGGTAACCTACTATATCTGACCATAATGCTGCTTAACAGTCTCTTAGCCTTATTTACTGCCTGTGAAAAACGTGTTGGACAATAATGAGTTAAACTGTCTCAGATGTAGTGGACTACCAAACACAAAAGTGTAGAAGACTTGTAATGATTTACAGATCAGTACAGTGAGTTGCAGTTGAGACTATCCCTGTGATTCAAATGAATTTCCAGTTCTGGCATCAGAACTGGAAAATTACAGCACACCAATCCCTGTCAGGAAAGAACAGAAAAATGTTGCTGTTTTCAAATCAGTCATGGATGTTGTGTTTGATTTTTCCCCTTGAACACAGCATTTGGGTCTTGTCAGGAAACATTTAAGTTTTGTGAAGTTTTTTAAGATTAAAATTTGTATCTTTAAACTTAAAACAACACACAGCTTGAGTTTGGTGTAATTTTTTAAAGGAATACCTGGTGTTAATTAAACATAAGTTGTGCATGTTCATAATGTCAGTGATTTTAGTTCCATTCAGAAAAAAACTATCACAAATGTTGTGTCTGAGGGAGAGCTGGTTTGGCCACCTCATTTTTTCTTTCTCTTTTTTATCTCTACCCTCTGTTTATAAACATAGAAAGAAAGAACAAGAAGGCTGAAAAATCTGGATAATGGATCTGTGAAGGAGCAGGAGCGCATGGCTGATCGATGAAAGGTGAAAAGAGGCTTCCACATGAGTGCGCTGTTAGAGTGAGAAACGTTGTGAGGGTTATGCTTTCATGGTAGAAAACTTCATGTTACCAGAGTGCATTTAACTTCCATGTTTAAGGTCAAAGTGGAAATACAAATATGAAGAAAAACAAACCTTATCTGATTTAGTAATATATTATCCACTGATCGTATGAATATAATGGAAAAGCCCATTTATATTTTGAAGTTTGTTTTTTTTTTGCTTTCAAACAGTTCAATATTCAGATTAATTGTGGGTAAAGCCAACAAGTAACTAAGACATGAAAAACAAGAGCCCTCTGTCGGGACGATCTTCTCTGTGAAACCTGCTGCCAGTCTATCACCGTTCAGGGTTTTTCTGTCTGAGATAAACGTCCCCTTCTGATAAATCTTAAAGTAGTTATTTGTGCCCATTTCCTGTCCTTGTCCTTCTAACTAACTGGGGATGGGGGACTGAATCACAGTAGAGGTTTTGATGCGCACTATAAATTATGTAATTTTTTTTTTATAGTGAAAGATTGTATGTCTCTGAATTCTAGTAGAACTGAATTATAAAAGAATTATTAATCAACCAAATGAAATTGGATCTGAGTTGTCATTATTTTCCATTTATTCTTGTGCTGTGAGCTAGATCAAAATGAGTAAAATGAATTTAGCAGAATTCAACTAACATTTCTAAAAACTTCTACAGTAAAGCAATCAAAGACAAACAGTGTATTTCAGGAAACTAAGTTATCAGTTGTACAACTAACATGCTGTTGTTACAGTCTAACACCCTCCCACCACACACACACAAACAAAAGACTACATATGAAGGACCACAGACAGGTAAAGTGAAACCATCTTTATTTTCGGTTCAGGTTCTACACTGTTCAATTTGTCATTAAGAAGAAAGGAACAGCTGGAACGAGGACTTTTGTATTCGTAGGATTACATATGTACACAAATTAACTAGACTCTCATTTTGTTTACTTTTTCTAGCAGGAAGATTCAGAGCGAGGGACTAGTTTCAGCTTAATGGGTCGTTTTGGCGCAAGAAGACCCTGGCTGTCCATTTCAAGAGGGATCTGAGGAAAAAGACAGAACTAAGTCAGGAGTGAACAAAACATAACAGCCTCTAATTTGTAAGTCAAAATATATATATCTTAAAAAAGCAGAGGCGATGCATAAAGATATCTTTATTATTATATTAGGCCTTTATATTAGGCCTTTAGACTTTTTTTCTGAGAATGTGATATCTGAAATGTAAGATAAAACTACAAGTCTGTCCAAAGTCCTGTGTCCGGCAGTTGATTTTGATCTTTGAACCAACAAACAGATCACATATTATGTAACACAATTATTTTTCTCCCCTAACCCCGAATAACTTTTGAGTAAGACTCTGACAAAGCCATAAAAACGTACTAAACATGTAAACATTTTCTAGCAGTGTAAAGGAGCAAGCCTGTTGTCTCACCTCTGTCTCCTTACACACAGAGAAGCTGAAGCGCTGGAGGACGTCCACGACCGCAAGTTTCATCATCACCAGAGCAAATCGCATTCCAATGCAGTTCCTTGGTCCTGCCCCAAAAGGCATGTAGGTGTACTGGTCAATCGTCTCCTTGTTTTCTTTGCTGAATCTGGGCGCAGAAGCACACACATGTATAAGCATTAATAACAGATAACACAGTAACTAATACCAGTATCATATGTTGTAGTTTTGTCTTTCGTTTAGGGTTTATTTTTAAGGGCAAACGTTGCGTTTATACCTCTCAGGTTTGAACTTCTCGGGTTCGGGCCACAGTTGCGGGTCCCTGTGCAGGGGCCACGTGGGGACCATTACCACCATATCTTTTGGAATCACAAGGCCATTTATCTCCACAGTGGCCTTGGCCACGCGCTCCAGGCGTGGAGCTATGGGGTACAGTCGGAGAGACTCATTGATGACGCTGTCCAGGTACTCCATTTCCATTAGCTTCTGGTACTCAACAGGAGCCTACAAAAACAAAAAATTGCCTGTTGACCATAGAACTAAAACAGACACTCACAGATGACAGAGATAGAGCGATCAGAGAATGTATTTTCCTTTACTGCATAGGAGTCCTATGCAGTAAATGGGGAATACTTTAGCTGATGGATAAACTCTACGGATATTATGATACACACGAACAATCATAAGTTTATTCACTAATTGTATTTAAGTATATTTTTATCTTTTAGTACTAAATTGTACCAACATCAGGATTTAAAACTGAACGACCTAGGGATTTAAGACTGAACCCTGTTAATAAAACATCCATGGGTTTAATTAATGGTGATTAATCTGTGTGATTGTGGTCGGACACCTCTGACCTTTCTTTCCTCAACAGAAATAACACTGCTTTTCCATTTTCAGACCACCTTTACCAGCTCAAATTTAGTCATTATCGCAATCCTCATCTCTCGAAGCATACCTCATTAGCAAAAGTGGCGTCAACCTCTTCCTGCAGTTTTCTCATGACCTCCGGGTTTGTTGCAAGATTGTAAGCCAAGAAAGTGAGAGAGCTGCTGCTCGTTTCATACCCGGCAAAGAGGAAAATCATAGCTTGTGAAAGGATCTCATGATCATTTAAGCCTGGGGAAGTGGGAGAGGGCATGTTGTTTAGAACAACTTTAAGTTGTGTGTCTGTGTCTGTGGATGAAGTGTTTTTTTGTTAACAACCTTTTTCCTGTTGCATCTCATTAGAAGTGACGCCTTTGTTGTTTTTCTGGGAGTCAATCATCAGCTGCAGAAAGTCCACTCGACTCTGAGAGTATAATCAAATCAGATCTGCAAATCTGCCGATGCAAAGAATTGAATGCACGGTAAAAAGACTAAGATGTACCTTTTGCTTGCTGCTCTCGCGATTGGCCTTGATCTTCTGCAGGGAGGCATAAAAGAAGTCTGTCACTGATTTGGGGAAAAAGGATAACTCCATCCTTTCAAATATGGGAGCCAGGAAGGGGAAGAATGCTGTAATGTAGCAGAAAGAAACACTTTTTTCATTACTTGACACTTGAAACAGAGAAACTCCATTAACATTTGCACTAAGTTTAGCTTTTCCATCTTCATTACCTGCCAGATAATGGACACAGTTATCATGTACAATGGCATCGAAACATTCCTGTGATCATGTAGGTGGGTAAAAGATTAACTGATCTCTTTAAGGCAAAACATTTGAACAACATAACATAACACAACATAATTAAAATCATATATATATATATATATACATATACATACACACAATGGAATCTTTAAGAATATATAATATATGGAATACTTTTTTACTATATCTATACTATATTTTCATTCCAAGAAATATTGCTTCTATATTTGTGCTTTTCTTTTCCTCATTGGATGTAGATAATCTCATATCCATGTGCAGCTTTTTAAAAGTTAGTATGATATTTAAGTCCACAGTTAGCTGGTACTTGTATTCTTTGAATGTATGTAAAAAAGGAAAAACAAGTAGCTCGCTGAAACACTATACCAAGCTTAACTGACCCAACCCACTGCTATTCAGAATTCACTCCCTAGCGTCCTTTAACAGTCAAACAGGGGGTTTTATATCCCAAAGGAGTGGCCTTAAAAAGCTTTGTTGGCCTGTCATCGATCAAACTGACATCCAACATTCACGTTAACTGTACAGCCTGAAAACACCTCAGTGTCTTTCTAAAAATCTTTTTCTAATTTGAATACAACAGTTATTGGAAATTTAAGAGTCAAACATGGCAGCATATTGTTGAGACATTTTAGCTGTCATGATAATTAGGAGAGCTTTTAGATCACATGAGTGTGATCACTTCTGTAAACTGTTAGTCAGTGTTCAACATTTTATAGAATTCCCCTATTTTCAAACATTCTGCATGTTATGTTTTTCTCACTTATCCTTTAAAGGTAGCAGATATTTAGATATGAATATTCAGTTGATTTCTGTGATCATCAGTAGGTTTACCAAGAGCAAGGAAGAGGGGGTTGAAAAAGTCGAACTTGAGCATCTTTTTGATATTGGAGACAAATGGGTCGGAGGGGTTGTTGAGTGAGTCGATGTCGACACTGAAGGCCGTGCTGGTTACAACATCCATACTGTAGGGTCCAAAGAACCTATGAGGGAACAGAAAGACATCCAAAATAACTCTCACTGTGTAAGGCCTAAAAAGTGTTCCATTTCTGAAAGTTGATGGAGTGACTTTAAAGTACTCTTACTCCTTCAGCTCCAATGGCTCATCCTTGTCTGCCTTTTCTTTCATGCTGCTGATCAGGTTAGCAGAATGGTGCTTCATTATCTCAAACATCTGAGACACAGGAGGGAAAAAAGCTTACTGTGATGATAACTACAATTAACACTCAACAACCAATCAAGTTTGAGTGGTTCAAAAATGATTTGGAAGCCTCTTGGGCCCACTAAATCAGGTGTCATTAATGTTGATTAGAAAATGACTTAATAGTCTAGAAAAAGGTCTGTTCAACGAGTTAAAACCAGAGGACGTAAAGACCAGGAGATGGACACACCTCTTTCAGTCTCCCTGAGGTGAAGGAGGGAGACAGGACGCTGCGGATCCTCTTCCACTGATCATCCTCTGCGATGGACACGGCATCGTACAGCGGCCCGTTGAGGCCGAAGTTCTGACATGTTAGAGAAGAGATGCTGATTTTAAAACAAAAGCTGAATTTAAAGACAACAATCTGAGGGAGAGACTGAATGAGGGATATCATGCCGGCATACCCTGCGGTTAGTGAAGAGCGAGTAGCACTCTTTAATCAGCACAGTTTTTATCATAGCAGGATCTGTGATGCACAGCACAGGCTGACGGCCATCGTAAATGCTGAATGGAAGAACAAGGGAACAAATTATAATGACGGAATAAACAAGTGAAGATTTTCTGCTTTTACTTGCAAACCAAAGCAGGCAAACAGACAATTCACATATCTATGTATTCATGTGAATATGAAAGATGTCTATCTTTGAAATATGCCAAACATCACAAGCACAAATGTTCTTAAGTGTGACTTACCCCCAGGTTTTTCCGTATTTGTTAAAGCATTCTAGGTCAAAGTTACAGAATCCCTGGGTAAAAGAAATGTCGATGAAGACATGGAAAATTAAACATCTTCATCCAATGACATACAGAATAATGACACATTTAATTTAACGAGTGTATCAACCAAATCATCCCCAATACGTTCTATTTTTATTAATTTCTATTATGTTTTTTGGTGTAGCTAATGTTTAATATACAGCTCAATTACTGTAAAAAGTTATCTGAAATATGTTGTTATCATTGTTGTTTTACTGGCCTAAGATATTCGGTTTCTTGTACATTTCTAGACATGTTTTGAAGATACTTAAGTTTAAAGCCCCACTTCCATTTCAGTATCAGAATATTTCCGTCAGTACTCGTTTTTCCTGTTTCATAGCATTAGCAGACACGTTTTGTGCTATATGACATTTTTACCAAAGCATTTTCAGAATGCTGTGGGGAAACCTCACTTCAGTCACTTGCACTTTTCTTAAATGTTTTTAGAGGTGGCAGTGTCTTGTGACCTGCCATGACATGTAATGTGATAGAATACGAGACATACATTCCGATAAGACAGCATTGTCCCAAAAAAAGGAACTGGCTTGGGACCAGGAACACCCAATCTCTTGAACGTCCCGTAAGGCCAGTAGGCATACCTGTCGAGGAATTTCCGTGAGAGAGGTAAAGAGGCTAGTACTTTCATTTACCAAATACCACAGTCATTTGAATATGTTTAAAGTACAAACAGATGAACAGACATTCTAAAGCACTTACACCATGAGCAGTGTGATGAAGGCGACCAGCAGGGTCCATGTCTCTGCAGAGAGGTAAAGGAAAGAGCCCATCTCTGTTTGGTTTCACTGTTTCCACTGGTCTACCTGTCCTTTGTGCAGACCAAATTGGTGATTAGAGGCTTTTAATCTCCAGCTGAACAGCCCCTCCCCTGTAAGTGTGTAAGAGTTGAACCAATGGCAGGCGGGAGTGGAGAGTGAATTATTGACGGAGAGAGAGAGTCAGCTGGGTTTATGGCCTTAAATGCTAACACAGATTACATATGTGTTTATGTGTCAGTTAAATTAAAACATTTAACATTTTCAACACTTGAAGAATTCTGAGTAGAATTTATTATGTATTCTAGGTCAAATACAAAAAAAAGTTTGATAAATTCACAGTTATCGGATTGGAAATCTCTTTTTAATCTTGTGCACAGACATAACTTGTCATCTGTTTGCGTGGCTGTCAAATATGACTTTTATTGTTTTCCTCCAGATTGCAGAATGTAGAGAGAAGTTCAAGTGTTACGTAACACCGCCAAGAGAGAACACACCTTTTTCCTCTCCAGTATAAGCACAAACAAAGATCACTCTGAGCTGGCCAAGCCACGAAAAGCCATGTTTTCTTTTTCGTTTTTCTCCTTAGAAACATGGACCCTGCTGATCTCTTTTATCAGCATATTTGTCTTGTAAGGGATTATTTTGCTGTTAGTTTGAAATTAAGATGGTAAATAGTTTTAACTTGATTTAATGATTAAACTTTATATACTTAACTAGAATGCTTCTGCTCTGAAAAGGTACGGTTACTGGAGCTTTGGAGTATTTGAGAAGTTGGGGATCCCTGGACCCAAGCCTCTGATGTACTTTGGGACAATTGGTAGATATAACAATGTATGCAAATCCTAATGACGTCTGCTTTGAAAATTCAAATGACTGACTTGTCCTGGCAAGTGTGAAAGGATGAAAATCTTCACTTTGTTACAGGTTTACTACTTAGATGACATGGAGTGTGCAAAAAAGTATGGAAGAGTGTGGGGGTGAGTTGAAACAAATAGGTTTCCATCCATCTATCCATTTTCTGTCCCACTGATTCCTTGTAGCTGAAATTAGGGGTGATGTGGGGCACCCTGGACTGGCTGGGTGTCCTACCCAAGAAACAAACAACCACACCATTCAGTCTTTCACCCTTAAACATAGATCTGAGCGATCTATCCTCTTGAAAACATGTCCTCTGTGTATATTTTCAGCATGTATGAGCTCAGAAAATCTGTGCTGGCTGTGATGGATCCTGACATGCTGAAAACCATCCTGGTGAAAGAGTGCTTTACATACTTTACCAATCGGAGGGTGAGAACCTACGGGACAAAAACAAAAACAAACAAAAGATTTAAAGCTCATCTGTTTTTCTCTTCTCCCCATAAATTAGAGTGATACTGCCCCCATGGGGTACTACTAAGTGAAAGTAGAGCCAAATAAGGATTATTCAACTCCACCTTTTCACAGTTTACAGCAAGTAGCTTCTAGATTAATCTTCAGTATTTAAAATGCTATAAAACTCATAGTTACTTAAAGTTACCCCTAAAATCATGTCTTAACCATAAACACCTCCCTTTGGGGAGTTTTTGTCAGGACGCCATCATGAGAGACATAAGCAACCTGGACGTTCTCATCTAAGAAAAATTCATAGATCTGGAATTTAGATAAAAAGTCATGTTAGACAGGTTTGTTAGCCATACGCCAAAGTGCTGGCTAGCACCGTAGAATCTGGTGAAACCAGCTGTCAATGTGATCCCTTCAGCCACTGTTTGGCAGAGGCCGCTTGTAGGTTGATTAAGCTGTATCCACATGAGCGGCAGAATGATCAATGCTGCAGGACCTTGACACACAGAACAAAAACCCATGAAGCTTCTCTCCTTTAGAGCTTAATTCTGAATGGAGACCTCTATGATGCTTTGGTTTTTTCTGAGGACGACCATTGGAGACGGATTCGACATCTTGTCTCTCCCTCCTTCACATCTGGTCGCATCAAAGAGGTAAGAGTATAAGTAGGCATGACAAGCCAGGATCAGTGGACATTGATCTTCAGCAGTGGGTGTAACTTGTACTTCATTTTCTTTGGTTTTAGATGTTTAGCCTAATGAAACATAATTCCCACAAACTGACAGAGAACTTGCGGTCCAAGGCGCATGGCGGGGAAGTTATTGCCATTAAAGAGTAAGCAGAACCCACACTGACTATCTAATTAAATGTTTCTTACACTAACCGGTTGTAAGAGTCATACAGATAAATAATATATAAATTTATAAGCTGTCTGTAGCACTGAATTTAAAAAGTGTTAAGACACAGAAATCAATGGGTCTGGAGGGCAGATATGTCCTTTATTTGGTCAAACACAAGACAGGACTAAGATTCCAGACCTTTTTTAGAGGTTTCAAAAACTCATTTAGATATTTTGATATATTTGCAGTACACTAACTTCGTTCCTTTAAAGCTTAAACACACAAAACCATTAACCAAATAAGAGTTTCATCATTTTACACCTGATTTCACTACACTATCTGATAAAGCTGTATAGACGCACACAGAGGAAGTTCTAACCTGTAGCTGTCTGCTACATTTATCATGTTTACAGCTTCTTTGCAGGGTACACTATTGATGTACTGGGGAGTTGTGCGTTCAGTGTGGATCTGGACACAATCAATAAACCTGCCAATCCCCTCATCACCCACGCTGAAAAGATGTTTAAAATTTCTGTGCCTCTTTTCCTGTTACAAGGTACTTTTGTTTTATTACCAGAACTTTCTCCTAATTTCTCCTAACATGGACAGCTCTGCTTTGTAACCAGAGTGAAAATAGTTTATATTTCCTTTGCTACGCAGGGTGTTTTCCCTTCCTCAGTCCTGTTTTGGATCTGCTGGGTTTTTCCTTTTTCCCAAAATCCACCACTGATTACTTCAAAACGCTGGTGGAAAAGATCAGAGCTGAGCGCAGTGACAGCTCAAAACAGGTTCGGAAAAACAAACACACTCATGCACAGATTTATTCACTGGCAGATTAATGTAAATCCTCACTGGTTGGGTTGGATTTGTTACGTCATTATACGACTATTCCTGCTTTTCTTGTTTTTCTGGATGGTGCATTGTTAATTCATACCTGCAGAATTTGTATTATCTGAACTTCTCACATGACTGTTTTTGGATTTTGTTGAAGAATTTTTCAGACTTTCTTCATAGTTTCACCAGCTCTCAGACCGGCAGTAAAGAAAATCCCAATAAAGGTAATTACATTTGTATCTTTTACACCTGTTCACAATTCATACTGAATACATCTTTCTTCCAATTTATGCATCCTATTCACCTTGACAGGTCTTACTGATCATGAAGTCATTTCCACTGTCACGATGTTTGTCTTCGCTGGTTTCGAAACCAGCGCAAACACACTTGTATTCTTAGCCTACTCTCTGGCGAGAAATCCTGAAGTCATGAAACATCTGCAGAGGGAGATAGATCTAACTTTTCCAAATAAGGTAGTTTAGTTTTGGCCTAATTCCTATTTATTGATGAAAAACTACCATTTCTTAAGCGTTTAAATTAAGTTGATTTTTAACAACTTCCAGGCTCCAGTCCAATATGAGGCTCTGATGCAAATGGACTACCTCAGTAGTGTGGTTGATGAGTGTCTGAGGTAACAAATGTGTATATTACATATGAATACATCTGTCAGGACAAATGCACACACTGTTGGGACACACAGTTATGTGTATCTGGCCCCTATTTTCAACAGGCTTTATCCGACAATTCCACGTCTGGATCGAGTGGCAAAAGAGACTGTCAAGATCAATGGAATCACAATCCCAAAGGGCATGGCCATTATGGTTCCAGTTTATGCTCTGCACTATGATCCTGAACTGTGGCCCCAGCCGGAGGAGTTCAAACCTGAGAGGTAGCTGCCAGAGTACTTCCAAGTTTGAATTCTTGGATTGATGTCATATTAGGTTCTGGTATTTTTTTATCATGAGCTGTACATAACTGAAACTGAGTCTGTCAAAAAAAGTTTGGACTACAGGATATGTTTTATTTAGACAGTTAAATAACATTGTCTTAAGAAAGCATGTTGTGAAAACAGCTTCTGCATGTTGTGGTGGATTAAAACTTTATTGCAACTTTTTTAAAGTGAAAAAACAAGTCTAAAAGCTGCAGAAAAATGAAAAGTGGCATATAGACTGTATGATGCACTATTCCTTTGCAAATCAAGCACACATGCTAATACCTGTAAAACCTTTTAATTGTGTTTTAGATTTAGTAAAGAGAACAAGCAGAAAATCAACCCATACACTTACCTTCCATTTGGAATGGGCCCGAGGAATTGTTTGGGGATGCGATTTGCTCTGGCTATGATAAAGTTGGCCTTGGTTGAGGTTTTGCAGAATTATAGCTTCTCGGTTTGTGAGGAGACAGAGGTTAGTACACATTTTTATAGTTACACATGCTTTCAGTACCTGTAGAAAAAACATTTCCAATTGTTTGCATTTATCCATTCCCAGATACCTCTGAAGATGGACCCTTCAGGCCTCGTTGGACCCCTTAAACCAATAAAATTAAAGTTGATGATGCGCTCAATGGATGATGCCGAAGTGGGGAAAGGAAACTAAAAAGCTTAAATAAATTTAGAATCCTCAAGGTTGAGCTGACATCAGAAAATCGGTAGTAGCTTGACATAAATCTTTCCATTAGTGCCTAAAGGATGTCATATTCCATAGCCTTTCAAAGTGACATGACCACAACAGAGCAGCATTTATGTCCTATACTCCTCTTATCTCCAAAGGTGTTTTTCTTTACCTTGAAATGACGTAAATAAACTGAATGAGACATCAGTTCTGTATCTTCCCCTTGTGTATTTGTTTTTTCTTGAAGACAACCTTATTTTTTAACAAAGCAAACATTCAAATAAGTTCCAGAGGGACAAGATTAGTCCTATTCATTGTGTTAAAATATATGTACTTATCTATTATTTCCCCCACTTTTTAAGTCCATTTTGAAAAACAGATGTTACCATAAATTACATCAGTGTCTTTACAACAGTCCTCAAATTGTATTTATTTATTACATGATTTTTTTTAAATGCAAATGATTTTATATGATTTTCTTTTCAGACTGGATTGGAAGAACCTGACAAAAGGGGGAATTATCAGGTTGTGACTTTTGCTCCTGCTGAAATATTCTGCCAGTGTCTAACTTTATTGGCAGAAATAGAAGGCTTAGTCATGAGGCACATGTTGGCTGGGCACAAAGGGGACTAAGTGACGTGCTGATAAGGCAGCCCAGAGCAAACATGTGAAATCAAAGGTGTTTAATGAGGTGAAAGTGTCTGGAATGAAAACTAAGTAAAAGTTCATGTACTCTTGTTACATGACGTCAATAAGCAGCGTGCCTATGCTGTAAACAAAATATCAGAACGAAGAATTACAATGTAGAAAACATATACATTTCATTTCCAAACAAAGAAATGATCAGATTTGGTTTTTGCCAGTAAAACCTATAGAGATCTATTTGACCATCAGTGTTATTTGCAAATCACAATAAGTTTAAATAAAAAACATAAAGAAGTCCATTTTTGACAATATTGAAACTGTTTAATTAAGTTAATATCATACATAACTCAGAAAAAAGGGAAACCATTTGACACTGATGCCCTATTAGTTCCTCTTGAACCCTGAGAAAGGGGGGTGCTGACTGTGTGAATCCTGAGGTGGAATTAAGACTCAGAAGGCCTTGTTTGTCAGCGCCAGAGTAGTAAAGCAGAAATGTCTGTAAATGGAAGTCAAAGATAAAAGGAAGCACGAAAATCTCTTTCCCAGCTCTTATCTTTTAGCTCTTTTCTTTTAGCCTCCTCCCTTCTTAGTCCTTTTTGACTCCTCTCTTCCCTCTGCCTGTGCAGTGGTTCCACAGCGTCCCGATCTCTGGCCTGGAAATGAGTAACTCGGGCTCTCCTTGCCTGTCCGTACCCCAGACCTTTCTGGTCTCTCTTCAGCACAGTAGGTACGGGCTGCTGAGGGCCCCCCCCCTCCGGTCCCAGCCCTGTGCCCGGCTCCCAGCCGCAGCGGAGCATCATCCGGTAGCTGTTGCTGGAGGGTGGGAGGCAGTAGTAGGGGGTGGGCGGCGGGCGCCGCAGGTTGAACTGATGCAGCGTGGAGGAGAAGTGTGACGACGCGGCGCTCCTGTACTCACTACAGCACACATCACACCACTGAGGCTCGACAGCACTGGAGACAGAGAGGAAACAATAAAAAGAATTGTAAAAGAAAACAGGCCAGAAGTGGTATATTTTATTTTGGTTTAATAAAAACCCAGTGAGCCTTCTCGATCCAGATTCAATTTAGGTATTTATTTGTGCCGTTTGTAAAAGCATTGTTAAATCTGTCCTTACTGCGATTTCAGGCAAAGAAAAACTGTCCTCTTTCCCTCATCTTTCCAAACCTTCCAAAGACTTTAACTTACAAAGGTTACGGTGTGAATCACATGACCAAGATATCATGTTCTCTTTTAGTACAGATAGGAAGCACGGACATCATTCTGTCCGACAATTTCTTGAAACCTAAACTCTTTTGACACGGTTTATTATTTTGAACTTTTTCAAACAATCCATTTTGGTTTAAAATAGGTTGTACAGCTTAAACTGTGCAAACCTGTGCTCGGATTGTGCCTCTCTCTGTGGACTTTGGCCATAGCTCATTAACTCCTCCCATAGTTCACTGTGGCCTGCTGCAAAAAGAAAGAAGAGCAGAAAACGATTGGTTGAGATTTACTGACAGAGGTGTATTTTCTTCTCCATGTGGTAGGGACAGTCATACCCTCCAGAGCCAGGTCCTGAGCATCCCTGCCCTGCAGGTCAACCACTCCGACCCAGGCGGCTCCATGACCCAGCAGCAGCCTGACCGCTGCTCTTTGACCCGACCAGCTAGCGCACATCACCGCTGTCCAGAGAAATGTATCCTGTAGGAGCAAGCAAAAGAATTAAGAACACATAAGTCACGCATTTTCCAAATCGAGACAAATCACGGCTTTAACTTATTGTACCTGAAAGTTTATGTCCACCCCCTTTGAGAGCAGCTCTTTGAGGCCGGAGACGTCCCCCTCATGGGCAAAGCGCAGCAGCCGGAGCCCCTGAAGCTCCCCGGACCCCTCAGAGCTGCTGCCTCCATGGCTGCTGCTGCCACTTTCCCCACCGACTCCTGCCCGAAGCAGAGATCCAGCTGGAGGCTGCTGTCCTTCCACAGCTCTGCCTCTCCTCCTGATTCTTCTATTGGACTTTCTACTATCTTGTCTGAGCCGACGCTCTCTGCCATAATTTCCATTGTTGACTGGTGGGTCCTGCTCTTTGCCATCCTTGACCAAGTCTTCATAGAACTGCCTGGCCTCTTCCCCACTAATACACTTGCTGTTTATTTTGGAGCTGGATTGCTCTGGTCCAATGCAAAAAACATCCTGGTTACTCGCAGGAGTAAAGCCAAAAGCAGCCATCGGTAGTGACGGGTGGGTGGTCTACAGATGGATTAAAAAAAAAGCCAGTCCTGCTCAAATGCTGCAGTTGTGGGAGACAGAAATGCTAGAGCCTTATTATGGTAACATTGTCACTTCCCATTGGGCATATTCTAGTCAGCCATCCGGCTGAACATAGTCAATATATTGATAAATATCGACAAACCGGTACTGTAAGCACATCCGCACACGTTTAGCAAAAACACTGATTCCTCAAAGTATTACAGCTTCAAATTTGTATAACTTTAGCAATAAATGCTAGCTAACTATCGAGCTAGCTAGCATTACCGCTTAAAGACGTTTATAGAAGAAAGTTTTAGACACCAGATCCTCACCGCTACCCGAGTAGTCTCAAATTTAAATCCATATCACGTCAGACTGAAAATCAGGCACACGAAAGCCTTATTTAGTTGATGTTATAGCGTAAATGGTCAGCTGCTTCGAGCTAATATGCCAACTTGTTTGTTCCTGACTGAGGCTGGAGCGGTGCACCGTGATACGTCCAGCAGGAGTGCTGCCCCCTGCAGGACAGGATGTCTCAGCCTGTGGGAGACTGGCAATGAGTTGTCCAACTTGTCCACACCTTAGCCAGCCTGCCGCACCCTAACTCAAACCCCGAACCTTATGGATGGATTTTTATGACCATTATTTTAGTATAATAATGCTGTTCAGCGGCCCACTGGCCAGTTGCTCTTTAGTGCCCCCGTGTGGACAGACGTATGTTTACACCCATCCACCGCTGATGAGCTCAACATCAGCCATATTCTAATCCTCAGAAAAAAATGAGGAATGGAATTCTATAGTTATTACACTGCTTCAGTTTTGATTCAATTAAAAAGGTTCCTTTGTATGCAAAACACAAGGGGTAACATCTCAATGCATGCCCTGTTAGTGAATAACAGTTTTTATTCTCATGGCACTTTTCTTAACACAAATACTTGTAAACAGAGACCCAAACAAAGATAAAAAACAAGTTCATGGAAATTAAATAGGGCTTTGAAAACACAGTGCGTGGAGCAAAAACAAAAACATTAGAATGTGACGATTGAAACTCTCAGCTGTTGCTTTCGTCCCTTTAATTGATCAGGTACCAGCTGTGTCCAGCTCACACATCTGGGCAGGGGCTCTGTGTTAAAGGCCATCCCACTGCTGTGTGGACTGACACATGTACACACCAGGCACAGAATGTAACAGCAATAAAGAGATTTTGTTGTGGTGGTGTGGAGTAACAGTGACATGGTCAGTCCTGGTCAGAGCCCAGCGCAGACAGCTCGCTCTGTCCTGGCCCGTCTAGTTTCTAACACTTGTACCAAAAACAAAAAAGTACAAAAAGAAATCCCAAATCAAAACATGATTTCATGAACACAAAGGAACACAGTGATTTGTATTGGACAGTACACAAGTAAGGCAAAACATTTTTTTGCAGAAATCGATAAAAAAAAGAAACAAACAAACATATATACACAGAATTGGCTGTAACTCAGAGTGACCCACATGATGTAATAAAGCACTGAAATTAATTTGTTGTACAAAAAGGATTTGTGTGGATTTGATTGACTTTCACATTTTTTGAGTGGCTGCTTTTGTTTGACCTTTTGGACATTTCACATTTGATAGACTTTGTAATAAAGACTTTGTACTGAAAATGAAAGCCCCTTTATCTACCGTACCCCCACATTTTTGCCTAAAAGTCACTGGCTTTGTCTTTTATGTCTCTTATGTAAAAACAATCTCCTTAACTCAGGGTTCATTGCAGCCTAAGTGTAAAGGAAAAGTCATGCAAAGTGTTCTGGCATCAGTGGTTCAGAGATGTGATGTCAGGCAGGCCGCTTCTCATTAGCTAAACTAAAAGTTCTTCACCTAATTAAAGAAAGATTCCACAACACGGCTTACTTCTCATCTAAGATATCCTCTGGACCATATTTTAGAAATATCATCTGAAGATGTGAGTCATTTTCTGAGAGGCCACGAGTTAAACTTTTCTCCTGATGGGAGAATCTCCCAATCAAAATCCGGATGCCCCCCAGAGCAACATCCCATCGCGCTTGGCAATGAAAAGTGCCCAAAGCTTGCCCCCCCCCAAAAAAATCATGCTTTTTCTTCTTCCATAAGAGAAATGTGGATAGATTCCTGCTGCATCCTTAGCCTGCCACCATGCAACGAGCCCAGCTTCCAAAGAGAGTGCTTCCTCTACTCCGGCGGGTGGTATTTACTGATGTGTCTGTTTCTGTCCCCGGTCTGAGTGAAGGTCTGACCGCAGTGGGGGCAGGAGTAGGGCCTCTCCCCCGTGTGCGTCCTCATGTGAACGTTGAGCTTGTCTTTGCTGATGAAGCGCTTGCCGCAGTAGGTGCAGACGTAGGGCTTGTCCCCGGTGTGGTAGCGCTGGTGCATCTTCAGCTCCGTCATGCGGCCGTAGGTGCGGCCGCACTGGGGGCACTCGTAGCTGGGCCGCTCGTCCAGGTGCTGCCGGCCGTGCAGGCGCAGGCCGCTGGCCGAGCGGAAGCTTTTCCCGCACTGCGCGCAGCGGAAGGGCTTCTCCCCGCTGTGGATGTGCAGGTGCAGCTTGAGGCTGGCGGCGGAGGGGAAGCCGTTGCCGCAGACGGAGCAGAGGTGCGGCCGCTCGCCCGTGTGGATGCTCACGTGGCGCTCCAGCTTGCTCTTGTTGAGGAAGGTGCGGCCGCAGACGGTGCAGGCGTGCGGCTGCTCGCCCCGGTGCGAGCCCATGTGCTGCGTCAGCTCCAGCAGCGAGGGGAAGGCGCGGTCGCAGCGCGTGCAGGAGTAGGGCCGCTCCCTCTTCAGCTTCCGGTGGCGCAGGCTGTGGCGCTCCAGCTCCGCCCGCTCCGGGAAGCTCTCGATGCAGCAGCTGCACTGGTGCGGCCGCTGCTCCGTGTGCGTCCGCAGGTGGTACTTGAGCGCGGTCAGCTGCAGGAAGACGCGCTCGCAGTGCGGACACTTGGCCTCGCGCCGGTCGTGGACCAGGACGTGCCGCTTGTAGAGGGACAGCTTGGGGAAGCGCTTGCGGCAGCGGGAGCAGTAGTAGGGCTCGCTGCCGTGGCTCTGCTCGTGCTTCTTCAGGGCGTACTCCACCTTGAACTTCTTGCCGCAGGTGGCGCAGGCGAAGCTCTTCTGGTGGAGCAGCATGTGGGTCTCCAGCTCCTCGGCGCTGCCGAAGGATTGGTTGCACTTGGAGCAGGTGCCGCTGCTCTCCTTCACGTGGACCTGCAGGTGCTTGTTGAGGTCTTCCGGGAACGCGAAGCTCTTCGGGCAGTCGGGGCAGGCGTAGCACTCGGCCGTGGCCCCCTTGCGGTGGGTCATGATGTGCCTCTTTAGGTGGTACATGCGGCCGAACGCTTTGCCGCAGTCGCTGCAGCTGAGGCTCCGGGGGCTGGCCTCCACCTTCCGGTGCAGCTTCAGGTGCCTCGCCAGCGCCGCCTTCTCTTTGAACTGCTTGTCGCACGCCAGGCACGTCAGGCCCTCCACGGCGTGGGTCTTCCTGTGCGTCTTCAGGTCCAGCCAGGTGCCGAAGCTCCTCCCGCACTTGGAGCAGACGTGCTGGCCGAGGCCGTGCTGGTTCCTCACGTGCCGCGTCATGTGGTAGGACTGGCTGAACGGCATGGCGCAGACCGGGCAGCTGAAGGGCTTCTCCTTGGTGTGCGTCCGCATGTGTCGGGCCAGCTTGTTGGGCCCCCTGAAGCGCCGGTCAACGCAGATGGGACAGAAATGGCCTTCGGTTTGACTCTCTGATGGGGGCGTGGCCTTCTCTCTGTCTTGGGAGGCGTCGTTGTCCGGGGAGGCGGCGCCGGGCCCTTCCTGGTCACGGTCGGGACCAGGGCGGGCGTCTGGGCCCGCACTGACCGTTCCGGCTTGGGGCTGCACCTCTGCTCCGCCGCCCGGCTCAGAGCTCTGGCGCTCGGCCTGGTGGGACCTGACGTGGTCCGAGAACTCCTTGCTCTGGGTGAAGTTCTGACCGCACTCGGGACAGCGCAGGGGCTGCGACCTGTGCGTCTTCTTGTGCTCCTGCAGCTCGGCAGAGCCCGCCAGGCTCTGGCCGCAGGTGGAGCAGACGTGCTGGCCGGCGGCGTGCTGGCTCCGCATGTGCCGGGTCATGTGGTAGGACTGGCTGAAGGTCAGCTTGCAGACCGGGCAGCTGAACGGCTTGGCCTTGGTGTGCGTCCGCATGTGTCTGGCCAGCTTGTGCGCGTCTCTGAAGCGTCTGTTGACACACAGAGGGCAACAGGTGGCCTTTCCTTTGTCCGAAGACAGCACAAAGTCTCCATCCTCGTGGTCTTCTCGGCCTTTGTCTTCCACGCCGTTGCAGCTGCCTTCCTCCTCCGCCCCTGAAGCCCCGGGATCATGGTGGGCTGCGTTCCCCTGAGCCGGACGGGCCTGACCAGCAGCCTGGGGCGCGTCCCCGCGGCTGTCGCTGTAATAGAGCTCGTCATTACTGAAGTAGTACTCATCTTTGCGTCTTAACGATTTGGTCTGGGGTTTGGGGGCGCTCGGTTTCGTTTGGGGCCGCCGCTCCCCTCGACGAGGCCTTCCTCGTTTGGCTTTTCTCTGAACGGGGGGCTCCAAATCATCTCCGATGTCCACGACGACCTCGTGAATATCAAAGCGAGGTTTATTCAAAACGCGCTCCACCTCTTTACCGACGGCCAACGCCGCGCCCAAAGTCAGGCGGTGGCCCTGCGAGGCGGGGTCAGAGCTGAAGTGAGCGGTCAGGTCCGAAACGGCAGCGGCGTAGGTGCTGCGGCTCCGGATCAGAGCGGCCATGACGCGCTCGCCCTCGGGGCCCAGGCAGTTCCGTAACAGCGCCAGCCTGCTGGAGTCTGCCAGCTCTTTCTCACCGAGCGCCTGCAAGTAGTGCTCAAAAGCATTCAGCCATTTGGGCCACAGCATGGCCGGCTCACCGGGGGCGGGTAAGAAGGGCGGAGGTGGGGATAGGATTAACAGCAGCGGCTCGGGGAGCAGCTCTGAGGTCGCCTCCGCTTTCATCTCCTCCACGTCCAGATCTGCAGTCGCCTCGCACATTCTGGACCTGAGACGGGGACAGACCCGATGCTCTTGGAGCCAGGCGAGAGTCTCTTAACTACAACGTGAAGCTCTCTGCTCCGTCCTCAGCCTCCCGATGTTTCATGCCAAATCTTGAAACCTGCAAAAATAAAACAGAGGTCAGATTCTGCATGCCTGTGTTTATTTTACAACTGTTTTGCACCTAATGTAAGATGCATTTTGGTGCATTTTAGTTCAGTCTAAAAAAAAAACATACAAGAATGACACACAAAATACATACAACACACTACAGATGTTTTACTTAGTTTTGGAGGTTCTGGTGCGCAGGTGCTGTACACAAAGTTGCCGTAAACTTTGTGCACTTGCAGCCCTGTTTGTCCCCATCACAGATAATGAAATCTGAACTATTGCTGTCCCTTCTGACTCATCAGGCAAAAAACAAAACAAACAATGTCTCACGTGCTAAAAGGAATTTTCTTTAGTGAGGGATGGAAGGCGTTTCTGATATAACTCTGTAAATGTGAGGACAAACGATAAAGCAGACTTTAAGGGGGTCAACTGGGGCTTTATCTGGTTTTCAGCTACATTTGGAGGGTCCCCGGGCTCAGACCCCTCAGAGGAGGAGGCTGGGAGCAAACCGGGGGCTCTCAGCGCTTTATGGTAGCCGGCTCCGGCTTTTCCATCAAGCCGAAGCAATATTAATTGCACCCACCATCCAAAACTAAGAGTTGACGAGCAGGAAACGGTCACGGAGGAGGACGAAACAAAAAAACTCACAAATGTGGGTGAGCAGCCGCGGCGCGTGCAGACGGAGCGGTGGAGCCCGGAGCCACGCGGCCTGAACCTCCGGGTTTCTGCCGAGTTGCGCTCATTACTGACGTCAGGACGCTATGCTGGAAGGTTTCGCTGCAAAGCACAACCATTAGTACAAAATGCATCTCTTCATGACAACAACACTTCTTGTGGACCCCGCGGCAGCTCTCGGGGTTTGTTCCATCTGCCCACAGCGACGCCTGCTGGCGGGGAGCCGCACGGCCGCTCTCAGAAATGCAGCCACCAGGAAAAGCTGGACACTTGTTGGATGTTAATCCTGTCTTTACGTTCTTCTGTGCAGCTGTGATGACTTTTTAGAGTGAATTTTTTTCCCTTGAGGTTGGAGCAGCCAAACGTGCCTTCTAACTTTCTAAACCACGTGAAATTATAATAATTCAGACGAGGAGAGGAGATGTCTAAGATGCAAAGTAGGAACATGTTGGAGAGTAAGGTGAGAAATGATTTGACCATTTCCTCCCTTGACTGTTGTAGGAGATAAAACTGTGCAGTACGATGGACACTGCAGATGTTGAACCTCTGGTTGCTCTTGTTGATGTTGTTCACATTGAGCTACTCTGCCAAGCAACAACAACAAAAAAAAAAAACCTGATGGCACAGTGCAAAGATGTCCTACATACCTTCTTTGTAGCCGTTTTACACATTATTTTCTTTAACTCTGGCATATTACAATAACTTCTAATATTAACACAATATCATGTTTCCTCGGGGTAAATAAAGTACCACTGAAAAAAGATCACACAACACAGATTTGACACACTATTTTACCTGCTGAACATCCTAGCTTTGTAGAGAAATGAGAATGGTGGTACTCAGATGTGAGCATATAATGATGGCCTTTGCATTTCTTAAACATTACTAACACAAGGCTGAATATGAACCCGAGTCTGCAGTTTTAAGAGAGTGCTGGCAGAACTAAATGAGCTGTATGGTACAAAAACAGAGCTGCAGGCAGGAACAATGTGGGGGGTTATAAAACATCTTAAAGAAGATATTTCAACTGAAGAGTTACTGAACAAAACAGGCTGAAGGAAATGTATCCAAATTTAAACCATCACTGACACCTAACAGAAAAAAAACAGGTCACAGTGGACTAAAGAGAGGCAGATCATGGCGTGTAGACGATTGGAAGAAAGGAACATTAAAGGATTCATTTAAATGATGGGCTTAAAGAGCATTCATTAATGATAAGAAACAACAGTTTTTTAAAACCGATTTTTTAACAAATGGATTTATCCTTATATTATAATGAGAACAGTTGTATAAACAATCTGTGGTGTGGCGACACCATATATTATGCACTGCCTGAAGGCTCAGCTCAGTGGTGTTTCTGCATCTGCAGTGCACAGCCACAAAATGTGTCATTTGTCAAGGCAACCTTCCCAGTTCCCACGAGGAGTGTTCTCTCTCAAAGACAGTGGAAAACAAACACAGAGTGGAATCGATCAAAACACACTCACGGAAGCAGGAGATTTCTGTAGCAGACAAGTCAACAGTTTGTCATGTTACTGGAAGTTGGCATAATTTAAGAGCCAGTGGAGGCATGTGTTGGCATTACAGCTCAGCCATAAGCTGTTGAAAATAAAAAAATATGTCAAAATGCAATATTAATTAAGAGAGATAAGCTCTTTAGGGGTTTGTAAAAGTCCATGTAAATCACTAAAATCATAGTGATATTACAAAATAGCAAATTTTTTCAGTTAGAAGTATTTGAGTGTTTACAATGGTTCGCATCCGATTTAGATTGAATGGATCTATTCAAAAGAATCTTTCTGGTTCTTACAGTGGTGCATTGATTTAAATCAGGTGTGCTGGAACAAACAGGACAGCATCCCTAAGAACCAGAGTTTTAAGAATGACTTCATTTACAGACTGAACTCAGGAATAAAAATTCTGGTCATATTCTGGTCAGGTAAACAAACCCTCAGATCATGAGCAGATACAGTTAACATCTAAATTAACATTTTATTTCACCTCTGGTTGCTCACAGATGCAGTGCCTTGCAAAGGTAAACAGAAAAAGAGCAATTACTTATCATTAAAGATAAGGTATAATTTGAGTTTGCCAAAATGTATGTGGGCATCTCCCAAAATGTATGGAGGAAGGTGTACTGGTCAGATAAGAATAAGACAAAGGAAAGATGGATGGTGTCAAGTCCAGGGACATACATAACCAAAACCTGTGCCAGTCTGCATGAGATTTATGACTGGGACAGACGTTAACCTTCCAGCAGGACAATGACCTGAAGCATCATGCTAAAGCAACACTCGATTGGTTATAGGGGAAACATTTCAGTGTGTTGGAATGGTCCAATCAAAGTCCAGACCTTAATTCAATTTGAGATCGGTGGTAAGATTTTAGGATTATTGTTCACAAGAGAAAAACATCCAACATGAAGGCGCTGGAGCAGCTTCGCCTTGAGGAATCTCCCAGTGGTGAGCTCTAACAGATTCATCCAAAGCAATTTAGAGCTGTAATTTCTTCAAATGTTCTGCAATACGCAGGTTGAAAGACACTAGAAATTGTAAGCAGCACAGTTACTGAGACAAAAAACCCAAACCATAAAATTTCCATGTTACATGGCAGTTATAAGCTTTCTGTCCTGCAAAGACGCCTTTTATCTGCTCAGCTCTGCTGCTTCTGTTCCACACTTGGGGTCATTTGCTGTGGTCAGAGTCAACCTGTGACTCCCTCTGGATAGCCTAATCATTAGCACCTAGTAATCATTTAATGGATTTGAAGGTGATAAATTCAGCTGTGCAGTTCTGTCGTCACGCAACTGAAAGCTTTGAAAATGCACAAAAGATTAATTTTGTGTTTCATTTCTTCACATGGACCTTCATAATCTGTGTGTGTGTCAAGTAAGGAATAACCATAGATAGATGCTTTGGTTTTTTTTCCTTTGCAGAGCAAAGAAAACCTGCAGATGGTGTGGCATGCACCTCGTCTGTGATGAATGGTCTTTGTCCCAGTTTAATTAACTCTTTGTTGTTTAATGATTCAGCTCCCAGGGTTTCCTTGAATCTGCCCCATTATTCAGGGAAACACATAACCCAGGCTTTTTTTCCACACCAAGCAGAAAACTAAGACCCAGCTGAGAGAGTTCTGTCACTATTTTTACCTACTTCAATAAAGAGACTGTAAAGGACAGCGTGTTCACCATACAGACCACACAGATACACCAATAAACAATGACCATTTATTCACACTGTATGCAGCTCAAAACAAGCGTGACAGAGTGGGGACGGAGGCTGATGAACCTTCAAATTACATGAGAAAAAAAAATTACACTAGAGTTTTGTTTGCAGCTGAAGAGAAGTACAATTTATGCAGGTTTCACCCTTTCCTGGAGGAGATGTGGAGTTTTGGAGAATAGACATTCATGATTCAAAGTTCAAACAGGCTTACATGCAGTTTAAACTAGAATCATCCTCTCAGTTATCTCGTATAGACTCTCACCACAGACTGTGGCTTATTTTGAACGATTCCAGTGAAACTATAACTTCTCTGTCTTTCTCATCACTTACTATCTCCGGTGTTCTTTCCCTGTTTGCTTTGAGTTGCGCAAGTGTGGCCAAGCTACATACAACAGTGCATGAGTAAAAAGGGTTCCGCTGTACAAAATCCACCGTAAAAATGCAAACTTAAACACAATGGCACACTTTGCTTAGCAGTGAACTACACAAACAGATGAGCGCGGGTCGAGAGTGAGCACGGGGCCGTTCTACACGCGTGCTTGGTTGCACACGCGCCAGACTCAGACTTTTAAAAAGTAACGTTTGAACAGAATAAAGATGAAATATACGGGGTTTCGGCTCAGTGAAAGCAATATGGCTTGGGGAGGCTGCAGTAAAAGGAGAACAAGCTGTAGACAGTAAAAAAGAGAAACTAAAACATTTTCCATATATTCCAAACCAAACATCACACATCTCATTTCTCAGAGACATCTCACCACTCTTATTGAAAATGCTATAAGTGCTGGAGAATGCTTGTTGACTTTTCCTCATCATCTTTTTCATGATCTCAAAAAAACAAACAAACTGTAATAATTGATTGTTATTTTTTCCATTTCTTCTCTGGGGTGATATTTGAAAGCTGGCAGCTCCATGTTTTATATGAACCAGTCCATCAGCCAAAGCTGCTCCCCTCTGTGCCACCTTTTTGATAACTACTTAACCTTGGGGCTCCTGTCTCTCAGCAACAGTTTATGCAATAGCACATTGGAGAGCACTTGAGCGGACCTGTGCACTTTTGTGTAGATACAGGGAGGATAAGTTTTGTGCAGAAAATCCAACTTCCTCCCGTTTCAAGGTGAGTTCTCTCCCAGGCATGAACACAAACGGACTCCTGTCTCTCTTTGTAGAGTCTTTGGAGCAGATGTGAGTATCGGGTGGGATATGCCGGCGACAATGTGTGGAAAAAGAGAGCAGTAAATGCATGTGAGAGTACAGTGACACTGAGGTGTAAAAGACTGAGAGAAACACACACTGGTTGACACAAGTTCTTCATGAACAAGGAGAGAAGGCGAGTGACAAGTGTAAGTTTAGTTCTTTGGGGCATCGCGGGCTGATTCACTACCAGTTCCTTCAGTCCAAACACACACCTGCTCCCCTCCTCCGGATGTGCACGTTTGTGCGCGTTTTGTGCGAGATTTTGTCTTTAGAGTCAAACAAATGAAGAGAACCCTGTCACAGGGGTGCGCGACCCTGGCGGGTTGGTGTTAGGGTTGACGTGTGTGTGTGCAGGCTGCCCCGTGGGTGTGTACGCGCCCCCCGTGCTGTGCTGGGTGACCACCGTTTGGTAGTAGGGCTCTGTTTCCGCGGTGGCACACTCCTCGTAGACAAACGGTGCGCTGACCCCTTTAAGGCCTTTGGGCTGCCGCTTCCAGGAGTTGTAGTATGTGGGGTCACTCATGTAGTGGTTAACGAAGGAGTGTTTTGGCTGCTCATCCTCATAGTCGCTGTCTGTTAGCTGGATTAAAACACAAACCACACATGCTTTGAGAAGTTGTTACAGTAATGAAGGGAAAACTGTAGTGTTAGAGAGAGGTTTGTTACAGAACAAATGAAGAGTTAAAAGATCTGTTTCCCACATCTGTATGTTTTCAAACTGTAACTTGTTTCCCGTTTCGATGTGCATTTGAAAAGGCCAAAAAAAAAGATAAGGTCTGATATTTGATAAGACACAGAACAACAGCGGAGGGATACCTCCTTTATGACATGGTCACATTCAATAGAAGTGCTATGATTTCAGAATGCTACAATTGAGTTTGGACACAGTCATGACAAGATTATAGACAGAAACAAGTCAACCGACAAGACACGGATGATTGTGACTGTTGATGGGTTGGTAACCCAGGATTTGGTGCTGAGCCAGAGGGAGACAGACACAAAGAGATACCTCTGACTCAGAGACCTCAGTGGGCTTCTCAGTGAGTGTGGTGCTCTCAGTGAGCACGGCTCCGTTGTAGTTGTTGCAGATGTCCTCATCGGAGTAGTGCAGCCCACCAGGGCTGGGCCTGGGAGGAGACCTGCACACACAGTGAGACGCTGAATCAAAGTCCATAAAAAAAACATGAGTGTACTTGTATGACAGGCATCGAGTGTTCACCTGGTCCCGTTCTTTTTCAGAAAGGAGTTCTTGGTGTTGAGTGTCCTGCTGTTGAGCTCCAGAGAAGTGAAACCTCCGTTGTCCAGTGTTACTGACTCCTCACCAGTGGTAACGTGTTTCCCTGCAGGAACACAAAATGAAAGTCAAAATCATTTAAATCAGCCTTTCCATAGACATGTTAATGAATACTATGTTGTTGTATGATTTAGAAAATATTGTGTTCATTGCTGCTCTTTGAAGGTATATTTAATAAAAAATATAAAAGGAAAAAGGTAGTTTTTTTATTCAAGAATTTGCTATATAGTGCCATTGAGGCAAGATATGACACATTAGATTTCATGAAAAGGTTTGATTACAAAAAATTGTGTGGGCTAAGCTTGGTTTCAGAGAACATAGTCATTTGTGGAGGGAGCTTTGGCCAAAAAATAGTGCCTGTGCGTTGTAAAGGTACACAAATGACTAGAATCACAAAACTGGGAAAGCAGCCTGTTAAAGGTGAGTGGAATGATGCCATATTTGAATAAAGATAACCGAGACCTTAAAAAGACAAAAAAACCACTGGGACATCAAAGTATTTAAGATTTTCCAACTGACACAGACCTGTGCCGCAGGCCTTGTACTTTGTGCTGTTTCCATGCAGCAGCAGTGTGAAGACGAGGACCAGAATGAGGATGAGTCCCACCAGAGCCATGACCAGCAAAAACCACCACTCCTCATAGAAGGGACGCTCTGACAGGGCTGAAGGCAGAGAGAGGGACAGTGCCGAATGAATGTATAGGCCAAGGACAATTTGGGAGAGAGAGAATGATTCTGTTGTGCAACTGATGAAAAAAAGAAGCACGACTTAAGTGCTGTTTGTCAGTGTTGACTGGAAAGCCAAACTACCTTTAGATGGCAGCAAAACCACATAACAATCATAGCAACTTCTGATAGGACATTACATCCACTAGGCTGCATATCCTGCCAGTCCTAAGTAAGACAAGATCCACTCGCACACCAAACTTATGTCCAACGGTGTGTTTAGGTTTACCGGCCAGAGAAGCAGATGGTGTACTTGGTTGTCCATAGCCGTAGCGATTTATGGCAATGACTCTGAACTCGTAGCTGATCCCTGACCTCAGGCGCTCCAGTGGAACTGAAACAGACCTGCTGGTAGGAGGAAGGAGCCTGATGAAGGAGTCCCACACTCCCTCATCTGCAGATAGAGGTTTGAGGAATACAAGAAGACAAAAGGCCATTAGAGAATTAGCCCCTTTTACATCCAAGTGAAGATAATTATAAACTGTGTGATTACATTTAAAATGATGATGATGGTATTGTTCATATGACAGTGATTACTGTTATCGCTGTTAATAAAAGGGGCATAACTATTGTAAGCAGTAGCATAATTATACAGCAATCTACATTCAGTCTCCTGCAGAGTGCTAAAACACTTTCCCACAGATGTTCTCTTCTTCTATTGCATGTCTTGTAATCTTTATTAGAAAATTGTAACTGTCCTGGTGCGCAGCAGGTCTTAATGAATCCTGAGATATCTGTGCACAGGAGACTTAAATGGAAGAGAGTAAAAGGATAAGCGTAGATGATGAAAGGAGCTGTAAGTTACGCTGACATAAATGTATGTATGTGAGGAGCTCACCTGAGGGACGAGCCTCAATGACATAACCAGTCACAGGGGCAGCACCAATATCTCCCTCTGACCAGTGGACAGTGAGGGCAGAGGACGTCTTGGTAATGGACATTTCCATAGGTGAACCAGGGGACCCTTGAATGCACGGACACAGTTGCACATTTTACTTATTTATGTTAATTCCATGGGAACTAACAAATAGCATTACTATAATTCTAAAATGTAAAGGTTGATAGGCATCAATGTAACAATCTAATCACATTATATGATTTGCTAATTTAATTCTAATCAGTGTAATTTCTACAGACACAGAATATGAAGATTAATCATGACTGTCTATCTTAACTTATAATTGGTTAACTTGTAGCCTGGGTCTGAAAGGACTGAGAAGTGAGTCAAATAATACATTTTGCTTCTTTTCTAATACTGTCATCTGACCAAGACATCACTACGAATCTTTTTATTCACTTTTTAAGATGTTTCATTTACTAAATGGCTTTGACTGAGAAAACAATCTGTTGTCATGTACCTTTCACAGGCTGAGCGGTGATGTTTGCCTGTATCGGTGGTCCATGGCTGACCGTGAGAGCCTGGACACTGAAGGTGTATGTTGCTCCTTTGAAGAGGTCCCGAACCTTCAGCCATCGCTGCCAGCTGCCTTTGACGTCCACCGTCACCACTTTACTCACTCCTGCAAACAATGGTGGAGGCACGTCACTTCAAGAACCGACTGCACATTTGTGAATGTGTGTGCTTCTGTTTCCACACCTTGCACGGGAGCAGTGGGCTCATAGATGACCCTGTAGCCTTCGATCTGCCCATTGGGGGTGAGCGGGGCTCCCCAGGACACATTGACACTCCCTCCTGTCACTTCAGAGAAAGAAAGGTAGCTTGGCTGGCTGGGAGCTGCAAACAAATGAAGAATGAGGCATAACACAGAGATCAGACACCTTTGATTTTTTTTCTTGCTTGTTTGGTTTCAGGGGGTGGGACTATGACTACTTCCTACCAGACTGCAGGGTTCTGGCCCCGCGGGGGTAACTGGGTGGTCCATCACCAGCGGTATTGAAGGCAGTCAGTGTTATCAGATAAGGCGTGTAGCTGCTCAGGTTGGTGAGGTGCACACTGGTGTCAGGGACAAAAATCACTTTCACCTTCTCGGTTTGGTTCTGCTTATCTCGCTCCCAGTAGTGGATCTACAAGGCATGAAACGAAACGGAAATTAAACAGAATTCTGGGCATTTCATCAGGTTATACACAAACACTAAATCTAGACAGGTAGTCTGATTCAACTGGAAGAGTATGACAGCAAGTCATCACCTCCTCACGTATGTTGGAGGGGGATGATGTTTTTTGGATCCCTCAAAAGAGAGACTGTGACAAGCTCAAGGTGAAATGTGATAGATCCAGTTCAGCAAAAATGAAGTAAAAAATGACAGCAACCATTTAATAAAAGCTGAAAGAAACAGCGACGTTGACACCAAAGCCTGACACAGGAGTTCCATAACCACTACGGGGCTGTTGACCTTGTCCAAATGATACCTTTACCTTTATTCTGGGCTCATTTTCCCCAGATAGAACTGTGTCACTGGCCCACACCCACCTTGACTGAAATCACACTGGTTCTTTATCATCCAAGGACGGATCCATTGCAAAGAAGTAATAAACACCCATTTCAAAAGTAAGATGCTCATATTTCTTAGTAGATTTTAGGATTTGAGATTGCAATTTTTGATTCACATGATTTTTTATGATATTGAAAGCTTTATAAATAATTTCTCCTGAACAGTTCCAGACTTCCAGCTCCCAGAAACTATATGATTATGTATGCACCATGAATGGTATAAGATGTGCCTATGAACCAAACATACCATAATTATTTACAGAATTAACTTTTGTCATTAACCTTTAATTAAACATGCCCTGCATTATTTTATTAGGATCTATCCATCCATTTTCCATCCATCTTTAATCCATTTTTGGTTTGCGGGGGGAGGTGGGGGGGAGTCTATTTCTACTGCTCTTGGGGGAGAGGCAGGTTAGAACCCGTGTACACGTCACATGTGTATCACAGAGTATCGGGATCTAAATCAGCCTTAAAGCACATCAAAGATATAAAAATGTATACAGAACAAGCATGATTTAGACCACCATTATATTCTTACAATAATGCCACCCCTTTGCAGTCTAAACAGTCTCACGTGAGAATAAATCAATAATCATTAATGTGACCAATAATTCTCATGACTTTGGCTGGTAATGAAGACAGATGGGTTACTGCAGCTGATCTGATTAACATAGTTAAAGCAAAGATTACCAGGTTATGGCCTCTTATGATGAGATCAATATTAATATAAGGTCCTTTGGGTCTGAACTCTTGGCTTGTGATTGTCACAATCTTAGGATGTCACAGTTTTCATACCATTAAAGTGACTTATCATAGTTAATGCTCTTACAATGGTAGATTACACCATTGTAAAATTCATCTTAATGCAAACAGCAACAAGATCTATTAGATGCGCTCAGAAAACTAGCCTCCTGTTTATGCAGACTTACCGGACGGGTGTACATTTCCTACCATAAAGCACTGATCTTAATGTGGACTTTCTGGATATCGCAGAGTTTTGAAAATGTATTGCTTTTTAATGTACTCATTTTCTTTCTAAACACATAACTTCTATTTATGTCAGATGAGGGACCTGCCTTTACTTTCCAAACACATTAATATTTAATATCTGCCACTAATGGCAAGGTTACACTGTATCTGAGACGAGAACGAGAAAAAGCATCCTGTGCAGACAGGAGCCTTTTAAAGCGAAATAACCTGAAACTGCTCCCGCAGCTTCTTAATTCTGAGCTTGAATGTTTTGGCTGTGAATAACATATTCACAGAAAACAAACAAAACTGTATCAGAGCAGAGCATCCTCTGGTTATGAGCGTGTGCAACTGCAGCCCACTGGCATTTTCTCTAACAAGCCTTCAATAGCAATCAACCACCTGTGCTCCTCATCATGCAGCACACGTCTCCTGACCACATCAATAACCAGATGGTCAAACGTGGCTTTCGTTGAACGGAGAGGCTGATCTAGTTAGAGTTTTTTGTGTGCAGTTTTATCTGTAGAACAGAGGATGGACCGAGGATGACGCAGAATATGAGAGCACGACTATGACTGACAGATTTGCTGTCAGTGGCACGCGGCTGCGAGACTGTAAACGTCAGTGAAAGTTAAGCCCATAAGTGAGCAGAGGTAAAGCATATACATGGTTGTAAACACAATGGGATTTAAAGAGCTACAATAATAAAATAAATCAATTCAATATTTCAATATGTGATACTTACCAAAGGGGACAAAGGGATTTTTGGAAATATAAGACAAAGCGTTTTTGTAATTTAAACTCTGAATTTGGTTTGAAAAGATAAAAAACAGCTGCCAACATTAAGGACCATTTTGCTATTCTGAACATTAGTCATATTTATAGCTTCCAAGGCTGAAAGTAGCAACTTGTGAGTAGCACTTGAGGGCAGCATTTTCCCATATCTGTCCATCCCTGAGCTCTTACCATAATTAGATGCACTGTAACATCCATACGAACGGGTAAAGATTATGATGTATTACATTCAGTATGCAGGGTGCATTTCCATTTAAATAATCTTTTTCAAGAAAATAGGCAATATCTCTTACGCTACTTTCGGTGAAAGGTTTAGGGAGAAAGTTTAGGTCTTTTTGTAATCGGCTGTTGTCTAACAGATTTGTTTTTGCACACAGTGAGCGTATGAGGACTTCAGGATTACTCTAAAGACAATTTGAAGCTGCCATGGATAAACGTAGTTATCATTTTACTCTTTCTCAAATCCAAAATGCTGAGAAGACTCTCAAACAATTTCTCTTGTTATACAGCAGTTGTCTATGGTAGCACAGAAGGAGTAGATTTATCATTTTTAGTATCTTAGACACTTTGAGTAAAAATTACAATTTCAGTTTTGAGGGGACAGGATGGATTTGAAAGATGATGACTTCCTCGGACAGAAAAATGAAACAACAGGACAAAATTACTCATTTGAACATATACACTGTTGTTACCTAGATTCAAATTTCACAACATGAAAGCTTTCACAACTTACTTGTTTTGTCTGTTTCCATCTTAGAAATCCCTTTATACCTTCGATGTATAAAAATCCGGTGAACTTTTCTTTCAATCCTACCAGCTCTCTGTGGCATACTCTAACAGTAGAAGAGTTAAGAGAGGTCTTGACCTATAAATTCATTTAACATTCTTTTTTGCTCTCATTCTCTCATCTTAATCCCTTTAGCCCCGATGCCTCAAATTCTCCTCTTCATATCCGTCCATCTCTGGTAGTTAAAATATATTCCCTCGATTTTCTCCTCTAATCTGGATTCTGAAGGGACCACTTGCACGTCTCATTCCTTCACTCTGCAAATATTACACTCCCTTCTTTCTTTTCCATTCCCCTTTCTGCTCTGGCAAAAATCAATGTGTCCAAAGCAGGACAGATAACCTTGTGTTTGAAGTGCTAAGAGTGAGGGGGGAGAGGGGAATTGAAGGGGGGAGACTGTGAGAGAAGAGATACTGAAACCATTAAAGGATATTCAGATTCTCCCTCTAACTTATTCTTTCTCTCACATCTGTAGGACATTTGAAGGCACAGCAGGGCTGGACCCCTCTGTGACAAGGGGAGAAATTTCAAATAATGAGACAGGGAGTGCTGTGTGCTCCTCCATGACATGGACACTCACATTCAAAGCAACATTCTGAGTGTACATTGGAGTGTTTTTGTCTATCCTCAGGCAGCCATGTGCCTTCTTTTGTGTGTGTGTGTATACATATTTGTGCTTGTTTTCCTGAGAGTCACCTTGTATCCTTGGATGAGTCCATTCTGAGTCTCAAGGGGGGGCATGTCCCAGGTCACTTCCAGGCTGGAGGGAGTCACAGCTGACACTTTGATAGACTGAGGCGCCACCGATGGAGCTGTGGCGGGCAAAAAAAGTTCAATTATTGTATGCGTGTGTGTAGCTGCATGTTAAAGCGTGTGGAGTACAGAAAACATGTTCTAGCCTTCCAATTAGAATAGGCCTAAGGCAAGTACCTTGCCTCTCCACTTTGCCACACATAGGCATCAACACTCAGCAGTGTGCACCTGAGGCTAGAGAAATGGCCATATCACCCCATTTCATCACCCCCTTCCAGTGTTTTCTGGCTCCCCCTCTGACTATACTTCTTCATCCACAACGTTTTTACTCCTGAGTATTTCATATATATAGCCAACCAAACTCTGCAAACCCACTCACACACTATACACATACACATGATGAATATGAATGTAGCAGGTGCTCCTTAAAAAAGTGCAATTTTTTTAACCTGAAATATTTGCTTTCCTGGTGTTGTTTCTTGGGTCTGAGGGAGAGAATCAGAGTGAGGGGACTGCATTTACACTCATGTCTGTATAATGGATCCCACCAGTGACTGGGCCATCAGCATAAAATAGCTGGCCTGGTATTTCAGACGGACGTGTGTGCATATGAGCTGACCAACACACACACATACACCCTCTGTTAGAAAACACAATAGAGGCCCTCAGAGGTTGGTGTCACCAAAGTGGCAATACCGGGATATGAGGACAATTAAGAGAAAAAAAGAGCAGGGCAAAACCAGCCAGAACAAGGTCAGTGTTTCCTGAGCTTTCCACCATGTCATGTGAAGTACCGTAATTCTAGTGATAAAATGGCAGAGGTTACTGATCTTAAATGTGTCAATACTGAAAGATGAGGATAGCAGATAGATAAAATAAATCAGGATTTCATGAAAGACTGCCGAAAAAGAAGCCATTACACAATGAAACACACATCACCACCTGCTGAAAGTCTGCCCAAAGGCATATGAATATTGAACTATTTGACAACAATTATCACAACAGCACGTGTGGAAGAAACCTGATGCTTAATATCACCTCATCATCACCATCCCTTGTGTCAAACATGGGGATCAATCTCTGAGGATGTTTTTCATCACGTGCTCACAATCTTAGATTGGCGCAGGGTTTTTATCTTTTATTTACTTTTCAACAAAAAAGAAAATAGATGGCTTCAGAAAATCTGTCTGCAAAGAGATTTTACTCATCATCACAATGATGATACAAAATGCTTCAATGGAAACCAGCTGGATTTTTACTGAGCTTGTCAATGCCTCAGCAGTGACCTTGCATCCCACCCGGAGGAGCTTTATTATCTACCCAAAAGACTGAGAGAAACTTCAAAAAGAAAAAGGAACAAAGCATGTGAAATCATTTTCTTGAATGTCCTGAGGATGTCAATGATATGAAGAGTGTCAAAACTAATTAAGCATTGTACATCTGTCACTGACAGTGTATTGAAAGTAGAAAAAAAGGATTCTAGGTGGACCTTGAATTGGGTTCACAAATAAATTCCAATAGGAAAATACAACAATAATTTCATATACAAAAACCTTTTCCACCAGTTGACCCTAAATCTAACAGTTTAAAGGTTCCTGTTCTTCAATCCAAGCCAAAAGTTTTTACATACCTGCCTCTCCAACAGAAACCTCAACCGGAGTGGAGGGTGGGCTCTCTCCAATGATATTATAGCTTGTCATAAAAATGTGATAGCGTTTGAACTTCTTCAGCTCTGCAAAGAAAAATACAAACAAACAAATAGTGGCATTTATACATCTCTATTACATATAAGCACATATTGTAGTTGACATTCCCTCTCAGCTTGTCTCTCTGTGGAGCTTTATTTCTCAGTTCTGCAGTTCAATTACTCACGTGTCAACTCAAACTCTGTGAGCGTAGCACTGCTGACTGTCTTGAAGGTGCTCTTGGCTTTGGAAGAGTGACAAAAAGATGCATGGAAAGGAAATCAATATATGTTTTTTGAGTTCAACAATGCATTTCATCATCTTAATACGACTCAATAACATTTGTGTTTTTGAGAGGGAAAACATTTGGAAGATGCTTCATGCTTCAGTATGCAAGTGAGACTATTTGGATACTGAGTGAGCAGAGAATTGTCCACCTGCCAATTGAGGGGAGAAGACACTCAGTAGACTATAAACAACATCAGGCTGCACAGTGCATAATAACATTTTATTTGTTGCAGTGTGATAATGGTGACCTCATAACAAAACAGCTGTCTACTGAGAGTCGTTTGCTCAGAATTTCCTCATGGACATATCTATAATTTTTCTTTTTGACTCTGAGGGTATAAAAGAAACATTTAGTTTATTTTTATTCTTTCTTTAAAATGTTTTTTTTCTTATATAGCTGAACAACTTAATGCAATTATCTTAAAGAAACTAATTCAAACTAAGATCGTAAAGTTCCAACCTTGGAGAGCTGTATCAACAACTTGAAAGGCTGTTTTTTTAAAATCTTTTCTATCACTGTTTTTTCATGCTTTGACATCTCACTGGCCCTGAGTTTTGTTTTCTCAAAATCAAGGGTTTCAAGGCAGCAGCTCAAAAACTACTATCTTAGTAAGATATACAATCTAATGAATTCACTATTTCATGCTTCTGTGATCTCTGACAACGACAACGCTTCTTCTTCTGACATGTTTGCTGCATTACGCATGATCTACAGAATTTTTGTTTGTGTTTTGTTGACGACAAAAATATAAAACCCACCAATTTTATGTATTTATTTATCTTACATTATATCAGAAACTAAGAGCCTGTCACTACAACAAATCATTGTCAAAGCCGATATTATAGTTTTTTAGATCAATAAATCTAACACTGCAGTTCAAGAGCAAACTGTGTTTATTTTTTATTCATCGAATATGATCAAATCAGCAATATTTGCTAAAACTAGCAGTGGCACATGCTGCAGGAGTTGAATATTCAAGGTTATTGCCTAAAAATCAGAGGCCTCCTGTTGTCTATCACTCATCTAAATCAATGAGGCAGCGGGGGTTCTTTACTAACCTTGTAGTAAAAGAGTGCGCACAAAACTGCATGTCCACAGGCAGATAAGATTACATTAATTTAGAAAATATTTTGATCCTAATTATACATGATTAAGTTTCTTTATCAAGGACATGTTGACACCAAAATGGGAAAGTTAGGGACTGGCCCAGGGTCTATAAGAGGAACACTTTAGAATTTTGACTCATAATTATTTTTAATTATAATTATAATTTGAATCTCATAATTATCATAAAGTAAGGTATGGTATGAAAGGGAGTAGGACTTTGTGAGAGCTGGAATTCCTTAGTCCCAGAGCTACTTACTTGTCATCGGGGCACTTGTGCTGTTGTTTTTAGTTATTTGGACCTCTGCTTCAGTTAAAGTAGAAGTGTTTACTGAGAGTTCTCGGTAGTACAGTCGATACCCAGTCAAAACCCCATTGACACTGCCTTCACTGGGACGCTGGAAGCATGAGAAAAAGCACACAAGTCCACAAATTTTAGTAGTACACCTGAATGAGCTCTTCCAAGCTGCTGAAAAATGATGCACTAGGCTGACAGACAGGACAATGGCAGGCTAGGAGAACAGTACTCAAGTTTTCTTAGTGATACACTTTAAAAAGGCTAGTGTATTGGTCTAGTGCTAACTTGCAAAACCAAAGTGATGCTTCAGTAGGTCTGGCACTCCTGTAAAGGGTGATGAAATTGCTGGTGACTTTGTGTTTTCATTGCCTTTCTGCTTTGACATAGGGCTACAAGGATGAAAGAAGACATTTACAGACAGAAGAGGAAGGGAGACAAGCTGTGAAGAAGCCAATACAGAATTAATTTACTGTCTCTTTCTCCTTTTCTTCTTTTTCTTCTGTTGCTGGACATATTGCTTAGAGCTCATTTGAAATTTAACATATATCTGGCTGGTAACTCATGCTGAGTTGGACATTTTTCCCAATCCAGGACTGTTAGTCCCTTCATCTGTCCACAACTACCTCCTTCCATCATTCAAATTGATGGTTGCTACCCTCTGATCTTGGGGTCTTTTCCCGAATGGGGAAAGACAGGCGGATCGGTGCGGTGTCGGCAGTAATGTGGGCGCTGTACCGGTCTGTCGTGATGAAGAGAGAGCCAAGCTCGATTTATGGGTCGATCTACGTTCCTACTTTCATCTATGGTCACAAACTTTGGGTAGTGACGGAAAGAACAAAATGGGTTTCCTCTGCAGGGTGGCTGGGCTCACTTAGACTTTGGGTGAGAAGCTCTGAGGGGCTCAGAGTAGAACTGCTGCCCCTCTATGGTGAGAGGAGCCAGCTGAGGTGGCTCGGGCACCTAGGATGCCTTCTGGTTGCCTCGGGACCCCCCCCCCCCCCCGGTGGAGCTGGCAGAAGTGGCAGGGGAGAGGGAAGTCTGGGTTTTCCTGCTTTGGCTGCTGCCCCCATGACCTGACCCCAGATAAGTGGTGGATAATGGATGGATGGGACCCTCTGGCCTTTGCTGCTTTAAAGCTGATGATAATTGGATCCCCAGACAAAAACATGGCTCAAGTTTACATACAACGGAGGTCTGGAGGGGGTCCGACTCTCACAATAGGTTATTAACCTGAAGTCAGTGTATGTGTTTTGTCTAGGTAAATCATGGATCGTTGCTGTGTTAGAAGGGGGAAAATACCTTCCACTGCACCAGCACAGAGGTAGTAGTTGTTGGTTTCACTGAGAGAATCACTGGAGCCTCATTTGGCGCTGTAAAAAAAATAAAAAAATAAAAATAAAAGAGTTAACAAGAAGGAAATGTTCAGATAGTATGTCCATCCTTCTTCCCTTAACTTTGTCATGTTTTCAAAGCGATGTATTCCTTTTCCCCCCTTCCTTTCATACTGTGCTTCATCAGAATCCAAGTTTCTCACCATCCTGCAACGTCGTAACAGCTTCTGTCTCTTTGCTGAGGAGACTGTCTCCTACATCGTTTGTGGCCAACATTCGAAACTTGTAGGATGTGAAGGGCTTCAGCCTATAGACCCAAGTACACACAAACGTCACATATGGACAGTTAGGCATAAACTTGTTTGCACAACAGGGTAAAACTTAGGAAAAGACTAGATGTTTCATGCATAACCCATGAAATATCTTATAATATAAACAACTATTTTTAATAATTACATTTTTACGTTTACCCAGGAGAACCGCAGCAACCAATTTACGTCATGATGTAATCATTGAATGACAAATTTTGCACATGTATGATCCAAGGTGACGTGCTTCTGTGGATACACATATGACCCATCAAAGTTTCATTCTCTGATTTCCATGTGATACGTCTAACATTACACCTATCGTTTTTAGGGGCAAAGCTAGAGTCTTCCCTTGTTGGATTACCCCATTTTGTTACACACATTATGTGCTCACTTTATCAAATTTTCCATTGATTAAATAACGAACAAATTTTCATCAAAAGCACTCAAATGGACTGCGCCTCTGCAAAATCTCAGTTTGAAGGCCGGGCTGCTCTCACATTTTAACCTACCTCTCCGCTTTTAAAAAGAACCAGGCAGCTGCAAACTTTTTATGTGACACAGAAAGCAGGGATAGGGCTAAGTAGAAGGAGCAAGGAATGAAAGGGGATGGGACTGATGAATTGACATTATCTAATTTTTTCTTTTGTACAGAAAATGAATGATTATAGGAAACATGTAGAAATACTTTTGCGTTGTACAATAATTTCGTGTCCCCCGTCTTCATCTACTGATACCATCATCATTTTTCTTATTGATAGTTATGATGGATGAAACTATATTAACATAAAGTCTGTCGGCATATAATTGAATCTAACGTGCCCTGAGACCCTGAACATATCTGAGTAAAAGCTGACATGACACTTTGACCCTTCCACAGGCAATAGATGCTAACATCATTAACTGATGTTGTTAGTGTGTGGGCTCTGGGCTGTTAACGTACATTCTATCCCATGGTATATAGGAGATGAACTACAAACTGTGAAGCACGTTTGCTTTAGCAGATTGCTTTTGTGTCTGCACTTGCATGCAAAACACTTGTAGCACTTATGGCAGCAATAATGTTTCTTGTAGAGTGTAACCACTCTATTGGAGTTTAGTCTTTTTCAACCAGTGTTACTAGGAGCAGAGTCCCTGTGGGTGTTTTGGTGTGTGCTTTCTGGTGTCCCTGTATTTAATATGCCCCTATATAGATTAAGGGGAGAAAAAACTAAAGTTGAGATAAAGTGTGTGGCTTATGTAGCTACAATCACCAAGCAAAACTTATAATACTACAGCCCTTAATAATTGACCTCCAGAACCTGTTTCACAATGCAATTCTGTGCCACATATCTATTCAAGATACAAATTATACATGAACCTCTTCAACAAAATGAAAATATAGTCAAAACTCAACTTAGTACCTCTGAATACTTCAGTAGCAATTTTCTTCCATAACCAACCTCACTCAGATATGCTTGCTCTTTCAGTGGCCTTGGAAGACCACACAGGCTCCTGAATAACAATTATCTCACACCTTTAACTGTCTCCAGTGTCACAATATTTTCATTGCAATATCCACTCAACATCTGGATCTCTCCTCTGAGCAAGGAGAATTCTTTAATAAGCACAGAATAGAAATTTATTTCAATCATTTTGAAAACACTTAACTCTAGAGGCTCTTACAATCAGACTGATGTTCACTCGCTCATCAGCAGGGACTACAAACTCAGCCTTTTTGCATACTAATTCCCCCTCTCTGTTACTGTGGGGAATCTGATTATTGACAAGAGTTAAAAGAAGCTGTTCAATAATACTGATAAGTCAGTCAACCTCAGCTCACTTCCACCAGCAAGGTCTTCCTCTTCACTTTATCTGGAGAAGACCTGGGGGAGCTAAAGTGGCCAGTAAAGAACTCATAAGCCAACAATGGGGTAGACATGTCTTCCTGTATAAAAATGAGCTGGGTCCAATAAGGGAAAAGAGAATGCCCCATAGATTTCTGTATGGAGTAAGAATAAAACATCAAAGGCACAAGCTTAAACAAGGTGGAGTACCAGCAGCACTGGGATGGATATCAGGGACAGTGTTTGAAAATGTGAGTGTGTTCTTCATATGTGTATGTGGTGTCAGCCTGGGTGCTATGATGTTTATTCCAACGATGTCTCAGTGGAAAACAACAATTAATACCCACAAGAAGTAAGTATAAGAGAGAAACTGTTGAGATGTAAGCTAATTCCTCATTCCATCCATGTGACGACAAAACAACAACAGCCCCACTAGGATGGCAAATAGATTCTCCCCGAGGGAGACGAAATAGACTGATGCAGACACATTGAGAGAAATCGCTTTAGCATCTCACATGGTGATGCGATACTTGTGAAGAAGCACTTGCCAACAGTCATGAAACAAAGTGTAAAATGCCTTGTGATCTGGTAAAGAGTGCTCACAGTCCCCCACTGCCTTAATGGAAGCATCATGAGGAGGACAGGATGTAGAGAGAAGGACAGAAAAGTAACAGGACGATGCAGTGACAGTAAAGCCCTCTTCACCAGTCTGAGCAGGTCTTATGCTTGAGAAAAAACATAGCTGATTATTTTTTAAACCAGTTGCTCTTGATGGATGGTAGCACGAAAGAAAGTAGATGGCAAGAACAAGAGGGATGGCAGATGAAAGGAAAAAAACTGATAAACAGTGAAGGGATGGACACACGTCAGTTTAAAAGCTGGAATGCAGGGAGAAAAAGATTTGAAATTGAAGAGATGAAGAAAAAGCAGAGCAATTCATGCTGTGTCCATGTGATTAGGTGACTGAGATTCTCCCTATTTAAGCTGTAATTATGATTTTTCTTCTCAAACTGTTTTTTTTCCTCTCTGTTTTATGTTTCAAGCTCAAACCTCTGTACTTCAAATTCTAATTAACCTCATCTTTTCACACTGCTGTCCAATTCTGTTGCTTCATTTGAATTCAGCGTGTCTCCCACTCTGCTCACCTTTTCCACATAAAGATGCAGAAATACTTCAGATTTTTACTGACTACTTTAAGTAATTTATGTTAAAAGCATCATGCTGAAAAGACTGTCATATTGACTGTTAGGTTAAACCCACCTTCAAACATAAACAGAGCTAAACATAAAAATCCTGATAAAAACAGATCACTTACAGCAAGTAGCAAGAAAGACACACATATTGCTGAAAAAAGTCAAATCTGATCAACAGACTACATGAGCTCTAAAGGTCGGGAAATTGTTGTGACTTTCACTCTTCATTTGTCAGAGGTGGAAAAGATATTCACCGAAGCAAATCAACACTGAACTAATGTCCACAGGCCATGTAATGAAAATGTTACCCTTTGTTTCTCACACTATTACATTTAAATCAAATTGCAGCATTTAATTATGTAAATATAATAAAAAAATAATTAATCATAACTGATGGGGGTGGAGCGAAACATGTCTGGCTACAACTTGTGATTATTTCCGTGTGTTTTATAAAAATTATTTCTAATTACTGACGAAAAGTTGAAAAAACAATCAGAGCTTGAAAATAACCCTTGTTTCTTCATGCAAGGTTAATTAGAAAGATGGCTGGAGCAAAGTCAGGTGAAACAAGTAAATTTTATGAAATATTACTTAAATGATTATGGAAGATTAGGTTAAGTAAAATAAGGTATTTTAGCTCTAAATAAGTCTTTAAAAAAATTGTATAGTATTTTAGAACTTTCTTTCATTCTATATCTGAAAGCTTGAAACGTGAATAGTATTAAGTAGATAAATGAAATAAGGCTAAGAGCCCAATACTTTCTTTGGAAAAATAGTCAACTAGACGGAGGAACTGTTTTATATTCACATATATTTATCTGCCCAAATGACTATGAATGGTGCGTGGGTTTGTACCTGTCCACAGTCCAAGACGTCACATTGTGAGGGATGTCGGTGTTGTGTGTCCTCCAGGCCCCATTGGGTAGCTCCTTGAGCTGCAAGGTGAAGTACCTCAGTGGAGAAGAGCCTGAGCCACCTGTCACCCAGTAGATCTGGAGTCTTTGAGATTCCACCTCATCCTGAGGAACAGACAACTTCCTGGGTGGTTGGGGGCGCTCTGTGGAAGCAATGAGAATATTAGAGTTGGGGAATGAAGAGGGTGATAGTCACAGATCATTAAAATCTGGAAGCAACTTAAACTTTCAAAAAGTACTTTTACATATGTGCCCTGCTGTGTATCTTTCCCTCAAAGGAAGGCTCAATATGCATCTCGGTACACAGGGTAATCTAAAGCTAAGAGATTTAAGAAATTGTTTGTGTGTGTTGCTACACCCATTCATTTGAAGACCATTCCTGGCATCACATGTAGACTATTGCAGACTATATTCTCCAAACAGCTTGTAACACGTGACACAGCAAGTCAACATTTCTACCTCACATGCATCAGCGTGTGCTTACAAGTTTAATTGAACCAAGACATCTAATTACTTCAACATCAACAAAGCTATTTCTCAACAGATTGGCAGTGCATGTGTGTATTTGTGTGCTATTCAATTACAAAATGAAAGATGGCTTTGGGAGTCACTATCTTTTTACAGCCGCATTCTCGGTAGCTTTGTGATAAGTAGACCTCAGAACACACATCCGTGCACAGACAAAAACACAGAGCTGGAGGCATAACTGTCTAATTTCAGGGGCATCAGGTTATCGATTAAGTCTAGAAATAAAGGCATTATCGACTGTCTCAGAAGTTTAATTAATCTGCACTTTCTTCCTCAAACATGCACAATCAAAGCCACAGAGCCACACAGACAGCCACACGGGCCTGGCCTCCTACACTCATCCTTATCACAAGTAATTTGAGTCACATCTGTTTGTCTCCATCTTTCCAGACCACCATACTCCTCATTCCCTTTCAAATTTGACAATGGCCTTCCCTCTTTTGTCTTTCAGATACCATCTATGTCTCCATGCCCGTTCCTCTTTTGTTCTGATCCACAGTTAAGATCATGTTCTGATAATAAACTCATAGTTGTCAGAGCAAATGAGGCCCTTTCATCAAGTACATATTATGCTATTAAGTAAAAGAGCAACGGGTCAAATTTAGCTAAATATGCTTTGAACCCATTACCTTATCTGTTATCAACCTTTGGAACCAAACATTGGCACACATTAATCTCTGAAGAAAGAATCCCTGATTTCTCTCTAAAGCATGCAGACTCATGCATCTGCATGCATAGTAGAAAAGGCTATTTTCTTTTTCTAGGGATTAAGTAAGGATCTTCAGGATCATCAAAACGACATCTCTGTTGGCTATTTTACCTATTTTAGAGCAATAACCAGCTATTATGTCACTGAAGTGGAACAAAGAGCCTGTGAATCCAGTCCTAAAGAGATCCCCAAAAAATGACGGCTAAATCTGTACACTAAAAGAAATAGACCTAAAAACTAAATCACACTCACAATGCAAACTAAGGACCAAATCTGTCACTATGTGGGCCTATGTATTGTAAATGTGATATGGATCAGCAGTGTTGATTGTCAAAGCAAAATAATTAGTTTAAGCCTCTATACCAGATATAGTGAAGAGTTGAAAAAAAAAGAAATATGACTACTTTGCTAAATCGGTGCAAAATAAGAAGCTGAAGGGTTGAATAGCCACTGAAAAGAAATAAAACTCCAACAATCTTAACCTTTAGGTGTCCTGTGCAAAACACATTTTTATTTGTTAGGAAGCTGTTTTATTTGGTGTTCAAACAGCTACAGGCATGTTTTTATTCTACATGTCCGAAAAGCTATCAAGATTCACTGTGAGGTAATCTCGCTCTACATAAGTGACTGGAAGATTTTACTACTGAGCTCACAAAAAACACCAATGACACCATCTAGCTTCCAGGATTTAAGATTTTGGCAACAATAGGGGGAATTATTGTTACATTGATTTTAATATTGGCAGCTTTATTGTCGATAGGCTCCTTATGAAGGGTATTGGGCATCTGGCTGCTTGTAATCCAACACGCTGATGACATCTTGCAAATGCATATTGTTAATTTCTGAGGACGTGCACAATCTACTGCGAACAAACACAGGATGCATGAGGCAGCAATAAAAGGAACACAAATGTATAACCAAAACCAATTACTTGTCTGTTATAATTCAAAATTGTTGTAATTTCACTTGCTTCCCCCTTTTTTAAAATTAGATTCCCGCTGTTTGCTTGCATCATTTTCAAATGCCGGTGCTAGCCTTCCAAACAACAAGATAACACAGGACTGTCAATTTCCTGACTATGTGTATTCTTATGCCCGCATAAACACACATCAATCGCCTTGATGTATAGCAAAATAGTGTTTAAATATCAAAACCTTATGATTTTGCTAAATAAAAGCAACTGACTGAAGCAGGAGAAAACAGAGATGCCAAAGAGTCTAGACAAGATGAGATAAAAGCATCTCGACCTCTGAATCAGAGTAGAATGAAAACTAGAATTTTTGTTACCAGATTAAAGGGAATAAAATGGTACCATTAGCTCATTTTACCTTGATAAAGTAAAGTACCAACTACAATTCTTCTTTCTTACTGGCTGTAGTTTTTTTTAAGTATAAATGGCTTTTGCCTTAAGTTTTTATGGACAAAACAGAGTTGGAAATGCTATTTGGCCCCATATATCTCACCACCGGCCTGGCCTGTTAGTCAGAATTTGACTTAATGTTTAAAAAAACTTTGGTTGTTACGGGTTATACTTTGTGGCCACTGACTGCTGTAATTAGATTAAATGTTGGAGGGAAATGAACCGCATGTTTCCTGCTTGAAAAGACATAATTACGATAATTACAGAATAATGACAGAGCTATTGATCAGTAGTAATTTCTTTCATTTAGAAAATAAGATTGATGCCATCTAAATGTGACTTTTAGGTCAAGCCTGATGTTCACAGTTAGCCTCTGACTGTACATTTCCCACCGGCTCTCAACAGACCATGGTGTTACAGGCAACGTGACTGAGTGGGAACGATCGCTATTCATGCAAGAAGCAATTAATTCACCTGCTCATGAGAAGTTATAAAAAGACTGAATGCCACAAATGTAATTTTTCCATTCACTATCTCCTGTCAAAACTAAACCTTTTACAAAGATCCCCTGGTTACTTTCTGTATTCATTCAAGAGAGCTGATATTTTGTGATATTATGTTCCCATTCAAAGTAAAGTCCAAACCTGCCCAGATTTTATTATGTCCTGTCCTGTATATTTAAAGGCTCATATGTTTTATCTTCTGATAATATTCAATGTTGAGTGATAATATATTCTGCATGTCCAATTACAAGCTACTACTGCTACCACTACTTTTCTATACGAAGCTTTAGAGATTGTAACATTTAGAGTTAGATATGATATGATATGATAAAACTTAACCCAGGTTCAGGTAATCACAATAATGTAAGAAATTATTCAGAGAACAGACAAAAGTAATTAGAAAATCCAAGAGGTTTTCTGATGCAAGAGAGCTTTTCAAATGGAAAGCTTTTTGAAAATCCCAGGGAGCATACGCACACACAATTCTGGGTCCTCAAAACTTACTTTTGAACCTGCCATCGTCAGAAAAAACATCAAGCACATAAAGTTTGCTTTAAACATAGGAAAAGATGTGTCCCTTTGGGTCTTTTTCACAGCAGAAATTTTGACTCAGCAGAGAATGAAACAACTCAAAACATTCATCCGGTTAAGCCAGGTTCAGCCTGTATACCATACCAAAAATTGCACAGATTCCACATCTCAAATACAGCCATCATTAAAAAGTAACCTCAGAACATGCTCAGCAGCTGGGATTAACGACCCTCACTTGTTGAAAGGGTTACAGTTGTGGTAAGCATGACTCCTGCTCAACGTCCAAACTGCAAAGAGCTGTGATTATGTTCAGTGGTGTCAGAGTCCAACATTTTTTTAGAGGGCATAGCTCTCTTAAAATACAAAGATTTTTGTCTGTATTTAGAGAGATATCTTAGTAATTTTTTTTAACAAACCACTAATGCTGCTGGAGCACTTTGTGTGAGGTTTGGTAATAGAAGAGACAGATTAGATCTGATCACTGAATATGAACACTGTGTGCTTTACCTCTGTGTTCAGTGGTAACCACCAGGGCTTCCTGTTGTTCTCCCCAGCCCACGGCGGTCCGAGCAGTGAGGCGGAACACGTAGGTCTGCCCAGAGGTTAGTCCTGTGACAGTGAACTGGCGAGCGTTGGAGCCCACCTCCACTGTGGTCCAGCGCTGTGGGTCTTTGATATCAAGGCGGTAGGATATCTGATAACCTGGTGGAGGACAGAAGGAAAGATTGAAGAAGGGAGCTGATAATAGAAGCGAAAAATTTCACATAGTGTAATCAAACATGTTTTTCATCACATTATGTGATGATTGTGGCATCTTTCCTGCGTAGTTAGAGACAGCCATGAATTTGTTGTTGAACCCCATGATATTTGCACAGAATTTCCCCATGTCACATACTCTTACACTGATATTATATAAACGTACAGTCTCTTTTCTGTGACCTTGACAGTGACCAACAGTATTTATGGATTGTGTCTGTTTGTGTCTCAAGTGCAGTAGGCCATGTAATAACACTTACATCCCATAGCACACACACTCTAACCACTGATCCCCATCCAAGCTTTCCATAGGCCGCTGGTCACCCACATAGGCTGTTATTATGACGATTGCATTGTGCACCAAATACACACATCCTTACCCACTCCCTGTACAACTACAAACTTCTACAAACACACAAGCGAGCTGTGATTAGGTCACACTAGGACTGTCAGGATAATACTCTGCGTAGAGGCACTTAATCTGGTTTTGTGGGCGATAATCTCATCAGATAGTCTGATTGTATGTTAATGTGAATGCTGTGTAATGAAGATTATAGGATAAATGCCAGATCGCAAAGTACACAAAGACAATTGGGTCAGGGCATAATATTTTTCTGTTTGAATATCATGGGGACATTGATGCTAAAACATAGATACAGCCACAAGTGATAGTTTATCATTAAAAATATCCAACCTCTCCCTTTTTCCCTTAGGATCTAACATGTAGCTTATTGCATGCCACTAGTATGTTGCATATTGATTCATAACAGGAAGTTATGAAGATAAAGTCTTTCGGACCGATAGTTCCTAGTGATCTTATACAGAATATGTATGTACATTGTTGCTTTACATTTAATTTAAACATGGTATTGAAAACAGAATAAATTCAGCCGTGCACAGAATTGGATAGAGCAATAGCTGTGATATTATACATAAAAACTATGTAAGTGATGGAGAGTTAATTAAAAGAGATTTCCAAGGCACTGGATTTTCTTGTAGAGCCACTTAGTTCCTCCGAATTGGATGTGAGTCAGCACTGTAACTGTGAGAAAAGAAATCTGATGCAGAACTTGCAATTTCTAATAGACCAATGAATAAAAAGCTTGTTGTGTTAACTGTGTGGACACAACAGTTTCTGTTGTAGCGATTAAAAATGTTTTCGGCTGACACCACAAAATGATTGTATGTATCCTTAATGCTGTTACTGTGCAGCCGGACACAGTGATTTTGTTAGCCTTTTATCAGATGTTTTTCTAATAACTGTTGTTAAAATGAAAGCAGACAATTGCAATCAACTGACTGAAGAAGACTTGGGTGTGAATGACCAAATCTTACATATGATTTGAAAAAATCTAATCTCAAGTGGCTCAACAGTTCAGTTTGGCCATTAGTTTAGTTAAAAAATGAGCAAATGAGCAAAGCACTTCACATTCCCATACTGAGTTATGCTACATTTCCAACTTTAACAAAGATCTATGAATAGATTCCAACTGAGACTTGGAGTGTATTAAAGGCCAACTCAAACCTACGGGCATGTTAGCATTGTACACCCCGGGCATGATTGAATACTAAGAGAAAACCTAGCGAAAGTCAAACCAGCACTTTCCCCAGCCTCTGCTCTCAGTTGAGTTGGTTAACAGTTCATTGTTTACTTTAAGTGTTTAATGGAACGTTTTGTTGGCTGTTTATTCAGACGGTATTTAAAGCTATTCTAAATGCCGAAATATGGACGCATTCATTAAATTTAATGGTCATACTGATAACATAATTTTGTTTACTAATTTACTCTTATGTTTACAGCAACTTTTCCAATTTGTGATAATTTTGTTAGGATACGTGTAACACTTGATTAAATTGTCACATTGTCATTGTTTTTTCCACACAGTATGTTCAACTAAGAGTACATTTTAAATGTAAAACGCAAACTTAGTTCAAATCTAGTCAAACACATTTTCACAATATATTTATATGAGTGAAGACGAAAAATACATAGAATATTAGATAATGAAAATAAACTACAGCTATTATTTGCATCTCAGATGTTCATAAATGTGTTGATTATATTCAAAGATGTTGCCTCATTGTGATAAATAGGATTGTGCACCTTCAGGTTATTGTTGCTCCTCTGTCCACCCCATGGGTCAGTTTTTTGTGGGTTGAGAACCCAGGGAGAGGTGGCTGTCATGAGCACCAACGACACCATGACTCTACAGTTACTTGTGTCTGCACAGACACCATGAATTCAACAAGGACACAGCAGGACTGCGTGTCTCTGTGTGTCAGTGCAATCAAAAGAGGGATTTGCCCTCCCACTCATCCCTCTGTCACTGAGTAGTATTGCACTAAATGTCCTCCCTCCAATGCAATACAGTCACACATCACTCAAACTGTCCTGCTCAACTCCCTCCCCCACTGAGAGGACAAATACCAACTCTTTCCCTCTGTTCACAGTACACACACATACACACACACTGTAACACGCACACACATACGCACTCTAACACACACGCACGGGCTCCTGTCCCTCTTCTCAGCTCTGTACACGCCTGCCTTTTCCTTCCTTCCTCTCATCTATTCTGTCTGTGTCACACTTCAGTGCTGTGCTCTGCTGTTTCAGAATCCTGTGAAAACCATAAATCTAAACAAGCATATAAATAAACCTATATATGAATTTGGAAAGTGCCTTCAACATTGCATCAGACACTTTCCCAGTAACTGTTTTTATAGCTCACAGACACACAAACACACACACGCCCATAAATTTCAGCCGTGAAATGGAGAGAACAGAGAGCTGACCCTTGTTTGAAAGCACGAGACCCACAAGAGAGAATCAGCTCTTTTTCATTTTATGGTTTTTACTTCCTTAGCTTGCTTGAAGGTTTACGGCAAAATGTGTGTTTGTGTGTGTGCGCCTGTGCATGTTCAAAACTGCTAAATCATTTCTTCATACAGCTTAGCTTTCTCTTTCTAAAATGATTCTGCTCAATTATGTATGTTAGTGTTTGTGCCTTTACCTAATAGGATTCCATTGGGGAAGACGGGTGGCTGCCAGACCACCCTAACTGAAGTCAATCGAACTTCAGGAAACACCATGCGGACAGGGGGCCCTGGTACTGGATATGAAAACAGATAGAGGCAGGAGAATGAAAGAATATCAATATACAGTTGAAAAAGAAAAAAAGGAGCTAGTCTTTCATCACTGTAATGTCTTAGCACATGGTTCTCTGTGCATTTGCGGTGATGTTCGTCAGCAGTGTACACACATTTCGGGTGTCTACATATTTTAAGAGGCAGTTCTAAAGGACACAGTAGAGGAAATGTAATTTTCTTTCCGCCTCACACAGACATTGACTTTACTCCTGATAAAAGTGCATGTTCCACATCGTCAAATACATGTCAACTTGAATGTGTGAGTGCATTTGTGGGTGTGCAGCATGTGTATGTGTGTGATGGACGGAGTGGAGGCTCATTATACATGGCAGGGAATTGACTTCCCTGTTCTTGTTTCATCCTGAAATGAGAAAACTTTTCAAACGTGACACTGCTTGATAGAGGATGATGGTGAGCGTGTGCGTGTGTTCGCCTTACTGTGTTTGTTTTAGTGGGCAAGAGTGAGTTTTTGTATCTGTGAGTGTGGCGTAAAAGTCTAACACACCAGGTTACTGCAATTTTGAAATGTCTGCAATGGTTACAAAGTCTCTGCAACTGCTGCCACACGTTCCCTCAAATACTCACACACAATGTGCCTGTGCTGATAGCCGAGTGCAAAGAAGTAAAGAACAGCTGGAGATTTGTGAGGATGGCAAAGCAGTTGAACAAACATCTGGACACAGGCCACGTATGAAGTAAAGACAGAGAGGGAGTTCCTACCGTCTTCTTTGGTCCTGAGAAGAATGGGGCTGCTGGTTGGGCCATCGCCCATCCGGGTGTATGCCAGCACTTCCAGCTTGTACACAGTGTATTTCTTTAGGTCCCTGAGCAGCAGCGATAGATTTCCCTCTCCTTCTGTCACCTGAACGCTAGGTGGGCCTTCGGAGTCTTTCTCATTGTACAGCACCTATTAACAATGACAAAAACCATGCTGAATTTGAAATTTGCATTCACAAGAAGATACATCCTAATGAACAAATATCCAATATCCTAATAATAAAAAGATAGGCCGACAATTTAGTAAAAATCTTGCACATACTTATTCCAGAAAGGACTGTATTATTTACAGCTACAACTAAAAATAAAATTACAATAAATCTAAATCTGAAAAATACAAGAGAAAATTGTTCTGGTCATTGATAAAATAAAATCATTAGCAGACAAGAGCATCTAATTAATCAATAATTGAATAATTTCTTGAGTGAAGGGTTTTCTAATTTGAAAAACAAAAACACCTAGAATTGAGTCAGTGTTGCTTTCATCCCATGCAAAACAAAGGATATTGGGTTTGTAGCTCATGCTGACAAGCTCAACAGTGCATAGCTCTTGAAAATGATGCTACATTGAGGTTCATTTCTCATCACTCGCAAGTTAGCTAGAGCTGGAAGCGGGACAACAACAATAGAATTTGTGGCGGAGATCAAGATCAAGTTTGAAAACTAATAAAGAGCAAAAGCACAAGTTTAAGGTACAAACAACAACTTTACCGAAGATTTATACAATTTCTTATATATATCTAAATCGCTGCAATTCATGGGGATTTTTGTCTTATGAGTAACATGGCAAATTTATAAGACCAACATCAACACATGAAAATGCAGCCAGCATCTCAGACCATTCCACATCGTGACGGTAGAAAAAAAAGGCACATTTGTTTAACTGGAACTGTTAGGCACCAGAACTGGAAACATGATCATTTGACACTTTAGACATTTTTTCAATAAAAGGTTGTTGCCAGAACAAAAGAACGCACTACAAAGCAAACAGAAATAACAAAATACAGAGAAGTGACTGCAGGTTACGGGTAAAACTAGAGCAATACCTTGGCTTCACTCATACACTGAGTGTTTCCCCTTGTAAAGTAAGTAACTGCAGAGATTGAGTTGAAAAAACAAAGAAAAATACTGTATCTCTGTATGTCTTTCATATTTGGTCCTGTGTAAAATATAGAATTTTATCAAACTTTATCTAAGATTACAAAGTGGGCTGCTAAAATAAAAACTACACTCGGAGCCATAAATGAAAAAAGAACAAAAAAACCCAACAAAACTTCCTTTCTTTGTCAAGTTTGTGAAATTCAAGTACAACATTAAGCACTTAAAAGAACCTAAGGAAAATGTCACCTCAAGCTAACATGTCGAAAAACTAAAATAGAGATAAGACTTTCACAGCAGGAAGAGGGGCAACTATTCAACATTTAGTGGGGGATGGAAGGTGTAAACGAGCTGCTGCTGGCAACCACTTCCCATTTATTAACATGGTAGGCATGCTGCTCAGTAAGATCCACAGGAAAGCACCACAAAACACATAGATGTGGGGTGTGATGTGCTTAGGGCATTGTGGATAATGTGACCTGGATTTTCATACACAAAAAAAAAGAAAAAAAAGACAGAGGCAGGGGTGCACTTGTTTATATCACCCAAGCACAGCTTGTTTTTCTTTTGCAGATTTCTGCATTTGTAATACAACCGTGTCCACGCAATTCACCCCCTTTTAATCTTTGCACCGCTGTGATCCCACGAGCATTCTGGACAACTTTTATATTAGCGAATATACACACAGTGGCATGGATATTTTGATGCACGCTAAAAGTCACATAGAGAGGAAGCATTGCAAAATACAGACATTTTCAAAATGCTTTCTATGGACTTCAAAATTTGAATAAACTGCTGCTGGGTGTATGTATTTTTAGACTCATGGACATCCTAGTATGGCCCTTTGGGCTCGCAACACAACAGCCTTCTCTGCTCTGTTTTGGAAAAACATGAAAAGGACGACTTCTAACATGGAAAATGTGAATAGACTGTTGTTGCTTACGTGGGTGTGAAGTCTGGACTTAAATACTAATGCTGAACATCCTCAAAGGGATATTCAGACTATGAATGTATACAGACAACATAGCAAACTTGCCAAAAACACAGTTTATGTTCTCTGAAGAATGGAGGAAGTACCTTTAAAAACCAACCAGCTTTGCAGATTATTGTTCATTTGTCACCACTGAATAATCCAGCTATTGTTTTACCTACAACAGTAAACCAAGCGCTCTTTTATGAAGGCAGAAAATCTTCTCTAATATACATGCATGTGATTACACATATGCCCCCAAATATAATTACAGCAGCAGGCTGTTTTTAAAAGCAAAAGTGCAAAAGGAACAAACTGGAGTGGTTACAGGATATTACATCATGTTCATGTTCTATCAGATTTTTGTTTGCACGCCTCTGTGGATCTGTGTGTGAGTGTGTGAGTGCTCGATGGTGCTGGAGGAAGTAATAACAGGCCGAAAGTGTCAAGTGAGAATATCATGGTTGGATTGGATGTCTTTGTGTGAGTCTGAGTGTTTTATTCACCTTATACCCAAGAATGCGTCCATTCCTTTGTGCCGGAGCAGGAGCAGACCAGGTGAGCAGGATCCTGGAGGAACTCACTGCCTCAGCAGTCACATTCATTGGAGACCCAGACGGAACTAAAGAACACACAAAGAAACACATGCACACACCACTCAGCGCTACTTCACTCTGAAGCAATCTTCGATTTTACCTCAATCATCTTACCCTCCCTCTTTCCATCAATCTTCCCTCTCTGAAACAGAGGGAGCAAGCAGAGGGCAGAGAGAGGTGGCAGGATGAGAGGGGACACAGGACGGTAATTGGAGCACTTTATTTCTCATCCATCTGCCTTCTTATGCCACGCTGGTACAATGTTTTAAAGGCCAATCGTCTGGAAGAGTGAATGAGGCCCGTATCCATACCTGATTCTGAGGTAACTGCTTTCACAGTATGGCTCCACGGTCCTGGTCCTATGGAGTTGAATGCTTGTATCTGCACTTGGTACTGGGTCCAGGGATTCAGGTCCTCTAATGTAGCTTCACTGGTTGCTGCTCCACCTTCAATATCCTTTATCTTATCCTCCCCCTGGCTGTCAGTCTTCCACACTCGTAGTCGGTAGCCCACAGACTCTGGACTGCTGTTGTACTCAGATTCTGGGAGAGGCTGAGGGTAAGAAAGGGAAAAAAGGATGAGAACAAAAAGCTAATTCAAGAAATACATTCATGTCTTTGAAGATAATACAATTTTTTTTCTTAAAGGGGAAAGAAAGCTGTACTCTAAAAACAGTCAAACAAACAAAAAGAGCAGAAGTAAAAGCCATGGATGCTTAGAAGTAATCTATGCTGCTTTCAGGATACTTTCCTTGGCAGATTTTCTATGATTGAATTCTTTACTTTTTATTCGATCATCCATTTTCATTGCACAGTTTCATGAATGAGAATCAGTGTGTCAATCCCATCCCATGTAAACATAACTGACTGGCAGCTAAGAGCTGCCCCCTGCTTGGTAATTCATTGATTTAGATTTTGATAAATGGCAAAGCTTTTCTTAAAAAAGGAATAAAAAGATCAAATGATAATGTAATAGAGTGACATAAAATTATTAAACGAAAAGTCTTTCGTTCCAGCTGTTTGAAAACAAAGCAATACCGCCAAGGCCTTTTTCTAAAACCTCTATTTAGAAGTTAATAGTGCAAGTTACAATGTTTTTCGAAAATTCAGAATGATTATGCCATCATAACATTAAGCTTGCTGTGATTGGTTAATGGAATTGCCTGATATGATCTAAATAAGCCACAACAACTTTAAACAAAAGCTGCCAGCTGCAATTTTGTTCTGAACATCAACTTTAAGATAGCCTCATTGAGGAGGAAGATGATATTTGCAAAAACAGGTTTGTTTTATCCTTAAAATGACTTTATTTCTTACAGGGTGTATTTCAGAACCCAAAGGTTGTATGTTCTTCACTGGTGAAAAAAAAAACAAAACAAGTCAAACCTGTTAAGTGTTTCCATTGTATTGAATAACTCACAAACCTTATTCCAAAACTGTCCGGATAATTTTCACACATTACCCTGTTTGTCATTTAATTAAATGCATGACCTTGTGTTTCCCAATCTGCTTGTAATCCAAAGCTCTCTGGCAAGTCCTCTGGCTCACTGATTTCTGGCTTTAGCCATAAATTACATCTACGTATTGATATATAATCAGGAGCCTATACAGGGTGGTTGATTAGAAAAATGCATTCTCTAAGGTGTTTGTTCGTCGGACTTCCTGTATGACTCATCTATTTAATGCGACATTCATCAAAAATAGACCAGCTTTGTGTGTTTGTTTTTTTTGACAGATTACAAAGCGGTTTCTTTTATGCTCTGAAAAAATATTGCAATCCCTTTTTTTTCAAATTTCATGTATAGTGCGTCAATGCATAAACCATTCAAATGAACCAAAACAGTTTACATTTTTGTAGAAAAATGTAATAATGCAAGAACATCACACTGAAGATACGTTTATGATTAAGGAAAAGTCTAAATGTGCACATATGAATAAAACAAAAAACAAAACACAACAGCCCTTCTCTCTTTTACCCTTTGATATCCAAATGGCTGATGCTTATTTTCGTATCTTTTTTCTCAGTCATCTCAGTCATCATCTTCTCATAACCTTTCAGATTTTTCCTTGTCTTCGTCTTTTTCTTAACACTTTTTCCTTTGTAGTTTCCTCTTTCTAAAAAGCATCTGAGCCACTATGCGATCATGCATTATCGCGACGATTAATTTTCCTACAATCATGCAAGCGAAAAGTTCAGCTTGTTCACAGTACATAATACCACAGAAGGCGATTTCAAGCAGCATTGTACAGTGTTTGCTCTGTGCTGCGCACATTCTTAGCAAGAGAGACACTTCACTAAGTGATTTAGCACAGCTTTCGCATTTAGGAGCCATAATACAGAATGTCACATTAGCTTTATTGCCCTTAATATGCAGCTTAGAATAATAGCCTTGGCTAAAACCATTGTAATGGTGTCATTATAGGAGAAAACTAGCATGGCTCAAAATCATTGCTAACATACAGGTAAAATCCCATTAACATGCTGCACTGGTAGCCCGTAGGGTCTCAGTGTCTGTGTCTGATTTGACAGGCTTTTTCTCATTCCAACTCTTAAATGGAAAATACTCTGCTCTCCATTTATCTTGTAATACAAGAGTGGAAGGGGGAGTAAAAGAGAGAAGGAAAGACAGAGGGATGACGAGCAGAAACAAGAGCAAAAAGAGGAAAGAGACAGTGAGGAGAAAATTACATTGCAATTTGTGCTGGTAGTGGTCCAAAGCGGTGAATGGGGAATGTGACAGATTAGTGTTAGCACTGATAACCAAGAGAGACACTGATTACAAGCTGTCACCCACTCAACCTGTTCAGTCCTGCTGCTGGTGAGTGAACATACAATATGTACTTTATGCACAAGGACACAAAAATGGTGAGCAAAGAAACCAAAGAAATCCCAGTCTAATTAGCACAATTTAAATCAGTGTAAACGGACAGAAAAGTGAGTCATGCTTCTCAGAGTCAGAGCTTCTTTTTGAGTGTATGTTTATTTCCGCACCTTCCAGCTCAATCGTAGGGTGGTCTCTGTGGCAGACACAAGGCTGAGATTGGAGGGGTGTGTGTCAGGGGCATCCTGTAAGGTTTGAATCAGCCTTGAGGGGGTACTCAGTGGACTGGAACCAACAATGTTCACCTGCTGCATCCTGAACCTGGTGATAAAACAGAAAGGCTTATTTTGAAGGAATTTGTGGTTGTACAAGTGGAATGGCCATCACACAAAAAAGTTCTGATATTGTACTGATTAGGAGCCCTCAGCATGCTTGGGCATCCTGATATTTCCAGGAAATACCAGGACGTTTTTGGCTTCATGGTAACATGGTTTCCAGAAGCCACCTTTGGTGGCGCTATGCTATGCAATGATTAAGTTATTTTCTGTTTTGGAGAAACATTTCACCACTGTGGAAGGCGATTAATAAGGGAATTCCTACAGTGACAAGTGAAATTAAAGTATAGAGAGTTTTGGAAAGGTCTGTCATTCAGAGTGACAATGTACAAAATACACCTCTTTCTTCTTAAGCTTTAACGTTCAGCAACTTGTAATTCACAAGACATTCTGTTCCTTTTCTATTGTAACCTGTTGTATTAAATCCTTTTTTCCCCCTTTCTACACAGACCATCTTTATGACAGTTTTGAAAAGGGACTTTGAAATCATACATGGTGGATGATTCAGGTGATTGGGAGAGCCATACTTCAGTCTGTCAGCAGATTTCATGAATCAAATCACTGAGGTGGGGTAGAGCAAATCAAGCTCTTGTCAGAGTAAGTCCAAGAAGAAACATTGTTTTAGTAAATATAGGCACCAAACATGAGCCCTATTCTAAATTAACAAAGGTTTTCGGTTAGTTGTGACGTGGCCAGTGTTACTGTATAGTAATCTATGCTAACCTGTTTGGAACCCCCACACTTCGCCGTCACACTTAAAAGGCCAGTAAGACCATCACCAGATGCTAATTGTTCTCCTGACCATAGATGCATCTCTTGCAGCCAGGGAAGTTTCTTTTGTGATCATGATCTCACAAACTCCATCTGCCTTGCACATCAAGTTGCTGGTATACAGTTAAAGTGGCAGCAGCTGTCCCACCATTACAGTTTCTGCCCAGCCAATGAACAGAGGGATTGCAGCAGAGTTTTTGAGCTTTGCATCATGCTGATAGGAAAAAAACACCAATTTATAATACACCAGAAATAAAAAAAATGAAGTAACTGGATCAAAATGAGACAAAGGGTTTTTCCAGTGAAACAGGTGGTTTTACTGTATGTAGTCTATAAAGAATTACTAATTGTGGAAAAGTTTGGAAATGTCACACGTATTTGATCAGTTTCTTGGGTGTTTTATTCATTGTGTGGACAGCATGCTCTTTGGGATGTTATCTTATTTTCAAATGAAGTAAATACAGAACTTATAACAAAAAATTAAATGTTTTGATTATATGTCATATCTGCCGAGTAGTTTTTTATGTGTGTGATTAGTTCCAAATGTTAACCATGTTTGGTTGCCTGAGGGTAGAAAACATCCAGTCAGAAAAAGAAATGTCCCTAAATATGCAGACTTGTAGACACAGAAACAGCCATGGGGGAGAGTTTGTTACGTTTGTTACTTTTAAATGCACTCATGCTTACGTGTGGCTGAGAGTGATAAAATGTGTGAATGTGTGGGGAGCATGTGAGAGACTACATCTATGTGCTGTTATCCCTGTGTTGGGAGATAGAGAGCAGGGTGTAAAGAGGGACTTAAAGAAGGGGATAAGAAATACAGACGAGTGCATCACTTCATCTATCGTCCCAGTAGTGTTGCCTGTGACAACATAATCCCTATGAGTGTAAAATGTGTGCATACACACCACAATCCCATTACAGATGAAGGCAGAGATACTCTAAGCAAGAGGCAGACGTAGACCGACAGACAGATAAACAGAGTGGGTAGACAGACAGAGATAGAGAAAGAGAGGGACGGAGAGAAGAGGAAGGCTGCCGCTCTTCTGAGTGCCGATACATCAGAAAATGTAACTTCACAGCTCTTGAGAAGGGATTACAGAAACTCCTCTCTTCTCATCTATTTCCTGTTCTCCTTGTCTCTTATCCCTTGTCTCTTCTTCTCCTAATGCTGCCCTTCCAGCTTTCTCATCAACTTTCTTCTCCCCCTGCCTTCATCCCTCTCCTCTCTCTTTCCCTTCAGCTAGTTGCAGGAGGGTAATAAGGATCTGCATGCTGCAGCTGTGAAGGTGCTGACAAACAGAAAAGTCTCAGATGGAACCATCTCTCTGTGTGTCTCTGTGATTTATCGAACTTCACCTGAGCCTTGCAATACAGCAGAAATTGGTGTAGAGTGAGATGTGTGTAAGTTAGGGTGTGCGTGTACATGAAAAGAAAAAAGATAAGAAAAAAACTCCTCATTTACCATTCTTGTGATGGCAGTACTCCCATCTTACAAGCTAAAGTCCTGTACCCGCTTGATATGCTGTGCTCTTTCTGGGATCTGCTTGAACCACTGTCCCAGTTTGGGGGTTATGGGTTATTCTTCTCTTTTTTTCTTCTTTTTGTTGTTGCCAACACCTAACATCGCTACACATATTACTGGTTTGTCTCTTTGTACCCCAGGATGGACTGGCGACATATACAGGAAGCACCCCGCCTCACGCCTGTTCTCAGCTACAATAGGTCCCATCCCCCATTTAACCCCACTGGGAATAAGCGGTAAAGATAATAAATGGATGGAGGGATATTTCCTTTCTCTGTAACTTGTTGACCACCAAATATCCAGCTGGATAGCCTACATCTATTGGAATCTGGAAATTCCAGCGAATATAAGCTTAATTTTTCTCTAATACCTTTTGAGGTATGAGGTCTCTACCAGAGACTTATCGGCCCATGATAGGTCCACGATACCTATCATGGGACGTATGTAAAGTACTTATACATAATAATGATATTCTGTATACATATGACATTTATGATTGTGTTTGCTGCTCACCTGTACTGAGTGAATGGAGTGAGGTTGAGAATCTCTAGTGTGTCTGCATCTGGCTGGTTGTCTTTCTCGTAGACAGTTTTCCATGCCTCCTCCTTTCCACCTTCCTTTGCCACCTGTTATTGAGTGAGTTTGTTACTCAGATGTTCAGTTTTACCAGTTTCAACAAGAGCACATTTTAAATGATACATTCACCTGTCCCTGGACTATCCATCTTGAAATGGCAGTCTTGCCATTGGGACCAGGGTGGAACCTTAGAGTTGCTGTCCGAGGGCTTATATTGGAGATGACTAAGTTAGAAGGAGCTCCTGGAAGTTCTGCAGAGAGAGAGGAAATAAAAACCCTTTACAGAAAGCTGCAACACATGTTCTGAAAATGTGGACATCCAGCTTGTGCCAGCACCATTAAGATATTCATACAGGTAATACGATATACAAAATGAGAAATATGAGTCCTGCTTTTTTTACCTTTTTAACTCTTTCAAATTGATTGAGACGAAAAGCGTCTAATCTTGCTATTGCTGTTGCAACACATGCGAAACCTAAATTATTTACAGAGCTTATTATCAAAAAGGAAAAAGGATGGAGACTTCACAGCATGACAAATTATTAATGTAGGGAGAGAACTAAACATAGTCCATGTGAATGAAATGTATTGCCCACTATATTCAATTTAAGAGAATATAAATGGCTGAATAGGCATGAAGCAATGAAATTACATTTGACCTCTCCTTATTCTGAAATGGTTCCAGCCCCATGGCAATAATGAGACACAAAACGGTAGTTTGACTGATCAAGAATGGCAGACTAAGTGGCACAAGTATGTATGTTGGAGAGGAATGAAACCCTAAAACAGAACAACCTGACTTGACAATGGCCATCTTAGTGGATAATTCGGAAAGAAAAATGTTGACAAGATGAAATGGAACTAATTCATTGTCATATTTGGAGTCCAAAGCACTTCTGCGCACAGTTTATTTCCTGTTGAAACAGACTGAATAGTTAAAAAACAACTATTCTACATTTGAGGGGTTCAGGTGTATAGGAGAGTTTTTTTTACAATACCTCTTTCTCAGTAGCAAATGTTGAAATCAATAACTGAAGAAAATAACAATTGGAAATAAACTACAACAAGCACAAATATTTCTGTCAGTGGAGTCACTATGTCAACATGATTTTTTTTTCCTTCAGTGTGTCCTGCTAAACAGCACAGACTGAATTTTGAAAAGCTGCTTCTGTCTTATTCCATCTGAGCTGCTATTGACAGAGCGCTACAATAATTTTCTTGTGTTTTTGTTTATTTGCCATCGGAAAAAAGGAGGGACAACATTGTGGTTCGCATGTACATTTCAACAGAAATAAAAATGTTCGTATAACAGGTTTCTTCCAACTCAATCTTTCAAAAGCAAAACACATTAATAACTGGCTACAAGCAGACGTTTTCATTGACAGCTGCTGAATTGAACTGACATTTTTCTGGCAAGCAGCGCGATTAAAATCATGTGCTAACAAATCAAATATGTGGCAGCCTGTTTCTGTTAATGAAACTAACGCTTTCCAGAATCAACACAATGTACTTCAAACTCAAAAACCAGCATGAGCACATCAGGCCTACTTTTCAAACACTTCTCTCAGATGTTTGGCAAAGGTTTGCTGTCTGTCGATGATGCAAGTGCTCTTAGACTTGATGCAACCCAATCAATTATGCTGCATAATAATTATGGGTGTCATGTTTGCTGCACACCATAAAACCCATATCTGTTAAGCCAGTTTGCTAAACCAAATGATGTGTTTTTTTGTAACAGATTAGTACACCAAGTAAAGCTAAATGTTTTACTAAAATTTCATAAGATAAAAAACTATATTTTTATGTATATTTCATTATGTTGCTTTGTCCAGTTATCTTGAAAACAAAAATACACATGTGTTTCAGAGGAGAGTTTTTACATAACTGTCACTGCGGCTCTGTAAATGTAAGCAGAAAACTTGTAAATGTTATAATGTGGAAATGTTGATATCAGCTGCCTTGCTTAGATGAATGACTAAATTCCCTCAACTCCATGAATTCATGAATAAATAAACCAAAGAAGAATCCATGTTTAGTGGGTCTCTCCTTTTCTCTCTCCCACTTTCTCTGTTCATTCTTCAGTTCTTTTTCCTAATCTTCAGTCCTTCGTTCAGTCTTTTGCTTTCATGAATTAATGAATAACCTTGGAATCTAAGAACTGTCTGTATCCATCTTGCATTCACTTTTTCTGCTTTTACTCATAAATTAGTCATCAGAAAATGTTAGGACAAAAATCCTACTTGTATGAGACGGGTTTTTCTTCCATTCTCAAACACTTCTACCCAGTCCATTTCTGAGAGACTAGGGTACTTTGTTCTTGGGAGATTGTTTTTTCTTGCAGTTTCTATTCTTCCACAATTATATTTCTCAATTTCCTTTCCCTCCTTTAGTCCTGTTCCTTCCCCGTCTTGTGTCTTCTTCTATCTGTGGCTGCATCCTTTCCATGTTGCTATTTGTAGTCAATCAGCAATAATAATGACTGCAACTTGGCTTTGGTCCAATCGCATGAACTCATCAAGCAGACAAAAGCATTTTTTGTCAGCTTGATGAGTGCTCTGTAACTTTCTGTAAATGACTAACTCTTGTGTGTGACTGAGTGTGTGAATGTGTCTGTCGACAGTGTGGGTGATGATTCATGGATGCACAGTAACAGCCACTTATCAGCCTGAGGAAAGACAATGGCATCATGAGAGCTCATCACTCATATTTATTCTGCTACACGGGCGCATCCATACAAGAAGAAAACTGTTTTTAACATCCACTGTCATCCGCTTTGTTTATGAGTGTATGTATGTAGGGTACCTGGTGGAACTCCCGTGGATATGGTGGAGGACGTGACCACGCCCCGTCCTGCAGCTGTGAGCGCAGCCACCTGCAGTGTGTACACAGTGGTTGAGGTGAGGCCTGTCAGCTGGTACTGCAGAGTGGAGTTGGACAAGGAACGCTCCTCATGGCTCAGCTCTGTACTTGGCACTTCCCACCACAGCATGTAGCCTGCAGGGTGAAGAGCAAGCAGTGGCTCATCAAAGGTTCATATAGACACAAGTATACACACACACACGCATGTGAGTGCACGCACACACATATAATGAGAGCTACAGAGCCAAACAGAAGCAGAGCATGTGGGAGGAGTAACTGGAATCAAAATCTCTTTGTGTCCCTTTGCATTTTCGCAGTCATGCATCACACTCCACCACCCTCAAACGGGCTCCTGAGCGAGGCCACTTGTGTATAAAGCCCTGAGGAGAGCGAATGGTCCCTCATCATTCTCCATGCTCACCGGGCGCTGGATGTAAAGCAGGTTGAGGAGAAAAGAGTAAATCTGCAAGGTGACCTCTACTGAAGGTCCATTTTTGCACTTCTCTGAGTATGTAAGATGACTCTTCAGCCTGGTGCTTCTAGATTCTGGCGCTGCTTCGGAGGGGCCTGATGAATGTTGAGCACGATGCCAGAGCATAAAGACTCAAACATGCAACAAAGAGTAATTGCTTAATTCATGGCAGCTTGTTGTGTTCACCAGCATCACTGAAGCCGAGGGGGGTGAGGCCATGAGCTCTGTGATGTGCCACACAAACAACACCCAGGGTGTTGGGATGTGTGGGATGAGGGCATGTTTTAGATAATGTGAGAAGACAAACTGCAGAGGGAAGGGATTAGCTGATGATGAATCACTTGTACACAAACATAATGTCAGAGACAGAGGAGTGTCTGTGGAAGTCAGAAGACTAAGCAGAGAGGGAAGCACAAAGTGGGAGTTAAACGCTTCCCTTAAGAGAGGTGCTTTTACATTATTACTTTAATGGTCCTTTTTCAGATCACAATTATCCACCTGAGAAGAATTAGCTTTAATTAGAAATTATTCCCAAGTGTTTGAATGTTCTGCCGTGTGCATTTGTGGCCTCTCTCTGGGTACCAACCAAAAACATGCATCTTTGGCCTGTTTTGAGATTCAGAAATGCCTTTGGAAGTGAATTTGAGTTAGTGTGGTTGTTTGTATCTGTGTGGCCCCTGCGACCTGTCCCGTGTGTGTCGTGCCTCTCACTCAATGTCAGCTGGGACAGCCTACAGCCCACCCCCGACCCTACTAGGAATAAGCAGTATAGACTATGGGTGGATGGACGGATGGATGATGGTGAAGTTATTACTTATTTTCTGCATTTTATTTTATTGTGATAACGCAGAGCTAAATCTTAGCTAAAGCTAGTCTCATCATCAGGAAAATAACATGGTAGGAATGAAGGTCTCTTGATTTAGGAGAGGTTACAGGTGAGTGCGGGAAAATGGAGTTATCAACCTCTACACTATATGCTTTCTAACCAGTGATGATGCCGTTTTTCTCTTCAGGCTCTGCCCAGCTGACTCGAAGTGATGTGTCCAAAATTTCGGTGAAGCTCAGGTGGCGAACAGGTCCAGGTGCTGTAAGAAAGTAAAAAAATAAAACATTAGAACACATTTTTATATTGGATTTGATATTGAGATATATAGGGAAAAGGACTTATTACAGCGAATTATCAAAGAAACAGAATTAAAGCTGATGGTTGGTCTGCAGCCTTATTTGAATTCTCGTTCATAAAAACATTTTATGCTCTTAAATTGTCATTCATACACCTTGGTGTTGAACGTGGCAAAGAGTTTTAAGAATTTATCTGTTTGAAGTCCTCGTGAAGTAAAACGTGTAATGCGGAATTACAGGAGTGATCAAAGTGTTATAAAAACTCTAGGTTTCTGTTTATTGGAATCTCTCCGGTGTCTAAATAATGACCTGTTTAAAATCTCAGAAGCTAAAGGCATATGTGTGTTGAAAAGAGGTTCGAATGCAAAAGTTTAAAGTAAATGTTTTTTCAAAAGCTATTTTAGGAGGCGAGCTAAATACTGAATGATACATAATAAAGTGAGAGCATCTTAAACTTGAGACTATCAGTGTGGTCTCCAAATAATTTAAAGAGATATAGAAGTGCTTTATTTCTGCTGGGACCATCAGTGTGTATTGAAAATGTGTAGCATCTCTCAACGTCCTGATCACATCTGCACTGACCAGCACTCCACTGCCTCCACACCCACTCTCACACTCAGGTGCATGCAAGACTGTCGTTTCTCATTTTATCCATGGCTCTCTAACCCCTCTCCCTGCAGAGCGATTAAGCTATTCATCTGAGACATTCAATAACACTCACACACAATCACAGTCACACACACACACACACACACGGAATCCCGCATACATGCGCACAGACACATGCAAAAAGCTATCATCAAGCAAGAATTACACCCACCGTTAACCCTGCAATGTGCCCCGGCAGCCAATCAATACCCGTCTGATGCTGTGGGTATGCACATGTGAGTGTGTATGTGTTTGTGTGCGTCCGGACTCTTATATCCTTTTCCACTCAGTAATTGTTGGTTGGTAATAATTGCTTGTCTGTCTGCCTATAGGCTATTGTGTTTAATTGATGGTGGGACTGCATGCATGTGCTCATGTAACTGGGAGTGGCGGCTATTATGTTTATCCATGGAACAGCGCACTACGAATACCACCATGCCTGAAAACATATGAATCAATTCCCTTTAAAGAGACACATTGGTCAGAATGGCAGCAGCTGAGAAAGTAAGAGCAAGGAAATCAGTAATGAGCAGAAGCCTGAATGAGCACAAGGAATATTTGAGCATTGTGTTTACTGTGTTGTGGACACAGCTGCGCAGTACATTGATAAAAACAGCTGGATTCAACACAGAGCTGGCAATTTTGCTTTCAGTACCGTCCTCAGACAAAGCCGATAGAGTTTTTTCGTGTTTCACATCCTCTGTTTATTCATCTCGTGTTTTTGCCTGTTAGCGGATATTTGTGTGTCTGTGTGAGACTGAATACTCACTGTCTTCGTGTGTCTGCAGCAGGGCGGGGGGGCTGCGTGGACCATCTCCAGGTGTGGTGAAGCAGAGGGTGGAGCCATAGTACCAGGTGAACTTCCTGAGCCCACTGACAAGTCCTGTGTGTCGTGAACTGGGGTAGTCTGGAGTGATGGTTACTATGGTTACGTCTTCTGGTGACTGCTCTGGCCAGACCAGCAGCTGTTAAATCACAAAAAATGGTGAAAGGTGACATGAACAATATCTTCTGAATCTTCCTCAATACCCGCAGAATTCCCTGGTTTATTCATTTATTTATTGTCATTTTCCTACCTTAAGTTAGTTTCTGGAGCTTTAGGCTAATGGATCCATTTTCAGAATTGAATCCTTAGTATTATTATTATAGTTCACTTATTAAACTAAACATATTTATACCACAGTATGGGCTATGGTGGATCTGTTCAAATGGGCTTAAAAATAACTAACGGCAAAACAAATATGCAAAAATGTTTCTATTTTCAGTTTTCACGTTCCAGGTTAGTTACTGTACTAATGTTACATCACAGAGTAGAAATTTGCAGAGAAATACAGATTTTCTGAGAAATATATCTTCACTGCAATAATTCAGCTCATATGATGTTGTGTACAGTGTACAAATTCCATTTCTTAAGATCATCTGTTGGTTCTCCTGTGTTTTCACTGAATATGTAAGCACATGCATGTGTTTTAGTTAACACAACACTCACACTTTCTCCCACTCTCCTCATAAATATGGATGCATATGATGCTACAAAAAAAGTATAAAAATCTAAACCCAACTTAGACTGAAAGAGAGAAGTGCAGAAAGTGCGCATGTAAACCCAAATCAGGACTGTGATGTTCTCCTAAATGGCTGTGATCATTTATATGTATTTAGAAGAATTTAGTTATTAGTAGACCACTGGGATAGGCTCCAGTTCCCCCCGCGACCCCATAAGGGATGCAGCGGTATTGATAATGGATGGATGGATAGTTATTAGTACAATTAACCTACACACGCTTAAATGTAATTCATTCTTAAACTGTGTTTTTTTAAAGAGACAGTTTATTGTCCAGATAAAATAAAATAATGTCATTGAAATACCTTAGCAATGTGTTAGTTTTGATTAGGGTTATCATGTAAGACAAGTGAATGGTTACTTGGTTACCATCTGACACCAGGAAACTGGAAATACCACTGCACTGAGTCTGTCATGACAAAATAAGGGATACTACTACACATCACTGGCATTCGAAAGCTCATCCGGAAACCCTGACGGTCTCTTGTTAGACCACTTTCAGAAGATGCTGAAATGATTTGGGTCTCTAGTTGACAGTCTTCTGTGGATTCTTTTTTTTGCCTGACACTGAAACCCAAAGTATGATGAATCACATGTCCAGTGCAGCACTGTGCCCAAACTGCCTGTGATAGATAGACAGATTTATAGATACACAGGTAAGTGGCTACTAAATGTTATGAGCTCTGCTAACAGAAATTACACTTTGAAGGGCATACAAGTAGTCTTGTCAAAGGAGAATATGGCTCTTTCTCTGGAAAGGACTTTTTAGCTGTATTATTAACAAGTACTGTATGTAGTTAGTGATTTGTGGGGGATGAAATGAGATGAGGCTTTGCTTCATATCCTCTTTTAATTAATATTATCATCTATTGTCGTCTCACCAGTGCAAAACATTCAAAGATAAGACATCCACATATGCAGCTGCACTGAGAGGCTTCATGGATTTGGAGTGGTACACCATGAATTACAACAGAGAAACATCAAAAAGATGGAAAGCTATATACTATTTATCAACCAACAAAGACACAATATTCACACTTACAGACCCAGGGACGCACAGCAAGAACGTGATGCGTTTTCTTTGTCATGTTAATCAGTTCCTTGGGGGTTGGTTGCCACATTGAAGTGAAAAATAAATTCCATTCCTGAACCAGTACATGAAGATCACTCACACTATTCAATCCCTTGTTCTCATCATACCCCAAATTCTCAGGCTTCCCTATTATTTTCTCTATTTTTGACCACTCAGTATTTCTTACCAGAACAGACGCCTGACTACGAGAAAAACAAAAGGAAGACAATAGATCAACTATTTATTATTATCATTATTATTTTTTATTTCTTTATTATCATTATTCATGCTGCTTTTTGGCATGCAGTCAACATTGTCCATGGGCTGGAAATCCAGACCTAAAAGTTTTAAGTTGCGTGTGCCGCAAGTTTATTTTATTCTAGTTTTTTTAAACAACTTCACACTTAGTTTCAAGAGGCTGTTGGAAAAAATAACGTGAAAATAGTGTAAAGCAAATAGAAACTGGTACTATGTTGGCTTGTTTTACAAATTGACAGTGTTGGACAGAAAATGATCACCTTATAATTTACAGCTTTAAAGAAAAATATTAACTAGAAGAACATTTGCTTAAGTACAGCTGCAACACTGTACGCCCATTCAAAAACGTACCTTGTACCCCTGGTTGATGCCGTTAATGAACTGCTGAGGTGGGGGATTCCATGTGAAGCGGATAGTCGTTGAATTAATAGCTATAATTTCCACTTCCTGTGGAGGTGCTGTGGGAACTGCAGAGACACAAATAAATAACATTTAGCTGCAGTGTTTTAAAAAAGAAAAGAAGGAAATGTCAATTGTTATATGCCTGAAATAAAAGCTACAGAAATATCCCCTTTTCTGTTTTGTCCATTAAGTTTTCCAACATGTAATGGTAGTAAATATCTAGCACAGCACCATTGTTAAATATTTAATGTGAGGTTTCAGATAATTTCGTAATTAAAAATATCTGCTAAGCTTGCATAAACTAAATGCCGAGGCTATACTTTTTGTGCTATACTGCAAAATTACCCAATTCCTCAAAGCAATCACATCCAATCGACTATGTTCGGTATTTGTATAATTTGAATATTAATACTATTAAAATTACTTAATAACAAGAGGGTGGTGATCCATCACTGACATATTCTAAACAAAAATGGATCACCAAACTTGTCCTCGAGCCAGTTGACCGTTCCTGCAGTAACCAGGAAGCCGCCGTAACCTTAATCAGCGGCATGGTGTAACTGCACACTGCAGCATGATTTATTGATCGGAAATAATCTCATAAAAAAGTCCTGGCATTAGATTTGTATTAATATATTAATTTATAACAGGCATTACCATGATATAGCGTTGTATTTACAATCTTCATTAGGAACACTATTCACGCCCCCCTGATGTAAATGGTTTATACTTTGGGACCCTACACGTCCTCTGTAATATTTCTGTTAAGCTCTGAGTTTAAGGTTTAAAAATTCAATGCCAGTTCACCTTGATGACAGGATTCAAGACATAAAACAGGATTTTTTCCTGAAAGCTCAGGAATTTTTCTCCAGAGCCACTACAGCCGCATCCCTGGGACGGGCTGAACCTATTTTTGTGATTTACTTGGTCATTTATTTCATAAATACAATGCACCAGCATTGATGGTGCATATTTCTCGTATATTGCAGAAATATAAAATCACTGAATTGCGGTTCACAGATTTGACAATAAAAAGCTCAATAGCAGAACTGTGCTTGAAAGTTAATGCTTTGCAAAGGCTGTGTGAAGCGTAAACATTCATCATCCGCCAAAAAGTCAGGCTAAGAAGATAGAGCACAAAGAGATACGAGACGAAGCTGCAGAATATAATGTGTATATAACAACAGTTTGCTCAATAAGAAATGAAAAAAAGTACTGCCAAAACACTATGAGCATGTTTGGTTGTCAAAGTCTGATTTGAACTCATCCATTCCAGGCCCGAACCACAATCTCCTCTGTTTATTTTTCACATTTTATCCTCCTCCTTGTCAGAGTATGACTGTTTCATTTCTTGCATGTTCTTAGCTGTTGTTTGAAATCTTCCAGATCAGATAATCACTTAGGGAACGAGGAAGCATGATGAATGATCATTACAAAGAAAGAGAGAGAAACAGTTAAACCAGCATCCATGTGTGTGTGAAAGCCTGGACACATGTCATTGTGATTACACAGTACAGGGTTTATGCTGATGTTGAACGCCACACAGTAATAATGCACTGTTGCATGCTGGGAATGCCCTTTACATCTTGTCTTTGAGCTAAAGTGGCCAGATGACACACACACAGCCAGACGCACACAGATGCAGAGAGAAAGAGTAAGAGAGAGAGAGCAGGAAAAACTACTGAAAAATGAATGGTACAAGATGGTGCAAGAAAATGACTCCGCGGACTGAGGACTCAGAGAGGGAGGCAGAAGATTAATTGATGTTAAAGATGTTCTCTCCCTTCCTGCCACGCTGACTGTACTCCCAGGGAGCAGCTTCTAACCCCTTGCAGCTCACAGCTCCAGATAAAACACCAAACTATGCCCTTTGGGGGAATCTTACTAAGCGCAAAGGAGGCTTGTGAGGCAGGAGAAGAAAAGTAATGTTATCTGAGTTTAACTAAGAGTTCAGCCACATCTTCTCAAAGACAGTAAGAGGGATAAAATGTCCAATCCAATGAAGCCACTCCCATTAGACCACATTAGAATAATTAATGAGTCTGACTCCAGCTCCCTAGTCTATAAACCTGTCCTGAACTCTCGTAATGATGACTGTGAGTTTTATGCTCATGCATGTGTGTATGTGTGAATCTGTTAGTGTGTATACCTCAGCTCGTCTTTAATAATGATAATATACTATTTACATAAAAGTCAGCAGGAGACAAGCACGTGTTGAAAGCAGATTTACCCCCACAACCACTTCTTCTCAGCTCCCTTTACAATCTTTACTTACATACTTTGATATCTCACAACCTCTTCATTGATTTATGTTTGAGACAACAGGAGGGGTGCTCCTCTTTGCGGCCATGTTTATTGCAATAAACACAGTGATATCTGTCATATCATATAGTTATAGAGAAGTAGAAAAACTCTTTCCCGATTCCCTCCATCCAGCATTAACTCAGACTGCTTGCTGGAAAGATGGGAGATACACTGAAGTCCCTCTAGCACATCCTGGGTTGCCCTTAGGGTTTCTCCCAAAATGACTGAAACTGCTTTGCCTGTGAGGGGATGCCTTGGGGGCAACTTTAACATAAGTGTGAACTGCGCCAATTGGCTCCCCTCAATGTTGAGTGAAACTGAAGCCTGCAAGGCTACAGAGAAACCTGATTGAAGCTGTGATCTCTGTCGTCTGCTCACAGACTAAAGCATGAAACAAAGTTGGGTGTTTTTTCAATGTTATAACACCATTTCTGCTTGCAAAGAAAGTTTGAATGGTGAAATTGACTGTACAGTGTTACGTGTTACACTAGCACATGATCACGACTGCATCAAGAGCTTTCCTGTTGAATAGAGCAAATATTTAAGCTCAGTAGGAAAAAAAATGCTCTGAATATGAGATATAAAAGTGGGTATATATGTGTGCATCTTTGCTCACCTCCTTGGAGTGTGTACTCAATGACGGGACTGCTGTAGACACCTTGGCCTGCTCCTGTGTAGGCAGCCACCTGGATCTGGTACTGAGTCCAGATGATGAGATCCTTTAGCAGACAGTAGTTAGTCTCTGGGCTGCTGATGTTCTTCTCTTGGTAGTCCCCTGGTAATCCCGCCAGACGGTACCTGCACGCAAATGCACACCAATACACTTGGAAATGTGTTGTAGCAAAGACCAGGGAGAAAAGTAAATATGCTAATTCGTAAGTAGAAATACTCACAGTTTATGCAGAATGCTTTCACAACCTCTAAAGTGTTTCTGTCTTTTGTAATTTATCAGTTTCAACTATAAAAGCATCCACCTTTTTTCAATCAGTCAACACAAAATACAACGAAAGTGACTAGTTAAACTGGTTATACAAATAGCCTATAAATGAATTGAAATACAGCTGTAACATCTTAGTGATTGGGAGAAGAACTGACTTCAGATTTTGGACTCAAGGTGCAGAAATGGAGAAGGTTACAAGAGCAATCCTGCAGCAATTCAAGTAACAAAAAAATAACAGTAGTTTCATTACAAACATGGAAAAATTACTTGGTTCAGATAACAGAACCTCAAAGAAAGACATTCATCAGTGCAGTTGTCCAAAGACAAACAAAGACACAATGAAATTAGTGCAAAAAGACAATTCCTTAGAAAAGGCCTTGGAAATGTTTAGCACCTGACTCCCTCTCAGACCATCTGCAGTATACAAGCTGCTGATTCCTCTGACCAGAGGAAATAAAGATTAAACCATTTGGCCACACAATCATCTCAGTTACACTCCAACCAAGTCATGTCACTTTGTGGGGATGATTTTGTGGGACAGGAGCTGAGAGACTGAGAGAGAGTGAGAATGATGAAAGGGAAGCAGAGAAATTATGAGAGATTTATCCAGGATATATGGCAGAGCCAAAACCTTTGAAAAAATGAGAAAAACACGGGGATGACTAAAGGAAAACACAGTGCCTCGTGAAAGTTTAGATATGACCCCAGCAGGACACCTCCATCTGTACCTGTTTAAGACTGTTTATAGAAACTCAGAGACTATCATAGCTGTCTGTAGGTGAAAAACAGTGTTGCCAGTCAACTAACTTATCTAATATTTAACTTAACATGGATGTTTTTGGATTATAAGAGAAAAGTATATGTGGAATAGCCAGACCCATACAGACACAAGGAAACATACACACTCCACAGTTTGTTTCACAAATCCTCCTGGTGTGAGGTGACAGTGATAACCACGACGCAACCCTGCAAAGAGCAACTGAAACTTGAGAATAGCAGTGAATTTATACTCATTAGCAAACCTGTGGAAACTAGAATATCTCTGCCAAGAATGCAGAGATGTTTCTGCAATCCAAGATGGTAGAAACTTCAAAAGATCCTACTAAAGGCCCCCAGGAGAGAAGTGTGCCGACTAAATACTGAGCGAGGGCTTTAAATACTTGAATTAATGCGATGTTGGACTTTTTAAATGTTGAAATTATGAAAAAAAGATGACTCAATCTGAAGCATAATAAAATATATGTATGTTTACTGGTATGGGCACTTTAGACAGAAGGACTTAAAGGATGAATGACTGTAATTAAATGTGCACACAAAAATACATTTATCTTCTGGTAATAGTGACATAATGCAATAATAGACCAGTATGTTTAGTGTATGAGCAATTTATTCATTACTCCCTGCATTATTCATAATCTCTTAATGCAAAAAATACATACAGTTTAAATATTTTTCTAGATGTGCAATGTCCATTTAGAAACCTCTAAAGACTGAAACGCTTCAGTGTCATCTCTGAGAAGTGCACCTTCAAGGCCTTTGCTCTAATACATGTGTTATAAATGTCCACTTAAAAAGATATATTACCCAACAAGACAAGGAGGTGGAATACTACTTGTACATATCTGATGGAGCTGAATGGAGTAATAATCCCCATGTCAGCATTTTAATATGACACCTAGCCACCGTAATAGGATATTCCAACGATTCACTGGCTGAGTCAGCCCTCAATCATACATGCAGACTGTACACACACACATAAAAGACACACAAACACAGATATGCTTAGTGAGGGGGTGCTGGAAGCTGACAACAGATCTCTGCAGAGGTGAGAAGATAACCCTTTTCACATGACACACTGACACACTGGGAGGAAGAGGAGTGGGGAGCTGGAAAAAGAGAGCAAGGATCTGGTAGTGGATAAAGACAAAATAAATTAAAAGAAAGAATTTAAAGGGGTGGGCAGAAGGAGGAGGAAGCTTTGTTTCCAAAAGTGAAATGATGCAGTTGGCATGTATCAGTGCACAGTTCTATTTTCCACTGATTTCTGAAGTGCAGACAGTGAAGGAGGATAGGGACCTGATCAGTTCCACTGCAATTACATGCAAATCTCGGGGGGGCAGCCGATGGCAGTTTGATTACACAGTGTGCCACACTTCAGGTAGACATAAAAAAGGAGGACAGTCGACTAAGAGCATCATGAGCATCTTTAAAGAGTGTTCTTCTGTTTGTGAAAGCATGTAATGCTGTATGATTTTTGGTAGAAAAGCTTCAAAATGGCATTTTTAAAAATACAACCCCATCAATTCAAATATGTTTTTTGATTATGGACAATACAGGAAAAAAGTGTCCAGCACAGAGGAAAATTTTTTATTTTGCCTTATCAACAGGTAAAAAAATAAATACAGTTTTGAAAGGGATGCTTTTTTCCCTTGAAGTAGGGAATGTCATTTTTGCATCCATACTTTTTCCTGAAAGATGAACTATGTTTTTGTGTACAGTGGCTGTGAGATGTAACATCAGTGAATCTTTTCCATATGTGATGAGAAAAATAAATAAAAACTCTGGAGATGTCGTGTGTTTTTTAAATAGATCAATCAATTTTTTCTGCGTTACTCAAAAATAAACTGGTTGTTTGTCTAAAAATAAAGCACCACTCAATGGCTTTACTACTATTAGACATGGATACATTACTTTGAGAGCAATTGCTGTGCTCTGACTGCTGTTCCTATGAAATTTGCAAAAACATATTCAAGCACGTGCTTATTACCTGAGGACATATCCTCGGAGGACTCCGTTCAGCTCTGGCTCTGGAGGAGGCTGCCATTGGACCATGATGGACTGGTTTGTGCGCCCACTCGCCACAATATTTTTGGGAGGTGCGCTGGGTGCCTCCTCCCGCAGCATTAACCTAAAACACACAAAATACAAAAATAAAGGCCAATTTAAGTTTAAATCCTAACTTTAATCAAGTTTATTAGTTGTGTAACCACATTAGCTGTCACTGTCTCTGGGTGTTCAGCCTGTGACTACATTACACGTAAACTCGTAAAACGTTTGGTGAGCAGATTTGTATTCACATTTGTATCTTTGATTGTGAAATTTGGTGTCGAGATGATCTGCAAATAATGATTTTTGTCACACCTTTTTTTATAGGGTCACTTGATTTGAGGATTTCTAGAAATCTTCAATGCTCATCTCCATGTTCATCTGTACGCCCTCATTTAGAACATATGTTTCAAATCTGCACCTATGCTGTTTAATTATTTCAATCCAATCTCCGTTTTGGCTGTCGCCTGAAGGCAGCATTTTAAATGTGACTTCCAGCAGATCTATAGAGGGAACGATCAAACTGAGACTTTTAAAAGTATTCATGAACACCATTCAATAAAACTGTCTTTGTGTTTCATACAGCATCAGATAAGCTGATCAGACAGCTATTTGGCATCTGAATCATGCAAATAACTGTCCTGAAATTATGAAATCGTTTCATAGTCACCTATGTTGCTCCAAATCACAACAAATTTTATCTAAAAGCACTTAAAAGGTGAAGTCTAACTCAAGATGATTATATATCCAGTACACAGTCAAATCAAATAGATCAATTCCACATTGACAGGATTCACACAGACCCAATCCAAAAAAGATTACATGGAAGCCTCAAGATGTTTTTATTTATGTTGCATTTGCATTATTGGTGGAATTGGTCCAATCTTTTTTGTTGTGAGGGAGGCAGTGTCACAGGAGGGCTTATAGAGCAAAAAGGTTAGTGCTAATCAGATAAAGCAAGAAGGTGTTATAATTCACACTTTTTTTCAAATAATTTGGATGGTTAGACACACGCTGCGGTGTATTGTACAGAACTTACGGATCTGCTGTCACAGCATCAGAGCCTGATAGTGCATTACTCTTAAAGAGGTCATCTGAAGTCCATGCTCTGATTCTGACTGGTCAGGACCCTGAAACTCTAAGGCTGTGGTTCTAATGTTGTGGCTGACATGAGACATGTGTGGGCAGCTTCTTTTTCAACCTAAACCTCGTCCCAAACCCCATAGCAGATGAGCTATACATTGTGACAGCAGAATATAGTAAAATCGCTATTAGTATAGAGTGAGGTGAGACCTTGTCTTCTTACTTCTAGTGAGACCGTGTGATCCTCCACTGGCTTTGACCTCCCCTTGTCTCTGCAAAATGTCTCTTCTTCTTTCTTTGATAATTTGAACAAGTTCTCTGTTTTTCCCTTCTCCATCGGCAAACTTTAACCTTTCATTCACTGTGTCCTTTGCCCTCAATTATTTCATCATTCTATCTTTTAGTCATCTCCTGCACTATTTCTCCAAACTCCCTCCACAAAATTCCCCTGTGATTAAAGCTCCTAGCCTTCACTTGACTGGTAAAGCACATAGGCTGAGCTGGTCAGCCTCTGGCTTTTCTGTAAGCAGCTCAGAAAACGTAATCAGAGCCATATGCACGAGCACAAACACGCACACAAATTTCTTCCAGCTTAAGACAGACTGCTGCATCTGAAGGTCTTTTCCCTTTCATGGATTATGTCTAAAGATTTACATTAGTCTCTACCTCCAAGCCCCCTCCTTCCCCTATGTACCCCATCTCCCCCTGAATGATTCTTCATAAGCTATCGAACCATTAGCTGTGATATGACTCCCTGTAATTGTGAGCCTGTGTCTGTATGCTTTGAAATGTGCATGCACGTCCTTGTGTGTGTTTGTGCGAGAGCAGGGGTGTGAAAGCTGTTAGCTAGAGACTTGCGCGGGTGGATATATAGCACACACCAATGGTTTTACAGCTGTGCTTTACTTCCATTAGGTTAGGCTCTGTCAGACACCAGGTGCTGCCGGCGCACATGCACACACAGAGGCACATGCACAGGCTAATGGGCCTTGTGTGAATGAGATGGGCATTAAGGCAGCGGTCTGGAAATGGGTTATATATAATTCTCAACTATGTAACTTCTTTTGACTGTAATTGATAGTACAGAATAATACTCATACACAAGCTTCCCCTACACAAACAACTACCCATTAATACTGTAGTGAACAGATGGAGTATTTCATTGTTTGTCTGCTAATAAAACACACTAATGTACGGGACTCAGTGGTGAAAAATCCCAGTGAACTGCCCTAATTCCTCTCCGACCATTTCCAAGTAAATATTCTTTATAGTGCAGGTTCAGCAGGAGGACGTCAACTTCAAGAAGAAGATTAAAAATATAAATCCCAGCCACTCCACTCTTGCAAAACTTCACATCCTACCGCACATACATAAACATTCAAACAGGTTCTAAAACCAAACAAATATACACAGTCCAAATCTTAATGCTGTGTGACACACTTTCTCGGTCCCGTTGTTATGAAGGAAAAGAGGACATTTCCAGCAGGAATTGTTCACATTCTATGGTCTGTGAGGGAAAGTACTTCTTTATGTGTATGAGAGAGTCCCTGTGCTGTGGGAATTAGGAAAAGTTTATCTGTGTCATCCTCAATAGTTTAAAGCCTGCTGGGTTTCTTCCTAAATCCATGTATACTTTTAAATTTGATGGCACTACTGGGTTGGTAAGTGACAATTCTTTTACACAACAAAACAGTTCAGATCCAACAGGAGGAAGAATCACTGATTTCAATGGACGGCAACACAAGAGATGTGTGGAATGACCAAATACATAGATAAACTTTTTTGTCTTTTTAAAATCTTAAATGATTTTTTAGAAACATGTTGGTTAGTTTTCCGAAGGTTAAAAACACTTAATAACAAAGAAAGAAAAACACAGTTATGAAAATCTGTCAGGTAAAAAAGAAAAACGAGCATATTCTCAAGGTGAATCAGAGCTAAACAAGCTGAAGCAAACACTTGGCCATTTGAAGACTAATAGCCGTTATACGAAAGCTATGTAATGGGAAATTGGAGAAGAAAAAGGAGATAACACAGGAAAAAATAAGCAGCTCCTGGAAAAGACAAAGATTTGATATTCGATAAAATAAAGGTGCAGCTCCTCAGTGACAGTTAAGGACTGTTTTGTGCATAATGACAATGTTACCAGAAAAAAGAGGATGTTCTGTATTAATTAATCATCAACTCACAAGTATCTGTGACATGAGGAAAGGGACGTTCTTCATGAATAGCTCCTCCTGACTTACTCTGAACCAGTGGCTGAGAGATTTAGTCTCCTAATTCTTCATTCATTAAATATTACCTTTATTATAATTCTTTTCAAGTGACATGAAGTAAGGCAACACATCATACAGAGCAGGTGTTACGCCACGCTTCGTTACTTCACTCATACTCGTATAATCATTACCCATTAGGACAGGTTTAGATGTAAAATGACTGGATGAGGGAAATGTAAGTGTCACATGTATAACAGAGCTTTAGCTTTACTGGACTAATATGGATTTGTGGAAGACACTCACAGTTAAAGGTTGAGTTGTCAGATAAAAAAGAAATCCTTAATCTTGAAACTGCTTTTACAATCTGCAGCGCTTTAGTGTTTTTTTAATCATAGTATCTAATCAATCATCACAATGCAAAACATTTGAATGGCATTCAGCCTTTTTATCTCCATGGAACAAAAGTGGTAGGTTAAAGGTTAATTAAATATCTTAAAGGAAATTTTCTTACACTCTTAGTCATCCTGTGGTGTCAGAACATACTCATTTTCAGATTTATCTCAATCTTAGGGTAGTTTAACTCGGGTTTATCTGACTTTTGCTTAATGGCTTTTTACACATGTATATGCATGTGCTGAAATATCATTTATATTCAGAGGTCACACTCATATCGTACTTCTATCAGTAGCATCTGTGGGATGTTCAACGTGTTCAGATGTTGTATCTGTTATGCCTCCTCCAAAATGTTCACTGAAATGGTGGGTGTTTGAAAAGACGTAGCAAGGACAAGGAGATTTTCTTGTTTTCCTTCCTTTTTATGCCTGCATGCTTTGAGGAAAGACCATGAACATTTCTGTACCATATCATGAAGTAAAAGAATCCCTCACTGCAGACACAAGAATAATTCAAAACCACGAACTAGAAAAATTTGTCAATATGATTTTTTGTACGAAGCTCCAAAAGCGTGTCTGGTTGTGAGAGATAGAAACTGAGGGACACAGAAGAATTTTTAGCACATTGCCAGCATTTTCACTTCTAACAGAACAACTGAAAAAAACGAATAAAATTACATGAAAAACATTAAGACAATTGTGTTAAAGTATTATGATGCCTGAAGGTCAAGGTATAAATGGCCTTTCATCTGCTAATGACTCTCTTCAAAAATGATAATGTTCTGAGTGTAAACAATGTCGCCAAGTCTGTAACACTCCAGGCGGCATGACTGCGAATCTTAAGAAGTGATTCTGCATTCAAATGTGTTCATCAGCTTTGATCTGCCTCTTTATATCCACCCCTCACAACTACTGTATCCATGTGAGCTCTTCTGAGTCTGGGGTATTTAAGTAGGAAAACCAATGGAAAATGAGGAATGAGGACTTCAAATGATACACAATCAGATGCTCTGAGAATAAATATGCCTGTTAGGAAGTTAAGAGCAAGCTGAGGTCAAAGTTCAATAAGGGTTTTTTGTCATCAATACTACAAGTTTCTCCTTCCTTTCTGTCTTGTTTCCTCATTCTGTCCGAATTACTCCATTTTGTCATCTGTCTCATTTGGCACTCGGAGTCTTTGCAGGACATTTTGCTCTGCTTCCCTCTGCTTGTGTGTTATTTGTGGCACGTGCCTTGGCATCTTTGACCACTTGCGTGCACGTCTCATCAAGTCGGACATGCAGCAGATGAAATGGAGAGTGTGCGTGGTTACGTATGGGACCAGTCCTGCAGAACAGACATATCCATCTGCTCTGATACTCTGACCAGTGATGACTCGTCTGTCTGCCAGTCTTTCATTTACTGAGGATCAATCCAATCTATTCTCCAGGGTCTCTGACTACAAACATTGGACTGAGAACTGGGTAGCAGAATGGTTGTTGGACAGAAACATTGGTGCATGAAAAAGAAGATCTAAATGAGAAGAGCTGTGATAAACAAGCGGACAAAGAAGAAAAGGAAGCACAAGTCAAAATTCAATGCACAAGAAGAAAAATAGATAAGAGAATGACAAAAGCTGAAAGAGGAAAACTGAATATGTGCAGTGTGTGGTGAAAGTTTTAACAGCTACTGTTGTTGCTGAGTGAATTTGGCAGAACTACAACTGGCATCTGTCTTGGTCCATCTATTCAGAATAAAACTCTGTTTAAGAGAGTATGTGCATGCCTGCTTTATAATGTGCCACTACATCGATTAGATGCTAAGTGAGTGTCAGAGATCTGGTGTATATTTGTTCTGAAGGCAAAATTGTTGTGAGGCCTGCAACGTCCCCTCTAACCCTCTTTAGGTCTGTTCGGTTCCATCAATGCTAAAGCATTATAATTACCCCATTAGTGTTTTTATCCTGGGACAAACACACAGAGGCACAGGAACACAAAGTCATCTGCACAATAATCTGTTTGCTTTTCAGGTAGGAACTATTTTTCTATTTTCTATATTTTCACACAAACAAACATACAGACCAATTATTTGAATTTCTACTGTTTAGTTCATCCTATGCATCGAAAAATAACTACCACCGAAACACACACACACACACACATATATGCACAGATACACGGAAATCAACAACATTGGAAGTTTACATATGGAAATAGCTATTAAAGGAGCTAGAATCTTTCCCTGTTTATCCTACCCATGATTATGGCAGCCTAGACAGGATATCACAGATAAAGCAAGCTTACATATACAAACTGGACTGTGGGTTTCACACATTGGGCTTTTAAATGAAAAAGGACCATTTTATTAATTCGTGCAAAGCATTGTGACTAAGTCTATTTCACACAGATGAAGAGAATCTTAAAAAAGGGAGAAAATAACACAAATCACATCAATCAATTTTCTAATAATAAATTGGTTGATGGTTTTTGGAAAACAACAATGAGATGCAGTATGGTATCCCTTTGACTGTGTTATTGGTGGAAGGGTTCCTGTGAAGGAGAAGTATGGTCTTACCTCTGTGTTTCAGCACTGTACTGACCCCTGCCCACTTGATTGACAGCACAGAGTCTGAACTGGTAGGTTCTGGCAGGTGTGAGCCCACCCACTGATACTTGGGTCAGTGCAGGATCAACCTCGGATAGGTAAACCTTCCACGGAGAGTCTAGACACAAGACACAAAGATTAGAGGCCGATAATATCTAGCTGAGGCAGGACAAACAGAGACACTGGGCCACAGGACCTATTAATCAAAAGGCAAAAGGGAAGGAAAAGATAAAAGTGGCACGTAATAGGAGGAGTGAGCTTTAGAGAAGCATAAAAGTAAGACAGTTTGAGGGGGAGAGGATGATTAGTTCAACAGCACAGATGCTGTTGTTTAGTGTTTCCAGCTCATCTTTCAATCTTCATGCTGCATGTACCTCAGACAGATGCACTGTTATCCATATTATCTTATCAGCCACATGTGCATGAGTGAGAAAGACAGGGTGTGTATTACAGACACAACCTTACATGAAAATTCCTTATATTAGTAGTGGCATTTTTTCCTTTAAAATACAATAAAAGAAGTTTAATATACAACATGCAGCAAGTGAGTAATCAGAGCGCAAAAAACTCCAATCCATTCCTCACTGTCTGGATTCATCCTTCACTGATATCGACCAGTCAATTAGACTCTCTGTATTCCTCATCTTTTTCCACACCTCTAACAGTAAAACATATTTTCTAACCTCTCTCTCTTAATGATAATATTTTTCCATCATGCTTTTGGGGAAAGATTCAGCAGGTCAGTCATTAAACGTTGATGGTAAAAACTTTTTAAAATGATCAAAATGAGAAAAACTGTTCATTAGTCCAGCTTCTCTCATGTTCTGTCTGCCTGACTGCGCACGTAAAGCTCCCCACACTGTCGCCTTAGCTTGCAGCTTACAGCCTTCTCCTTCCCATCTGCTTCTCCTGTCATTCTATTTCTCAGTCCCTCTACTTCTCCCTGTATCTCCCATTCAAATTTGACAGAGAGCCAGCCTGCTGTTAAAACATCTGTGGTGGAAAGGGGCTGGGCCTGAAAAGAGAAAGAGAGATAGACTAAAGGAGGGCGGGATAATAAGAGTTTATTGATTGGGAACCTGTGCATTTATGCTGCAGCCCCATTCACCATATGTCCGTCTCTTGTTAATGAGAGTGTGTCAGTAAGTGCCTGGTAGACAACAACTGGACAGCTGTTTGCCTATCAGGAAATATAAAGTATGCCCAGCGATGGACTTAAGCAAACACACACATACGTACTATTCTCAGAGAGCTCCAATACGTAGTACAGAAGAGGGGAGTTTCCATCGAAGGGGCGCAGCCAGGACAGGCGGACGGAGCGAGAGTCTGAGTCATTGAGACGAGCCGTCAGGGAGCGAGGAGAATGTGGCAGCTCACTGAACACAACACAGACAGAAAAAAAAACAGACATTGTTTACATTTTATTTCGCGAAATAAAACCTTGTTCCTTTTCGCGACTTTCTCCAGTGTGTCAGGAAAGGCCACAGGTGAATAAGAAACGGGCGAAGCAGTAAACGTCGCACGGAAAATTCTATTAGCACTTCCACAGCTTCCTCAAAAACAGGTCGCATTGTTGTTACATTCAAATGTAATGTTGTCTCATAAAAATTCACTCCATAGAAAGCAGTGATTTCATCAACTCCGACAGTAACCTCGTATCTTCCTTAATTTGGGTTGAATAATGCTGCCTTATAAAGACATTTGGCCTGTAAGAGGCATCCATGCTTGTTTCGTTTAGCATAACCATGTCACCAATCTCCTGGTCTGATAGACTGGCCTCCAAAATACAACATAAACGTAGAGACCCTCAAAATCCCAAACTTGTTCAGATTATTTCTTGACTACCACAGTTGCCACGGCGATTTGAAAAAGTCTCTTCTGCAAGCCAAGAAAAGTTCTGTCTGATCCCTACAACTACATAACACGACAATACTTTTTTTTTTACAGATTAAACTAACGAGATATAATGTGTTAATTAGTGAGCTCTGAACGCGTTGGCAGGGTCTTCTCTCTGAGATACTTGGATAAGCTGTTTGTGGCTATTTCCAGTTTCTGCAAAGCTAATGTAATTATGTGCTTGCTGTAACTTTAAAAGCACAATCACTATATGAGAGTGGCATAAATCCCCCTATTCCACTTTTGGACATATTTATAGCCATTTTTTGTATATTGGTAAACAGGGTCTGCCTTTTTTGCTTTTGCAACTTGTATACAACCCTGCATTAATATGCAGAGACCATTTATTAAACGAATGTTTCCTTTTCTGTGAGATGGTATTCTATTAAGCATGAGGCATTGGAATAATGTTGCCTCTGACACCCTAGTTAGCTCTTGGATCTGGTCCAGCATCAGTTCCAGACGGTGATATCTTTTATATATGGCTGTTGCTTGCACATTTCCATTATTTACATGCTCAGCATAAACATGAATATATCTCATCACATGTATTAAAAAGAAATTTCCCAGACATTTTCACACCTCCAGCAGATATTTGTGCACCCGTGCCATGGTATTTATAAAGTACACAATATTGATAAATTTATGAACGCAATAAAGAGAATTCACACATCTGATTACACCAATTTTAGTGTGTCTTGACTCTCTTGTAAATCTGATGGCTTGGAAGATAATATGAAAAAAGAGCGAAAGGCAGCAGGTGCAGGAACATTCGACAAAACCGAGGATGTTTACAAACTACATAAAAGGACAAAACAAATATATGTAACAGCAAACCGTGGTAGAGGAGATTATCCCTTGTGCCCAGACTCCCTGCATCTCATATTCATGAGCTTATTAATAATTTCTAAGCAATCACAGATGTGTGAATGTGCTGACCATGGTCTCTGCACTGATTAGAAAGCTCCTGTTAATTGCATTAGATAATGCAATTTTACTAATGTTTACCATGGTACTATTGCTTTTTTTTCTTGTCCAGTCCCACATTCACTACTGAAGTGGTCATGAAGCTATAAAGAGTTGCAGAGAGACAGAAAAACAATGAAGGGAAAGATGTTTTAGGGATGAGTTGTATAGAAAAACCAAGACAGCAGAGACTGAAGTGAGGAAGTAGCAAGGGGAATTGGACCCATTGTTTTCTTTTCTGAGCTGACATGACCATATTAATTAATGGATGAGCATAGCAAATGTTAGAGCTACAGTGATCAGCACCCCTCCCACAAAACGCATACACCCTCTCTGAGACATGAATGAGACTTGCGGGAGTTGAACCAATAACCTGCTCGTAATTAGTCTGTCTCCTCAGCCACCAGAGCCCGTTAGCCTCTTTGACCCGTTGATATGAAGCTAACGAGAATGTCAGTCACAAACATGGACACGTGCCAATACAGGCACACAGACACACTCAAGTAAAGTGTGGAAAGGAACTGTTTCACCCCCCTAATATTTCACACAGCTGTAAACACCGATCTGACCCTTACTTCTGTGTCTGACAAGAATAACCTCCTTTCTCTCCATTATTCAGAAGAATGTGGAGTAATGTTCTGTTTCCCACTCAATTACACATTAATAAGTGATAGGTTACTTTTATAAATATATTACTAAAGCACTTAATAATATATAAAGGCCACTACTTGCTCTGTTGCAGGAGGCGTAATGAGGCTGTATGAGCCAGAACCCAACATATTCTTAAAATATGTGTGTGGCATGTTTGAATGCAAGATCCAGTGTAAACGTTTTGAAAACTGCTCACTGAGAGAGTGGTATGGCTAATGAAAATAGCTCGCTCCTTTGGTCGAGTCGACCACATGCACATAGAACTGATACAAACCAACACTCCAATATTTAGGTGTGTTAGCTTAACACTAACAATAGTGTTAAGCTAACACACATCATTGTACACTGTACAATGATGTGTTGTTCTGATCGATTACCGTATATCTTTAATTTGTATTCAAAAAGCCTCCACCAGACTCCTAATGCAAATAAAATGTGTTTCTTTCTGTGTGACGCACTGTTGAATTAGAATCTCTGTTGTGTTTGATAATGAGAGGAGCAATTTCAGACAAAGAAAAAAGAAGTAGCATAGGTAGTGCAACATAAACAGTTCGTTCAAAGCTAAAGATTCTGGGGCAGAAATTATATATTTGATTTGCTATGTTTTCATTTTGTTTTTCCATCGGACAGAGCTAAAAGCTTGTATTCTGCTGCTAAAGTAACCACATGCAGTTTTCTTAATTCCCTAGCCTCACCAGTCTGTCCATCTACAGCCTCAAATACTGGAAAATCCATTTCCTCTAACTCCTTGCTTCTTTTCTGTGTTGCACTAATTCAAATAAAAGGAGCTTTTGTTTAACTGTAATTATTACACACATGAATGACCGACCAACTCCAAGACCTGCATTTACAAGTGGAAACTATTTCAATTTTCCTCTGTTAGAAGGGGCATGGAGCCAGGCTTTCATATTGTTATATATACAGTATATATATATATATATATATATATATAAACAACACTTTTAGACATCAATACACAAGCATGAATGCCTTGATACCATAAACAAATAGGTTATACTCTAAGGTCTTTGTGGAATAAAAAAAAACTAAAAAATAAATGGAACTTTAAAATCTGAAAAAATACGCTTTTGTTAAATAAGATATGGGGGCTGTTATTCTTAGAACTCACATGACTTCAAGACGGACAGTGTGGGAATCATTGCCAGCTTGTGAGGAGACAGTGCAGGTGTAGTCCCCGATGTCACCTGACCATGTCTGTCCAATAGTGAGAGATCCCTGCCGCACAGCCACACGGCCACCTCCACCTGGAAGAACCGGCATACCACTGCGATCCCAACTGAAGCTGCAAAAGAGGTGGTGCATTGGTATTTTAGGACGAAAGGTATGAGCAAAACTTTGTAAGTTTAAAAAAAAGCATGTCATTAAGATGGAAGTGAGCAGATACCTGATATTGATTCTGGGATCATGTGTAGCATTACAGTGCAGAACAGCAATGGTTCCTTTGATAACACGCTGGTCAGTTGGTGGCACTGAAATGACTGTGCGACCTAGAGAACATTACAGAGAAAAATACAGAGAGAGACGGAGAGGGAGGGAGCAGTGACATACATTTAATATTCTGCTCTTAAATCATAATAAGTGAATCTCTCTTGTTTAACATGCGTCAATGAAAATGTATGGTGCTCAAAAACAACAATATGGCAATTTGTGCACAGGAACCATCAAAAATATATAGGACTCAAGCATACTTCACTAACACTCAGACACCCACATGCGCACACTTATCCCACAGTCTAACAGTTTACTGATGCTTCGGTCCACTCAGGTGTTCGATATGATTTAGAGAATAAAAAGGTGCAATAATGAAAAATACAGGCTGATGCAAAGAACAGGCCTCTGTTATATCGCTAACATCATAGCACATCCTAGATGTGATCTACAAGTTAAATAATATACAAATGAAAACCGAGGCTGGAAATCTGCAAAACATTCTATTATCTGATTGATTAAATATTGATTGATTAACCATCCCATGACTTGGTTAATAAAATTAATATTTTCTCTGCTGTAAAAGCTAGCTGCATTGATTAGTGGGTGTACAGCTGTTTACCAGCTGTAAAATGGCGGTTTACATCTGTCTAAGTATCTTTAGTAAATTTATATTGAGCTGTGTGTGTGTGTGTGTGTGTGTGTATGTCTTACTCCAGACAGTGAGCGTAGCGGTGGCATTGATGGTTCCCTCTGAGTTTGAAGCGATGCAGGTGAAGTCACCTGAATCCTGGAAACTGACAGGTTGAATCTGCAGGCCACCTGACTGCAGCAGCGTGAACCTGGGAACTTGGAACGAGCCGCTGGCCACCACCTGTGAGCCTGCAGAGTAAGAGAGCAATACATTCATCTTGAGGGAAGGAAAGGAAGTCAGTCATTATGCACATTTCTACCACAAACAGTCAGTGTGTTTGTAAGGCGCTCTGAATGACATGTGCCATCTTATGTGTGTTTACTGTGAATCCTGTACCTTTTCTCCAGATGATGGCAGGTTTTGGAGCTCCGGTGTTGTGGCAGGTAAACAAAGCTGTGTCGCCAACGGTAACTATTTGGTCAGAAGGGGGTGATGTAAATGTAGGCGCCATGCCTGAAACACAGGGGAAGGGAGGCAGAGGACAAAATACCAGGAAAAGAAAAGAAAGAAAAGAAAAAAGAAGATTAGATCAAAAGGATGAGTGTTGATCACTAAATACTAATTCAGTCTCTCTGATCAATGAAGGCTTTATTCACTTCCTGGTGCTATGTGTACATGCATAAATGTGGACAGCAGCAGTGTGGAGGTGACAAAAATTCCATAAATCCTTGGAAAAGCTCTCTAAACAGTATGTAAATCTGCAAACCATCAGGTCAAAGTAGTGTTCAGCTGATGCTGGCAGCCAGTTTAATTTACTGAAAAGGACCTGTTTTGTCAAGTGCGGCTATGACTACATGGTGATATGACCAAAACCCATTAAAAAGAATCACACCTTAATAATTTAGCTGCAAATCAGATTTGCTTTGCAAACTAAGCGATCCTGAGGGGAAATTAAAGTTACATTTTTACATTTAGGGTCACACCAAATGATGGTTTTATTGTTGTCAAATCTTCTAAACCTCTTCACTATGTCAACTGAGTTGACCTTAGGCAACCTCAGGCTTTAGGAAACCACTGGAGTGTTACACTAATTGGTTAATATCGTCAGTGGACATGATCTGTGGAGGCATCTCTACTTGTTTATATCAAAAGACTTCATCAAAGGACATTGTGCAGTACAATTGATCGGAGGTAATGCAGAAATAATGACATCACACAGTCTGCAGTGCAGTTGGAGCATTTCTATTTGCAGTGGTTGGGTCACTGCACTTATCAAATTGTAGCGCAGAGGCCACAGCGTCAATGTCACTGAAGGTTTAATAATGATGCTCGTCATCATTGACCAAACTTGTCTCCAATAACTAATACACTACATTAAAAAAAGTTAGAATATAATATAAACAATATATGGGTAAGTGCTGCTATTTACTGCAGCCGTTAAAATAAATTGTTACATACTGTATTTATGTCAATGTAAAGTCAGATAAACGTAAACAGGAACAGTTTCAAAAAACAAGTAGAAAACAAGTAGAAAATCACACAAAATAGGAAAGACCTCAGAAGAAAGTCACGATGGTGTCTGCTTACAAGTACTGTAGAGTAAATAGAACATGTCAGACACACTCACTGGAGACAAGGAGTTCTGTGTGAGCTAGAGTCTCTCCGGCAGCGCTGTGAGCAAAGCACTGGAATATTCCTCCATCTCCAGGCTGCACTCTGCGCACCGTCAGCCCACTGGCTGCGCTGACCTTATAGCGGGGGTTGGCCAGTTTGGAAAGAGGCACTGCGTCCTTATACCAATCAATTCTAGGCTGGGGCACGCCTACATATATGCACGTACAAGAAAAACAAACATAAAGGGACAACATTGAGGTTTTCTTCATAACAGTCCAGTTGAACTCACTGTAGAGCCCACTGCAATAACTCCTACGACATAAGGCATGCACTCAATTGTCAGAAACTTTTCTCTGTTATGCTTTCTGGCTTTATAAATATTCAAGTGGGCATGCTGAGTATTAATATTATATTGATTAGCAGGTGTAGATTACATAAAAAGGGTGGCAGAAGGGGCCAGAAAACATTCTAAATAAAAGATGTAGATAAGTTAAGTACACCAATCTGTAGTACAGGCATCCACCTCTCTGACCGACATGCCGGATATGGCGGACAGGAAAGTCATGCAATTACTCTGTCTCAAACTTTCACACTTTTTGAGGGGGGGGGGGATCAGACTTTTTCTAAATCTGTTGGTGTCAAGGTTTCATGGGCATGTGTGAAATATTTTCACCTTACTCACTTTGTCTTTTCCTCCCTCCTCATGCCTTCTCCTAGCCTCCATCTCCCTCTATACCCTCAGGCCTCTGCTATTTAATTACACTGCCACTGTATCAGATTACTGAAGAGGAACATGAACTCTCTGCGTGAGTGTAAGAGAGGGAGTGAGGGGGAATGAGAGGGGTGCACGTTACAGTTTTACAAACTGTGTCCAGCCCCTTTAATGTTTAAGTGTTTCCATGTAATCCATTTAAAGATAAGAGTTATGGACAAGTGCAATTTCTTACCACGGTCTTAGTGTAGTGTTTTTAAACTGTCAAATGCCCAGTGCCACGGTCCATGAGGCCCTCTGACTAAAGTACTTATGCTGTAAACTGAGTGATGCTAACCCCTTGTGTTAGGTAAAGTGGACACAAACTGGATGGGAAATACTTGTAGAAATAGAACCAACAACTGCATCAAAGCATATGGTTTAACAGGTAAAAATTAAGGTTGTTTTTGCGATGAGCTTATATTCTGCCTAAAACAGTGAATCATTTTCTGCATTTGATAGGTTCAATGGGAGATTTGTGAGTTATTCTGTCTACATCTGTCACAGCCTCACAACTTACTTGAAGTTGGTGTTGAACTTCACAATTTATTAGTACATTCTTTTAATCTGGACTCCTTCATCTCTATGACAACCAGATGTGATCGGACAAGCTTGTTGCAGTACAATTCCATAAAAGCTGTCTAAGTGACGAAACCCATTTCGTTTAAAGACAAAACAAGTATATACATATATAGTCCCACAGACAGGACAAGTATACCTGAAGCCTGGCATGGAATCTCTACATTTCTGTCAAGATCAGCAAAGATCTTCTCTTTGGGTTGAACAGTCAGAGAAGGTGGTTCTGCAGAGATAAAAATGTGAGACAGAATATGTAAAGCATCCATTTTCTAAACATATTCTCTCGCAGCTTTAGATCAAATGACAAATGAAATGAACAACTTCAAACATCACTAAATTAAACTTTTAGAACTTATCTCAGAAGTGTCTGAAAAATGTCAGTATTTGAACAAACAAATTAAGAGGTTTGCATGGATCACAAAAAAAGTACTATTAGTATTATTCCAAAGTAATGTCCAAATGCTGACACAAGTAAGGAGAGGGAAAAAAGCAACCCTTATCTTAATGTGAATATGAGCCTCGTAGTGTTTTAAAGTAAAGCACAATTAAATTATAAATACATGTATATATCAAGCACTGCTATACATGGTCCATTTCTTTAGAAATATTTTCATTTATTAGCAGAAAATGTTGACAGTGAGAATATGACATGAAAGAGAGAAAGAGGATGTGTATTTTGTTTTTTGCCTGGCATTTATGGAGAAGAAGCTTCATATTGTTGTGGCCACGGCTCACTAAAATATTACCTTGGATGAAATCAAATGTCCAGTGTACAAACTTAATGATTAATGTGCCTCTTGTTTTTTCAAAGGTTTATTTTGTAGTAGGTAACTTTACAGAAATCCAATTTCTGGTTTGATATCTGTACAGCAATAATAAACAAGCAACAATTTTTCTGACCCTGTGTGGTCATCTTAAAGCAGCTGCACTTTTAAGGAAAAATCCTTTTTTTGTTTGGTTTCAGTGCTTGTTGCAACTTAAAAGCCGACAAAATAAATGCATAAATAAATTACTTAAAGAAGAATCGTATCAAGAAAAGTTTGACCCCACTGTATGTGTGTAAGATAGTCCAATTACACCTTCTGGCATTATTTCTTGCTTCCATACAACCAGGAATTCAAATGGATTTTTTTTTTTTTTTTTTATGTATTTGTATCAGGTAATCTCTCCATGGTGCTCTGACACATTCAGACTATAATCATAAAATGTCTTGTTTAGATCATTCTTGTCACATCAGTAGTACGGATTATTTTGTTTGTGTGCGTCCATCACATTAAATCTTAAAACAAATACTTTCACCATTTCAAAGCGTTAGATTAAAACTTTAATGGGGAGAAATACTCATAGGCTGGTACCTACATCTATACCACAAATCTGTTGCCATTCACTTTTCTCTAAAACTACTGCATAGTGCAACTTTGAAAGAAAATGAGAGAAGCATGTAGTAGGTCGCTTAAGTGTGAGATAGAACTGGAAATACAGTGAATAATAGCTGTGTAGTGTGACACTGATCAAACAGAGGCATTCATCCCTTTCTTCACCCAAGTGACTAAAATAAAAAGATACAGATCCACAAAAAAGAAAGATTTTTTTTGTGTGTGTGTGTGTTTTAGGTGGCTAGATTTACATCTTTGAGCTTTGGTAGATTCCCTATTGTCTGTCTTCAAATCAAGGGTAGAGAACAACAATAAGTTTACTGTTGTTTGCAGCAGTGTAGTAACCACCACAAGGCTGCAGAGTCATACATATTCCAATTATAGGATTGGCATAAAAAGAAATACAATTAAATAATGAATACCTTTGAGCCTGTTTTTTCCATTCTCACAGAGACACATGCACTATTATTTTAGGGATTTTTTTCATTACCTCAAGGTCTGCTGAGTCAATAGCAGAAAAAAGAGCAACACTATTAATACATTAATCAATCTTTCCTTATTTAAAACAAATTAATGTATGCAGACTTTGTTTCTGTCAGCCTGTTGACCTAATGAAGGGAGATTTATAGGTGAGGGGACACAGAAATGAAGAGGCAAGTACATGTTCAACAATTGGTGCTAGATGCTGATGGGGGCACAGATGAATGCAGGATGAATATTCAGGCCGGACAATTCTGACTAGTAAGTATTCTGTAAGCATGGGTAGTTCATATTCACTGTCTAGGTGCTCCCTTGCTCCAAAAATCACAGCGATCCAAAAATAAAAAAGACACTGAAAAACTGGGGGGGGGGTTTCGCTTCATCAATCACAAACTCCCAGCTTGCTTGCTTGTTTTCTATTTATGTGCACATACTGAGGACAGGAGTGGATTGTTACGAGAGCACTCTTGCTTGAGCACTTTCCATGTTCTCCTATTAATTGGCAACTCCAGGGAGCAAAACTAATTTAGTTGCTGGGCAAATAGGCTCATGTGTCTGCACTGCAATTTAATGATAGTATCTAAGCGGGACATACAGACAAATACATTTACATGAATGCAACAGCTGCTTGTGACCGCAACAGACATTTCATTGATGACTGTGGAGAAAAGATTCAGCTTGAGTAGCCCTGTAGTTGACAGCTATTGCCTGGGGTGTTCACAGTCACACTTCCAGGAGAAAAAGTCAAATGAAATGGAGGAATGAACAGAAAGGAATAGAGCCCCAAGCAAAAAACAAGACACAAGAACAGACACAAAGCGGGGTTGAAATTAATCACATGATGAGGGCATTAGTGGGCCTGCCGTGGACAAGAATGGATAATGATGTTGGAAATTTGAAGTTTACTATTAATACTTATGTTAAATGGACATAAATCTGTTATCACAGCCACTTTGCAGTGGTTTGTCTTGGTTTTGTGGATGAAAGTCCCTGAATGATAAATAATTCAATTTCAGTAGTAAGACACGGTTTAATATTAGGTTGAGTTTTGATAAGTGGTGGTCATGGTTGGGGTCAGGCAAAGTCTGCAGGTGATGAATCTAAGTCTCTGTTCAGACCTGGCACTGGTATGCATCCTGAGTGTTCCAACAACAAGAGGACATTGCCACGTACAAAGGTGATGACACGCAGGATGTGTGGAGGATGGAGTCAGCTCAGGTCACTAAGGCCGCTTTCAAAGGTGGTCTGGGACACGTTCATCCACATTCATATGATAATGTGAATTAAATCTTTTTCTCAGGACACAGACAGATCACCTATTGGCCCAAAGTGACTTGAGGCAACCATAAAGATTACCAATTACCTTAAGAATTTAATGCAGAGTATAATTAACAGAAAACCTCCTGGTGAGCAGCATTGAGCATTGTTCATGAGCTTGAGTCCAGGAAGTCATCTATTAACAAGCCCAAAATTAAACTAGCTCACTCACAACTGGCTTGGTGAATTGATGGTTGATGAAGGCCAAATGCATATTTATGCGGCAGAATTTGCTACAGTTGCCTGTGGATACGAGCTCCTATAGTCTCAGGCGAGTTGTCAGACAGGAGCAAAAAGAGCTGGCTATATTTTTGAATTGCTGCATAAGGAATGTTTACATGCAAACAGGACTTTCGAGGGACAATAAGAGAAAGATAAGATAAGGTGCAGTTGGAGATGCTGCATCAGCAATCTAAGAGAAAATATAGAATGAATCATTTCTGGGCAGAAAGTTTGACTAAACTGGATGACTGGAATCCGTGTCCATTAAAAGTTTTAGTCAGGAACATTTTCATCAGTGGATTGTAAAGAAGCTCATAGGCAAGTTGCTGGTAATATATTCATTGCCACTGTATTGTAAATTGAATAACATCTTGAGAGGGCACTTCAGCATTAGGTGTGAACAAACTTGCTTGGTGGTGGTTTTCATTGCAAACGGATCCCCCAGACTGCCGATAAGCACCAAATAAGAAGGGTTTCTAAGTCTGTGTCTTCGGAAAAGGTGGAAACATGACTGTGTTTGTGAGCGGCAGGATTATTTCTTACCTATTACAGTGAGGTGTACTCTAGCCTCTGTGGGTTTGGCAGTACTGTTGCTAAGCAACGCTTCACAAACATATAAACCAGCGTCCATAGCGGTGGTGGCAGGAATGATTAGTCGACGCCCACTGGCCAAGAGACGCCCATCGCGTTTCCACGATACCACAAGGCCTTCAACTGGTCTAAGAAGAGAGAATACATGAAGACACAAGAGGAGCAAACAACAACAGTGAGGATTAAAGGGGAAAAAAAGGAAAAGGGTGACAGAAGGCAATTACAACATATTAAATCCATCAGTTTATTTGTCAATGAGGCAGAAAATGAATGATGACAGTGTGTATATCAGAGCAGTCAGCTCTACTCAGCATGAAGTAGCTTTAGTCAGTTATTCTAAATGTTGAGAAAGGAAATGGGTTTTCCTGGAAATAAAATTTTCTTTAGGATAAACAACATCAAAACATCATTCCTTTGTGTGTGGCTACAGCATCAATGCAGCACGGCATGGGTTTATGGAAGTGTTTTCTCAGTGTGTGCACATGTGTATATTTTCTTGCAGACTTAAATTTGTACCCGCTTTAACTTACCAACGGGCTTTGACAGAAAAAAATGATCCTGTAAGGACCAGCTGAAACTGTGAAACAGTGAGCCAAATACATAGCAAATATGTTTTTAACACAATTAAACTGATTACGGTGATTATCACAAAACCACCGTTTTAACAGTAATAAAAACCGCAATCACACAAATTAAATTAACAGTAAAGATTAGAGACATAATGTATGTATGATTCTCACAAATGTCATTATCTGTTAAGAGGTGCTACAAATAATAGACTTTTAAAGTTATAATTCAAAAGTAGGAAGCTAGGAAGTGTAGGAAATGCAAGATCCTCTATTGATTCATGTTCCTAAACCTTTGGCTCAATATGCAGCAACATACATCTGTAAAGAGTAAATTAAGACAAAATATTCAAAAGCATCATTGATCAACTGAGAGACAAACTGAGAGGGTTCAGTTTTTGGAGTCTTAGTTGATATACTTACAGACAAACAGACTGTAAAGTAACTAAACATGCTGCTACACCAATATGTTAAATCTGTTTTCTATTCCCTGAAGCTACAGGTTCTGGTTTCAAGCCCCAAAAAGCAGACCAATAATCCTTTAATAAGTGGCCTCACAGCAATACGTGTTTTCAGCCAGGCTTCTAATCATTTCAGTGCTCTACTAGTGGTGCAAATACACTTAATGGTAATTAACAACTGTGGAAAGGAGATGATTTTAGACTTGAGCAAAGCATTTGATATAATTGATAAAAAACTTTTAGCTCAGCCAAAACTTGGCAATGTTACAAAATAAGTTCTCTGGATTGAGTTTTGTGCTTAATGCTTTTCTGATAGCACAAAACAGGGATATTAAATCCTGTCAAAAACACCATGATAGCAAGCAAGAATTATGAACTGAATTTCTATTGATTCAAGAAAACGTGTGTCAAAACATTAGATTTTTTTTAACACTTTCCAGCACATATACTTTGAAAGTGTTTCCTTATCATTTTTAAAAACCTTTATGTCGTCGGGAAATGAGACCTCATGAGATTTATAATATATTTTCAGAAGGTCCTGGGCAAGAAACACAACTGCTCGATGAGCTGTTGCAGACACAAACAATATGTTTGAGCAGTGCAGATAAACTGCAGATACAAACAGCTATAGCACAGAAAAAACATCAAAGTAACCATGCCAATGGCTTGAGTTTGTGTGAGTTTGCTGAGCTATGAGTTTATGTGGCAGCCTCTAATTGCCCTGGGAGAAAACAGTGCTGTCTAATGTGTGTGTGTGTTTGTATATGAATGAGCACAAAAGAAATTTACCTGGCATTAGCAATGCACTCCAGTGTAGCCTCTCTTCCAGCCACTACTGTCGTGTTATTTGGTCCAATCACAATTGCTGGAGCCACAAGCTCTGACTCAGGATCTGCAACAGAGAGAAAAAATATGAGAGGAAGTTCAGCTCATAAATCATACTTGCACACACAGCAGCATAATCTCAAACACAGATCATAACAGTCTCCCACACAATCAGCCACACTCTTTTACACATGAGCAATCATAAACCTACTAATGAACAGCTCTCTTTTCAGAATACATATTATTACAGAGTACACACACATTGTTAATGTCCATTGTGTTTAATTAATCAAGTGCTGGGCTAAGGCTGCCCACATGTTGGACAGTGCAGTGGATTGGTTAAATGTCTGTTGTGTTGTAGTTTATGCCCAGCCAGAAGAGGACAAAACTTAAAATGCCTCTGTGAAAAGATAATAAAATCTAAACTAATGAAGGAATAGTTAGTGAAATACTGTTTTGCTCAAGGAGAATTATAAAGTATTGTTTTGGAATATAAAAGTGGTACTTCATAGAGCTGGTTGGAGGTTACCGTTGATATATGTGCAGTTGACCAACGTTCTATCAATTTGATCCACAGCTTTAGTCAGAAGTTGGAAGCAAGATGTTCTCTCTTCTTTTAAACCATCATCTATCCAAAACTAACTAAATATTATGTTGGCAAACATAAACGCCTCTATTTTATATGATATATTATTCTTTCTGTCTTAAACAACCATCCATTACAGGTATAATGATTTGTCAGAGACAGTGTGGCAGTGTGTGACTTACAATGATATCTTCAGAAAGGTGTACAATGATTCGAGTATTGGAACATAGATTTATGGCCTAAATGGTGTGTGGGAGAGTGTTGGTGTGAGCATGATATATTGTCTGAATGGCCTTACATTAAAAAATGTACTCACTCAGACTGTTAGCAGTTTGCAGACAACCATAGTTACAATAGTTTTATTCATTACAAAAACCTGAAGAAGAGGCCACCGGAAAAATATTAGTTGATACTTTACCATCTGTAAAAAGCCTGCTCACAGATCATACATCACATTTAAACCACTGGCAGATAAAGCTTTCATCACAGTATCTGTTCAGCCGTATTGGTGACAATGAATCTGGTCCTTATTAACCAGCCACTGGTCCTCTTTGTTAATTTATACCTACCAAATCAGTGTGGTTTAACATATCAAACTGGCGTTCAATCAATGTCACTGGTTGAGCATGCCACCTTTTCTTTTGATAGTACTTCTCTGGCAGGCTCAGAGGTGTATCTGCTTTGTACTTTCGCACTTCCCACTGATGCTCAACAAAGGAAGACAGAACAGTCGCATCCTGAAAATGACATCTAATAAAAAGTTGAAAGACTCTAAGTTGTTTGTCCGACATTAAAATTGGGGTGATGGCATCCCTTTGCAGCGAGTCCGATCCACAAAGACCTCATCCAGCAACCCACATGAGAGGGATCAACTCAGTGTTCACTGTTAGGTTAGGTTGTTGTGCCTTATTGGTGTACAGTAGTGAATATGTGTGTGTGTGTGCATGTATATCACTGGGTTTGTACTGCGTTGACACTGAAACTGATGAATATGTAGATTTCCAATAAGGTAGAGTAGTGAGTACAAATTAACAGGCTGGTTCTGATAGAGGTTGGGGGGGAGGGGAGTGAGTAGAAGGAGAGAAGGGGTTTTGTGGGAAGGTGTGTGTGTAGGGGGGGATCAGCTTTGATCTCTCCTTTGAAGGAAAGGAGGAAAAGGTGGTAATTGACTCAACTCTTTATTCCTCCTTCACATTCTCTCTCCTTTTTTTTTTAATCAGAGAAAAAAGCACTGAAAAGCCAGATCTCACTCTCATGCGGGTGTGTAACAAGACTTGTGGATACAAGCAGACAGGGAAGCCGTGGCAGACAAACCGACAGAATTGTGCGCTCAATACTCTTGACATCTGCTCTTACTTCAACTAAAGGAAGAGGTTGAGTCATTAATGAAAAGGAATAGTGATCTGAGAATAAAACCAAAAAAATGAAGGATTGGTGTTTTAAGATGAGGTCCCCATCAGTGTCTTTATATTTTTTATATTTTCATATCTTTAAATTCTTAAAGCCATCTTTTTGTTGCCATCTATTACAGATGAATATGCATTCTGAGAACGATTAGCAGCAATATGGTTTGAAATACACCAATTTTAGCCTGCATTTAGCTTGGGCTAAGTGTGCATATTTAATGTCATTGCATGGTTTGAATGTTCCCATCTTGTCGAAGTAAGGATTGAAAGTACGAGTGGGTGTCAGACATAAGTTATGATGACATGAGGTAAGACAGAGGGATGATGGATAGGCCGAGTTTGAAGAGGGGAGAACAAGAGGAAAGTGTCCATTAGCTGTCTAGTGTGGCAAGCAAAGGTCAGACAGGGACTAGTAACCATCAGTGCAGCCTTAATGGCTGCAACTGCTATAGATAATAAGAGCAAGGTGACGTGATCCCAACTGATTAAACAGGACAATGTGTCTGAGGGAAGAACAGAGACAAATCAGAACAGTAGAAACACTAGTGCGATATGCAACAACACTTGGGAAAAGACAAGGGCTTGGATGAGGGAGAAACTGCAGAGTGCGTATGCAAATGGGAAAAAGTGAGGCGGACGGTGCAGATGGTCTTCCTCGGAGAGTGACAGACATGATGGTAGAAAAAGAGGAGAGAGAAAATGCCATACGGTTGTGTGATCCACGCTCTTCCTTTCTCTCTAGTAGCGTGTCTAACATCCTCAATCTCCAGGGAAATATATACAATGTTATCTCATCTGTATCTCTTGTTTCCCAACTCCATTTCTCACTATCATCCTCTCATCCTCTCCCTTTAGTGGTTTAAGCTAAGATTAATGAATGAATCTTCTTGAACTTAAACAAGTGAACAAATTCTAACCAAAAGACAAGCTTACTATTTATTACAACAGTTATAGTGTAAGAAACATCAAAACAACTCTCGGGGCTGAAAGGCTTCACTAAAGAAAAAGACATTAGACAAAAAGGGGGCTATTAAAGCAGTTAAAGAATAAATCACAAGTGATGTTAAAGAGAAAAAAAAGCATAAACCATGTGAGTTCCTGTAAGTGTATGTGTGTGCACACAGTTGTGGGCAAAATGAAGCTACATAGAAGATCCAGTGAGGCATTGCAACGTTACAATCCTCTTGTCGGTGCAATCATTGCCAATTGATGGTTAAATGCTGCTGAGGTGACACAGCTGTGGGAGGGTGTGAAAATATGTGTGTGTATGTGTGAGCACCATGCAGCTGAGGAAAAAAACTGCAAAACAAATCAAAGGTAGGAAAAATGAAAAAGGGGCTTGGTTAAAAGAGAAGGTGAAGTTTTCCGGCACAGCAGAAACAGAGATAAACATAATCGAGAAATATAGAGGAAATGCTATTTCATCCACAGATTACAAAATAATCCATCTCTGAATGGATTCGCTCAGATTACAGCTTGTTCTTCTATTAAATCTTACACTCAACTCCCAATAGTGTCAGCAAGCCAGGCAGAGTGTGTGTGTGATGATCTGTGTTTAAGCCTTTTATACAAATCTCTCCAGAGACCTCAAGAGCAGAGGGATTGGCTGAAGGATGGGCACACAAACACATCTCTGAGAGAAAGCAAAAATCAGGCACACATACAAACACAAATTTACACAGCCTGGTGTTAGCCCACTGTATTAATAGAGTTGTCAGATATGTGTCTGCAGGGTTTGCAGCCAACTAATACATATCACACTGAGATCACATACAAAGCCCAGAGACAAAAAGTTTGAGAGGAAAGAGGAATGAGGGACTGTGAAAAAGAAACCAAAAAGTAGATAGCAGTGGGAAACTGAATATGAGATTTGAAATTGTTATTTTAAATATTTCTCTGAGTTTTTTTTTGTTTTTTTTTGCAGAGTATATAAAAATAAATTGAGAGGAGAAGGTGATCATCTGCTGATCTCCCTTGAGGATGCTGCAGAGAGTGAGCGAGAGGTGAGGGGTTTTTTTTTGTTCCACTGCGCTCATTAATGCTTCCTGCTGACAGCCAAGTGTCATCATTGCAGTACACTTGCCTTAGAATGGCAATATAAAACCACAAACCAAGACATACCACACGGAAACACTCAAGACACACAATGCCATACCACAGCAAGAGTTGAGGAATCAAGCCCCAAGGGGAGACACACACAGACAATTGGGAGCAGAGAGAGGAGGGAGAAAAGGTGCCTGATTTCAAATATGCATTCCCTCCTTCAGCTGCCGAGCCCTCTCTCAATCTTTGTCATCACCGCATACAAGTAAGGAAAGGAAGAGATTGAAAAGCAGAGACAAGTGAGTAGAAGACACATGAATGGTGAGGAAGAGCAGGAGCTGTTGTATGGAGAGCTCTCAATGATAATATTATCATCGTATTAGTTCAGATTTTTAAGATGCTTGACAACCCAGAATGACATAATGAGGTGGCATTTCATAATTACAACTCTGAAATATGAGCATGCATGACGGCTTTATGCTTGTAGCATTTTTTGATGCTCCGAGGGAAAAAAATAAGATAAATATATCTTTCAACAGTTACTGTAAAACAACTTCAGCATATGGGACTGGGTCACAGGTGTTACTTCATCTGAAAACAGCTCTTAAAATATTTTCCTTATAGTAACAAAATGTGAAGAGCACAAAAATACTTCTGTATTTGCTCTCGAAAAGCGCTACTGGTACTGCAATATATGTTGGCCGTGCTTACTAACATGCAAACACTCTTTGCTTTGAAAAGTCACATTGTGATAACCAGTTAAGAATGACAGTATTGTTTTGTCCTAAAGTGTCCTAAAATCAATTAAGACCACACACCTAGAAAACCTTTTCAACGGCCAGAAATTAGATGACAAATTAGAGTAACTTTCTCCAAAATATCCATCTGTAATTAAAAGAGTTGCTATTTCTGAGAGAATATGAGGCTCTTCCACTCCTCCATCCTCACACAGTTCCAAATTGTAACAGGGTGTCGTGTGATACACCCACTAAAAAGTCGGAATGAAGTACAAGATAAAACATGTCTCTGTGAAGTTTGCGAGTTGAGGCAGAAAGCTTGAGTCTGC